CAAGGTGGAACAAATAGAAATTGAAAACATAAAAGGTTTTTCTACCTTGTTCATTGTTCCCTCTCGCGACTGTTTGAGGTTCATCACTTCCGCTTGAGAGTCTTTCTGCTTGTTTGATACGATTGCCAACAGCAAGCGAATAAACGACACTCACAACAACAACAGAACCAAAATTGACAAAACAAAAGCAAATAATTTCACGGGAGAGTTGTACTTGTCGTCGTAGAATGAGAAACACGTTTTCTCGGCATAAATTTTGTGCGTTGCATGTTTTGTGTCAACAGCACAACTGAACTTTTGCATCTCGCTGAGTCTAAATTCCCTGGCAATTGCTGTAAAGATCAATCCACAGAAAAAATGAATGATCACACATATGTAGGATAAGATGCTAAATCTCTTCGGTATTAGGTGTTCTTTAATACCATCCATCATCTTGAAAGAAATAAGAATATTTACTTCACGATATAAATCTTAGCCCACACTGTCGCGTCTCTCTCGACGTAAAGTGTTTTTTTAAAATAAATCACTGAGCAAAACAATACCCAACCTCGTGCCTAAACAATATCGTCTTCGCAATATGCAAAAAGAAGTAATTCTTTAAATTCCTGTTCCGCAATTACACAAAGAAAATATCAGTTCCAGAAATGAGTTGTTAATTCACATTTCGCGCGGGGGTTCTTGGATTGGCCACCGATGAACTCCATATATACGTGGAGTGGGATCTTGATTGCTGAAAGTGAAACCAAAGATGGCAGAAATTAAAGGCCCCATTGGTCATTTTCAATCATCCTAGGTGCGCGGCCAATTATTTTTCTCATTGTTCCGACCGGCAGTAATGATCCACTAGTGAATCTCGTTAGTTTTATTACGTGACGAATTTTTCGCCAACATAGTATTATTACAATGCGACAAATTTTTCGCCAACATAGTTATTATTACAATGCAACAAATTGTTCGGTAATTTGTCAAAATAGTGTTATTACAATGTCGAGTTCGAATTACATAAATTTAGGCTGCCTATGTTGTGATTCTTTAAAACATCAACAATCCGCCACTTTGTTTTTTTCGAAAGATATCCAGCTGATCTGGGTATAAAAATCAACCAATCAGAAGCCAGATCTTGGACAAAACTGAATTATCATTTCCTTCATTGCATATGACTTCGACACTCGAAAATATCAAGTAATTTTATGATATTTATGTGAAAACACGTTTATTTTTTCCCAACTGTAAATTAGAATTAAAATTTTTCACCCTTTATTCATATTAGTTGGAAGAATAGGGACAAGTAACACCAGGAACATGACAGTTTTGTCGAGACGCTTTATGACGTCATGATCTCAGATCAACTGAATCACGTCTTTCGTAGTGAACTTCACTGAAATTTCCACGCATCCAAATACAAAATATCAGATCGAACAGTTTTCCTCGAGATTTCTCTCATTTTTCACTCAAATATACAGGCCGGTATCAAAAAATCTCCTGAACATGAAATTATTGCCTAATTTGTGGTACTCGCACAATACAAAGTATTAAAAAGGCTGATATTTCTACGCAAGATGTTTCCAACCCAGCTAAATTTTACTAATTTTTGTGTGTTTTATCCATTGAACTGTAAACAAACTGGAACGATAACTCAGGGGAGGGGGGAAATTGAAGCCAGTGCTTTTTACTTTTTCTGAGGTATGAGCTGAAATACTTGACGCCAAATGTTGAGCCGTACATCAAATTAAAGCTATTAAAAAGTTCTATTTCGTGTAGAAATTTCGAGATTTAAGTTTTGAAAATTCCACACCAAATATAACTTTTCAATGGTTTTAATTTGACACACAGCCCAAAGTTTGGCGTCAAGTATTTCGTCTCAAAACTCAGAAAAACTATTTTGGCTTCAAGCTAACATAGGGATGTCAGGAGTTATCGTTCCAGTTGACTAGTTTTATCTTGGAATATTGAGCCCGTGCAAATGACGTCATGCTATGGCGTCATACTATGACGTCATTTGCATGTGCTCAATATTCCCAATATTTTCAAATAAGAAGAAACTAAAATGAACGACAAATACAAACGGTTTGTATTTGACATCAATTTGACGTTAATTTGAGTTTTTCTTTTGTTCAGGACGAGAAGCCTGAAGCTTGCATTACAAAGAGCAAAAAAACGACGAGAGAGAAACGAAATTATGTTGTTATTGTAAACATCTTGATATGGTTGTTTCATGGGGCGTGGGAGGGAGTAGTAACAAAGAGAGGTTGGGGACTGGAAACAGTGTGCATCAGACTGGAGTAGGAAATACGCGGCGGAAGACAGAAGACAGAATGAGGTGTAGGTGATGAGGTACGGTTGATAGTGGATAAGAGGGGTTTGAAATAGGATAATTGCGTACAGCTTTGGCTCTTTTTCTGCATCTCATTCAATAGGAAGTTAGATGGTAGAAAAATATAAGAACTGCTTACTTTCGCCACGCATTCTTATCAAATATTCGTCTCTTTCGACTTTACAGCGAGTCATCTGAAACTGAAACAGCCGCCGTGATTCAGGCAGATTTTGGTGATTCTAAACTCAATGATGACGAAACCGTAACATGCGCAGTAGAACCAAAAGGTACGTCACCGACCGATATTGTCTTTACCGATGTCGTACACAATAATTCTGAAGAACTTCGTGCATGCAAAATGAAATCGCCCTTCTTGTAAGGACAACTTAGTATTAGGAATCATCTAAAAATGACCTCCCAAATTTGAAGAGAAATTTTAAAATGGCTCCCTTGGCAGTTCTTTAGTATCGGTACCTCTTACGAAACAAAAGCTGGGACACGTTGCCGTAGTGTTAAAGGCATGCCTTAGAATTAAGTACTATCTAATAATGATCTCCCTAGTCAGGGTCGCCGGAAGCTGTTTAGGGCAGCGTGGGATAGAACTTGAGAAAAGGGCATATTCCTTTTACCTTAGCAACAGTGTGAAGCAGAACTTTCAACTGCTATACCTCCCTTCCCCTCTTATGCCCAGTTCTTCCGGCGCTCCTGTCCCTAATGTAAAAACTTTTTAAAATGGACAATTCCCTGGTAAAAAGAACTCCCTAATATGACGCCTTATACTATGGACAACTCTCTAATATGATGGACTGACACTTAATACTAATACTGATACTTAAATATGCAGAGAAATCGTTAGCAACAACACTTCTCTAATACAGTCAGCTCTTTAATACTGATGCGCCTTCCCTATAAATTGCTCCTAATATCAACACCTCTCCAAAACCAGAACCTCGTACAAAAAGCCGGGACACTTTGCCGTAGTGTTAATGCATGTCTGATAAGAACCATCTGAAAAAGAGATGATTTTTAGCGAGAATTGCCAAATTTGTCTAGACCGTATTTATCATGAATATCACTGTATTATTCCGTCCGAAATTTGCCAAACGGAGGTCAGATATTTCTGCTAAAAAACCTCGTTTATATCTGGGGCCGGTTGTACAAAGGTTGGACAGGGCTATCCATCGAATAGTGATTTTTTCAACCTTTCTAAAAATGCTTGAAAAGCAATCAAATTTCAGCTTTGTAGGCAACAATTATTAAAAGATTCCCCAATTTAGGAATACTAAGATTTAATCAAAATTTCAGCCAACAACGGACGATTTTAAAGCGATTGAAAAAAACACTACCCGGTGGATAGCGCTATCTGGCTTTCATACAACCGGCCCCTGGTAATTAAATGTATTTGTTTAGTATGATAAACCGTAAGGTTTTTTAACCTGCTGAACCTTGTTGACTGAGAGTGAGAGAATCATTTCTTTCTGCATCCGTCAGCCCTCACACACGAAATTATGGAATAAAAATGTAATTCAAGCGCTAATTATTTGTGCTCTAATTAAATTCAAAACGTCATAACCTGCGATTATGACGTCATATGCCCAAGTGTGAAGATCAACTCAACTCAGTCAAATCGTGTTTCCAAGCCAGTCACATACGAATCCAGCCGTTTTTATGAATCAACACCGACGCCATGAAGAGTTAAAAATGTTTTTGTTTCTTATTCTGCAGCTGTTTTCTACGTCGAGAGGAATCTTTGCTGAGGAAGGTAAGATTTTAAAGTTTCCTTTTGATATTCCAGTTTTGAAGAGTTTAAAAGAGTAGACGGGGTTTATTATCCCGGGTTCTGGGGTAAAAAACTTCCGGGGATTATCACACGGCTCAGGAAACAAATCATTGAAATGAAAAGACAATTCAGCCACGAACTACGTACTCGGTTTTACCAACTGAAGCGCTTCCATAATAAACTATCCCGTATCCCGCCTTCCGCCTGGCTACGCTACTTGTAGGCGATGAATGATAGCCTATTGTAGTGGATTGACTAAATATCATACTCCAAAAGAAGGATTTTGTGACCAGAATCCAGTTAGTCCACTCTCGGAATATGCCTATTGATGCATGTTCTTTGCAACATCAACAATTGGCGCGAAAAAGTTTTCTTAAAATTGCGAGTTTTGTTTTTATTGCGAAAACTTGAAGTCGCGGGGTTTCTTTGTATTCCGTTAGTTTTACTAAATAATTAGACAACTCACCCTCGTTATATTTGAACGAATGGTTAACTGGGCTTCGTTGTCTAATTGTTAGTTAGTCGCCTAATGACACAGCGCTGAGGGTCAGAATCAAATTTGGTTGGGCAACTGCCAAAAATGCTCTGAAAAGCATTCATGTGACTAGCAACAGACCTCTTCCTCTTTCGAATATGTCAACACGGTTCGTTAAACAAAGAAATAAGAAATCAAATTCATTATCAAAGCTGAATTCTGTAAACTATACATGCAGGGTGAAATTGTGGCAAAGCCAAATATATGACGATATGATTGTCAGTTCGTACGGACATAAACCTAACTCTGCGTTTAAAAAACCATTTGCATTTTTAACAACCGTTTAAACTTTTAGTAATGAAAACCTTGTTAATTCATCTTGTCCAATAATATCTAAATTAATTACAAATTATTCCTACAAATTTCCAACCTTATCTGATAAAATATATAATTATCTGCGACTTCTTTGAGGATCAACCAAAGTTATGATCTCCGATGAAACGTTACGTTACTACATTTTAATATGTGTTGTCTCACAATTGTTTTTAATAGGAAATGTCTAAACCTCGTTCTTTGCAGATATCAGATTGCATCGTTTCATTAAGGATATTTTTACCCGCTTTAGTAGTAGTAACGCATACAATATTTAAATATTTCAGACAACAATTCTGAAGTTTCAGAGTGTCTGAGAGTAATGAAAAATGTTTGTCTGTGATTCCATTGTAACCTACATCCAACCTAGTGAGTTTACATCGCTTATCTCCGAGAGCCTGGCACAAGATCGGCATGCATTCGTCTGTTAACGAACAACTGGAAACGTTCAATCTGGTGAGAGGACATGTTCCTTGTTCAAGAAAACTGCACAAGATCTGCATACCTTCATCTCTTATCTTATTACCGCTAAGATTTAATATCTTTAGTCCACATTTTCCTTCATTGACAGCATCACCCAAGGCAACCATGCTTTTTTCTGTTAAATAACACGAGCTAATATTCAACGTAGTAATCTTACATGTTTCTTGTCGGAAAACGTCAAACAACATCTCCATTCCTTTATCACCTATTTTACTATCACCGATTTCTAAGTCAGTTATTTGACAGTGTTCGTCACTGATAAGCTCTACCAGGCAGGGTACGCTTTCATTGGTTAAAGAACATCCGGATAGATTTAACTTTTTCAGCTTCAACCGTCTTTCTCGAAATACGCTACAAAGAAAACGAACGCCCTTATCACCTAAATTATTCCAACAAAGATTAAGTTCTGTAAGCTGGTTACAAACTTCGACGCTGAGAAATTCTAAAAGTGTAGGAATTCCGCGTGAAGTAATGTGATTATGCGAGATGTCTAAATCCTCCAAACAGACTTTATGGCTATTTTGGAGAAAATCGTTCAGATACGCCACTCCGACATCAGTAATACTGTTGTAAGACAAACGTAACTTGGTAAGCTTAGAATGACTGTGATTCAGCTGACATTCAGATGTCAACGCAGTAGCACAACGCTTCACACCCATGTCGTGAAGATTACAATCTTCTACAATCAGTGACTTTAGGCATCTTCCATGCAGCAATTTAAAAGCTTCCATCAAACAAGCACTGGATACCCGTGTAATGACTAGGCAATTTAAAAAGTCCAAGTGTTTGCAAACGAACACCATTGCTGACACATCGCTTGTGGAGAGAAGTGGTATATCTAAAGAAAAACACCATATCGTAGTCACATCTTTCAAAGCAGTGTTTGCAGCAACATCTTCGTCCTGCGCTTCCCTCAAACATTTCATCACCAAAATATTTGCTTCAATGTTGTACATAGTGCCTCCAATTGCAAGATATTTCTTGAACGACAACACACAGCTTCTGTATTGATCAAAGTCATCAGACGTCCTCATTTTCCCTCCCAATAATCCAGCTAGAAATTGAAGCACCAGATGCCATCTGCCATGCTTGAAATGCGAAGTAATAAATTCTTTTACTTCTTCAGGTGTTTTTGTTTCCACTATATGCTTCGCCGCGAGAAATTCTTGTATAGTTAAATGAATGAAGCAAACCTGTATTTGAATTTGAAAAATTGGATTAGGTAAAGAGTTTAGTAATCCTGATCCTTTCATTTTCTCATCGACTAGCTTTCCAATGAAAATCAGTTCATCATTTTTCATACCATTGAAAGCCAACTGTTGAAGTCGCTTTAAAACTTCTTCTTTGCTTTGATTTCGGTCATGATGCTCATTGAAGTAGACTAATGCCAACTCGTACAGTTCAGTCAAAGTAGTTGGTAGAGCACCAATATCACCCTCTGAGTCAATGAGACATTCGAACAGACAAACACAAACAATAAAACAATTCACTGGAATGTAGCATAAATTCATCAGTTCGGATGATGATTTAATATGACCCAATAGCGTTGCTTCTAGATCGCACCTGTTATGATTAGCACAAAATTGTTTAACATACTGTTCAATTTTATCTGATGTGAACCCAACTATCTCAACAGTTCTGTCAAATTTCATTTTGCACAAAACATCATTCACAGTCGGCCTGCTGGTCACCAAGACTGTTGCCCCTGGTAACATGTCGCCAGACAAGATTTTCACAAACCAAATCATTGCAGACATGGAACAAGAAACATCGTCATTGGGGAACATTCTTGACTGATCTAGAACATTCAGAAAACTTCCATGGCTTGCATGAAATTCATCTAAACCGTCAAAAACGAAGATAGCCATTCGTGGATTTTTCCAAATTTCTTCAAAAATACTTTCGATTTCATCTTCATTCAGTTCTGTTCCAAACTGAAGAAATTTCACGAGTGTTACATTTTTTATTGTGGCAAAGTTGAACCATCTGAATTTTAAGTAAAAAGCGATCTTATTGTGATAAATTTCATCATCTCCTTTTGCCCAATCACGCATGATTTTTCTGGTCAGAACAGTTTTTCCAATTCCAGGACGTCCGATCACCAAAATGGTGGAAGGGATTTTGCTTTTAGTATCCTTGTTGGGATAAAATAATTCCTTAATCTCTTTCAGGTGTATTGAATCTTTGGGAACTTTCATATAAACATCATAGATCTCATGCCTTTCCATTCCTTTGGAAAACTTGTGTGGGGCTTGTTCAGTTTGTATAACAACGTCTATGAACATGTCTTCCAAAGGTGTATTATTTGAACCATAATTTATGTCTGGTGTGAGACCTAGCTGTAAAACCTTTCGCTTTTCAATGTCACGACTGTTCGGGGTACAATTGCTTATGCTGATCAACTCAACCTCATCAGGTACGTATTGCTCTCGAAGAAAATACTCAATAATAAATTCCAAATCACATGACCAAGCTTGAGGAATGGAACGGGAAAATCGCTTCACTAGTAGATAAATAAACTCCGCCATGGCAATTATACTAAAAATGCCATTAAATAACGACAAAGCAACCAATAAAGATTCTTTATCCTGGGCAGCCGAGTTCGTGCATCTTACACTAGATAGCTTGGCGCCGCTTGTATTCTTTGCTTTAGTCGTGTTTGAGTGCGTTGAACTCAATTTGGGGTAATTACAACTGAATTGTGAATCAAAACCACTCGGATATAATACAGTATGCTGTAGGATTGTGAATAATATACAGAGCATTGAACGAGCCACAAGGTGGAACAAATAGAAATTGAAAACATAAAAGGTTTTTCTACCTTGTTCATTGTTTCTTTTCTTGGCGACTGTTTGAGGTTCATCACTTCCGCTTGAGAATCTTTCTGCTTGTTTGATACGATTGCCAACAGCAAGCGAATAAACGACACTCACAACAACAACAGAACCAAAATTGAGCAGAACGAAACCAAATAATTTCATGTCAGAGTTGTACTCGTCGTCGTAGATTGAAAAACACGTTTTTTCGACGTAACTTTTGTGCGTAGCATATTTTGTATCAACAGCACAACTGAACTTTTCCATCTCGCTGAGTTTCAGAGCCGTGGTAATTGCTGTAAATATCACTCCACAGGAAAGATGGATGATCACACATATGTAGGATAAGATGCTAAATCTCTTGGGTATTAAGTGTTCTTTAATACCATCCATTATCTTTGGTAAAGGAGGGATATTTGAGTTGAAATGAATATTTTAGCCGATTATGTCGCTTCTTGCTCAGGGCGAAGTATTTACGTATGAATTTGTAACTTGATATGGTGACGGTCATGTGCCTTTGGTGTTGTGTTGTTTCGATTGGTCTGTATTAACTCTGTATTTTATACTTCGTCACATGAAACCAAGCGATCTAAAATTTACTTGCTCTGAGCTTGGAGAAAGCACATCCATAGCATACAAATTCATCCCGAGGATTTGAAATATTAAGTAAAATTAGACAGAGACAAATCAGACAATGACGATTGTGATGTTCGGATTTTGTTACAAAACCTGTCATTTCCAGACGGATTACACGAATACAGAGCAACAAATGGTCAGGGGAAAACCACTGTACAGTGAACCGCGAATTCAGCCTCAGATTCGTCCTTAGAGTCGGCCACCAGACATTTTTGCGCTGAGTCTGTTGAAACTAGGCATTTACTAAAATTTAAGAAATCACGCTCGCAACATACAGCAGATGCAATGAGCGTCGGTGCTTTAAAACATTCAATAATAATCTACCATCATTAAATTACTGATAAATGCTCACGTTTATTCAAAAGCGCTAGACGGCAGAGTATCGCAGTTTTCCACGAGATCTTGAGTGTGCAAGACAAAATCTCAAGGGTGCAAGTGGAACGTCCATTTAGCCATGTGTACACTTCAATCGAGTAAATCGGCTATTTATAATTTATAAATTGAATAACAATATAACATTTTTTCTATAATTGAGTCTTGAGTCTTCACGAGCAGATCTACTTTCTTGAACCTTCTTGTCAGTCTTGTGTGGACAGTGTAGTTATGCAAAAGCGTGATGATTATTGCAGCGAATAAAAATTTCACGATGAAATAACTCCGACAGACAGTGTTTCCAAATTCATAGCGAACCATATTTCATCTTAAAATCCTAAGTTTTTCATCTTCAAAAAATACCACATCAGAGTGGAATTGTCCTTCAATTTAGTTTATTGCACAACCCTGATGCAACGACTTGTTTATTCCACAGCCTTAATGTAACCAAATTCGGAAATGAAGATGGTAATTTAAACTAATTTTGAAATTTTGGTGCGTAAAAATGTGTCGCTTTCCCGAGACAAGCAACTGACGTCTTGCTCTTTTCAGTATTTCCATTCGGTTCATTAAAGAAAGAAGAAATTTTATCAAAAACTAATACATACCAATACAATATACACTTAATGTATGCTCCCGAGGGAATTAGTGAGTTTTGTTTTCCCAGGAGTCTGAATAAACATTGAGACTCGAGGGAAAACAAAACTCATTATTTCCCGAGGTAGTGTACATTAAGTGTTTTGTTATATAGGAACGAAAACATACATGTTACACAACAATTTCATTCAAAAATGAAACCCACTTTACTTTGTTATGACAAGGTGCGGGCAACAATTTTTCACTTGTTTCCCTGGCGGGAAACATTGCATTTATTTAAAGTCATGTGACTACGAATGAACCAATCGCATTTAAAATACACAGCACCTATATAACAAAATCTAATACATACCTGTAAAGTATGCTGGAGGAAATTGCGGCTAAGCCAAACATAACATCAAATGTGGTAAAACAACTGCCTAAAATAGACCAAACACTTCTCGACGTTTCGACCTGAGGGCCTTCGTCAGTAGAGTTAGTACCAACTCTAAAATCTACTAACTTTCCTGACGAAGGCCCTCAGGTCGAAACGTCGAGAAGTGTTTTGTCTATTTTAGCCAGTTGTTATACCACATTTAATGCTAAGTTGTTTGAAGACGCTGCCACGCTGCTCCCTGGTTATAAGTCAAACATATGACGATTGTCTGTCGTTTTTTATAAACTTTAATAACTATTCACAATTATTTACATGAATCCTTCCACAATAAATTTAAACCAATGTCCTATTTCATCTCTGTTCAAAAAACATGTGTTCTATACTCGAGCCCTCGTGTTTAATATCACACGTCACGTCACGTCACGTGATGTAGCTGAACCAATAATTATTTAACAATAAGATTAATATAAACTTTATTACACTCCCCAGCGTTGATTACAAAGTAATCAACTATAACTACTATATTCCAAAACGTTAATTCGTTCGAATGTTAGACAAGGTTTTGTCTCACAAATTCTCTTCTTAATGCTTCGCTAGCTTTGGCTGCTTCCCGTCGTGGACGACTGGATACCATCTGTGGATGCTTCGTCTGCTTATCCGGCGAAGATACTTGTTTTGTAGCAGGATTAGATTCTACGTTCTTATCTTCTGTTTGCTTAATCTCTAATCTTTCAGTAACTTCGAGAGGAACAAGTTGTTGAATTGATCGTTGTAAAATGGTAGGCTTGCCCTCACTAGTTGCCAATTTTATTCTAGCTGCTCGAACAATTCCATCTTGTCCAGGTAATAGCTCCACTACCTTAGCCAACTTCCAGAATTGTTGTTTGGTTTTTTCATTCATCATAACCACGACATCCCCTACTTCGATTTTTGCGATGTTTCTACTGTTCGCCAAATTCTGTGAATTCTCACGCAAACTCAAAAGGTATTCTCTACGCCAACGGCTGATAAATTGTTCCAGTATTCTTCGATGATGCTTTGCTCTTCTTGTCAAACTCTTACAGGTGCTGACAGATTCGAAATGGGCACTGTTTGGAGTCGAAGCTAGGCGTCGACCATAGATCAGTTGCGAAGGCGATAACGCGTAGGATATAGATTCTTCATCATCATAGATATACGTTATCGGACGATCATTTACGATAGTTTCAACTTCTGTCAGAATTGTATACAGTTCGTCATAAGTAAGTTTCGAGGAACCAATGACCTTTTTGAGAACTCGTTTTACAACTTTCACCATACGTTCCCAAAACCCACCCCACCAAGGGGCACGCTCAACAATAAACTTCCAATCTACTCCACGGTTGGAAAGATGACATTGTACTTCAGATGATCTCACGATGTTCTTCACTTCTCGTGAAGCTGATTTAAATGTTTTTGCATTATCCGATATCAAAGTGATAGGCACTCCAAATCGACTTGTAAACCTTCGAAAACTGCGCAAAAACGCTGGTACAGTGAGATCAGGTGTCAATTCAAGATGGACTGCCCTTGTGGAAGCGCAGGTATACAGACAAACGTAAGTCTTCTTCATTGACTCTTCGGCGTTAGAATCTTTCCTTTCCAATACATAAAGTGGTCCAAGAAAGTCTAGACCCGTGTGGACAAACGGTGGAGCATCATCTACCCTAAAGTTCGGTAACTGAGGTCTAATCTGAGGGCTGTACGGTCGACCCTCCATTCGTTTGCAGAAGAAACATCTCCTAACATTTTTCTTGACTACCTCTCGTCCACGAATGACCCAATATTGATCACGTAATGACGAAAGAGTTAGATTGATACCGCTGTGACCAATTCGACTATGGACTTCTTGAATGACTAAATCTGTAAAATAATGTTTCTTTGGTAATAAAATTGGATTCTTGCTCGATTCCGACAATGGCGCGTTTCTTATTCTTCCAGCACAACGAATCAACGATTGCTCATCAATATATAATCCAAACTGTGTGACATATGTCGGAGCCACTGCCGTTTTGTTACTCAACAGGAAGTCAAGTTCGTCTTTGAATGAAAATTGCTGAACGGCTCGAACCCACAATTCTTCCGCTTGTCTCAGCTCGGCCGCAGTCAACTCAGCCGATTTACCCTTTTTTAGACCCTCTGAAGTATTTTCTTGTGCACTAACGCGTCGTTTTAATACTCTGATAATTCGCAGTACGTACGCCGTCGTTCTTATTAGTCTCCCCTTCGTGCTGAAGCGCTGACATTCGATAATCTTGCTGATATCTGGTTTGGACTGTGTTGCTTGATTGGTTAAACTGTGGATGACCGTTGGACTGAATTTAGTAACTTCTGACATTGCGATAGAATCAGTGCTCTCACAAGCCGATGGTTCTCTTGGCCATTCCTCTTCTGAACGGTTTAAAAAGTCTGGACCATTCCACCATAATTCATTTGAATTCAGTTCTTTTCCTGATACCCCTCGAGATGGCAAATCTGCTGGATTCATCGACCCAGGACAATATTTCCACGACTCCTTTGACGACAATTTTCTTATTTCTTGTACTCGGTTTTGAACGTATTGTTTCCATGATTTGTTATTCTTGATCCAACAAAGGACCGCTGACGAATCAACCCAATAAAATCTCTTAGGAGTACCCAAGGTAGACCTTAAAGTTGAGGATATGGTTTCCATCAATCGGGTTAAAATAGTAGCCCCCAAAAGTTCCAGGCGAGGTATGGTTTGTTTCTTTGTAGGCGAGACTCTACTTTTCGAGGCAACTAAATTTACGTCGATACGATTATCATCGTATTTTGTTCGAAGGTACACCGCAGAAGCAAACGCCTTCCCACTTGCATCCGAAAATCCATGTAATTGATGTTCTACGGGCTTCGAGTTTCGACTGAAATAACACCGTGGGATTTTTATTCCACTGAGATGTTCCAATTCACTTACAAGCGTGTACGTACGCTCCCCTGTAATTCATCGTCCCAATTCACTTTGTGTTTACAAATATCCTGGAACATCATCTTTAGTTTGACTGTAAACGCGCTCAAAAGACCTAATGGGTCGAAAATCTTGGCGACTAGTCTTAACACAGTTCGTTTTGTCGGAGGCAGCATTCGAGCATAGTGTTGGATCTCATCAAATTCGTAATAAAGGTTGTCTGTCTCAACGTCCCAATTCACTCCGAGTATCTTTGTTTTGTTATCATCTGAAAGTTGTGGACCAATCATTGATTTCACGTACGTTTGATTGTCTTGAGACACTTTCGTTTCATCTTGGTTTAACTTCAGTTGGTTTCTTTCATCGTTAACGGTTTCGCTTGACAATTCACATTGATTTATTTTGTGCGAAAGTTCCTTGGAATTCGATTTCCACTTTCGTAAATTGAATCCACCTTGCCTCATGATTTCTTTAGACTTCTTGTAAATTTCAAAGGCGGTGTCTTCGTTGCTTGCACCTGTCGGTAGATCGTCGACATATAGCTCCTTTAATACCTCGACAATTTTTGGGTCTGTTTCTTGATACTTAGATAAATGATGCAAAACTGTTCCTCCCAAAATAGATGGGCTTGGCTTGAGACCAAATACAAGACGACAGAAACGCAACTGTTGAACTTCGGGTTTACTTGATTTAGGGTCCTGAATCCATAAAAATCGTAGCTTGTCTCGATCGGCTTTCTTAACCTCGATCTGAAGAAACGCCTTTTCAATATCGGCAGTCAGTCCAACAGCGTATGACCGGAACTTTACAAGAACATCAAATATTGGTGGTATGAAATTCGGTCCATTCAACAAGTGATCATTCAAGGAACTTCCATCTTTCTCTTGCTTAGCACTGCCATCGAATACTATACGAAGTTTCGTCGTGTCTCGGTCATTACGGATAACACCATGGTGAGGTATGAAGTGAGCGTTGTCTATTTCTTTCTCGTTTTCAGGAACTTGTTCCACGATGCCTTCTTTGATTTGTTCTTCAATGATAGCATTGTATTCTCTAAACAGGTTTGGATCTTTCTTGAGACGATTAATCAACGAGTTTAGACGATTAAGAGATAACTCGTAATCATTAGAAAGCGGGGCTGTCTCGTCGTTGTTCCAGGGAAGGCCCACTTCATATCGTTTACCATTGAATGTTATATCTTGTACGATATCTGATTCTGGAACCTTTTCACTTTCAACTATTCCTAAAGACTCCAGATCCCAGAATCTCTTTAAACTTCTCACTAATTCGTCATTTTCATTCTCTTCCAACAACGTTTTTTTCCGTCCATCAATAACAAGATTTGACAAGGCGTATGAAGAAGACGTATTTGAGGTAGGACCAAGAAGCAACCATCCTAGCTTACTTGCCACTGCAGTTGGACCATTATCGCCATTGACAATTTCACCTGTGATGATCTTGTAATAATAATCAGCCCCCAAAAGCATGTCAATTGATTGATTTTCAATGTCTGAGTTGTCTGCTAATTGTAAACCGTCCAAATGGGGATATGCTTGAACATCAATTGTGGTTGTCACAGGTGAACAAATGACTGGGAATGCCAATGCTGATATTTCTATATCAATCTCGCTGTTTTTTCCTTGCAGATTGAAAGAGAACATCTCGCAATTTTGCTTTTTAAATCCATCATTTCCAAAGGTGTTCAGATGTAAGGTTTCCCTTTTTTCTGACTTAAGATCCAATTTTTGTTTCAGTTCGTTCGTTATATAGGAACGCTGGCTTCCGGAATCAAACAATATCCGAATCATAACCTTCTTTGAGTTGACGCTGTTGTATGCATAGGCAGTGGCAGTTTGAAGTAACACTGATGATCTCTGTTGGCCGGTAGTAGTTGTCGTCGCCTGGACAGAACCTGATGGTTCATTATCATGATTAGTCTGTTCATTTTTTAGTTGTTCCTTCCTCTTATCTTCATCATTTTTCTTGGAACCCTCCTTTGATTCTCCATTTTTCGATTGATCACCTTTCCCATCCGTTGGTTTGAAACATATCGACTGATGGTGTTTCCCATTGCACTTTCTACATGTTCGTTGACATTCTGATCCGCGATGGTTCCAAGCAAACAAAACACCGTCCTTCCTTTCTTAAAATATCCTTACGCTGTTTCACATTCTTTACCTTCTCACAAGAAGCGGTATAATGGGTTTCGTGACAGAAAATGCAACGGATTTGAAATCGACGATTCGTATCCTCGCTGTTTCCACTATACAATGATGCTGTTGTTCTCGATTTAGGAGGGATTGGTTTTCTGTCGTTGTTTGTTTTGACATGTTCACTCACTTCCCGTGCTTCCACTTCACTACGTATGGTCTTCATTAAGTCGTCGATTTTCCATACATCGTCTACGGCGTTTCTGGCAATATGTAAACGTGTTTCACTTGGTAATTTTGACATGATTACTGGAATCAAAAGACTCCCATATTGTTCAGAGTTTATCCCAAGCGATTCTAACCCTCTAATGTTAGTGTTGATTCGATCGTAGACCAGGCGCATAGAAGTAGACTTGTCATCAGAACAAACAGGAACCTTTAAAAGCTCATCCATATGAGACGCTATTATTTGCTGCGGCCTGCCAAATCTTTGCTTCAAAACTTCGATTGACTTTTTATAATTTGCAGAAGTCAAGGCAAGTCCTTGAATCGCCCTAGCTGCCGAGCCTTCCAAAAGGGAATGTAAATAATGAAATTTATCGATCTCAGCTAGTCCTTCATTTTTATCAATAGCGCTTTCGAAAATTTCCCAAAATGTTGTAAACGAAGTGACCTCACCTCTAAATTTTGGCAAATTTAATTTCGGTAGCTTGGGTTTTACTGTTTTTGATTCGGCATTATGCGTACCAGTGTTAATTGGTGAGGTTACACTTGGAACATTTGACTCACCCACTGTAAGTGTTTGTTCATTACTTGTAACCACAGTATTAGTTTGGCCAAATCGTGCGAAGTTTGGTGTACTTGGAGAAACTGTTTGTTCCCTTATTTCCTGTTCAATCAGACCATTTACGTTCATGATTCGTGCGACCATAGACTCAGAATCTTCGATTTCTTGCGTGATCTCTTCGACTGGACAAAGGTTTAAAATGTCTTGATCAATTGAGCTTAACGTTTTTTGTTTCTCTTCTAACAGACAGCGGATAAGTTGGAGGCGTGAAATGTCGTCCTTCGATAAGGTATCGCTTGACAATATACCCAAAGCTTCCTTTTCATGTTTCGTGACCACGCCTCGATGTCCCCCTCGAATCGCCTTGAGTCGCGTTAGTTTCTCTTTGGCATCCTTTTCGCTCATTTTGCTGACAGTATAAAATACTTGCTTGTAAACACACCTCGTAAATCAACACTCGAATACAACTCCTTTACACCAAGATAATTTGTGAAATACACAGTCTTCGTTCGATTTCGTACAACAATACAACAAACCTCGTTCGATAAATAATCCGTAGAATGCACCAACCTTCGCTCGATAAATTCACGTAAAATAATCCGTTTCTCGTTCGCTAAAGTTTCTCGATTTCGTACAATACGGCAAACCTCGTTCGATAAATAACTCGTAGAATGTACCAACCTTTGCTCGATAAATTCACGTAAAATAATCCGTTTCTCGTTCGCTAAAGTATCTCGATTTCGTACAATACGACAAACCTCGTTCGATAAATAACTCGTAGAATGTACCAACCTTCGCTCGATAAATAACTCGTAAAATGTACAACCTTCGCTCGATAAATTCACGTAAAATAATCCGTTTCTCGTTCGCTAAATTATCTCGATTTCGTACAATACGACAAACCTCGTTCGATAAATAACTCGTAGAATGTACCAACCTTCGCTCGATAAATAACTCGTAAAATGTACAACCTTCGCTCGATAAATAACTCGTAAAATGTACAACCTTCGCTCGATAAATAACTCTTTTCTTCGCTTGTAATTACTGTCGTTAGCCAAATAGGTTCATAATAGACCTATTGGCCCCACGTTGGGCGCCATTTAATAAACTTTAATAACTATTCACAATTATTTACATGAATCCTTCCACAATAAATTTAAACCAATGTCCTATTTCATCTCTGTTCAAAAAACATGTGTTCTATACTCGAGCCCTCGTGTTTAATATCACACGTCACGTCACGTCACGTGATGTAGCTGAACCAATAATTATTTAACAATAAGATTAATATAAACTTTATTACATCGTTTGTACGGTACGGACATCACCTAACTCCATACAAAGAAAAGGTATGATCTATTATTTCCATGCTTGGGACATTCACCACTGAGATGGACATCCGTCCATCTTTCATCTATGCCAGCAAGATGTCTGCCTTCGGAGACTTTTACACCTAAGAAAGACATCTGTCCATCTTTCATCTATCCTCCATGGTTAAACAACCAATTGAATTTTAAACAACTGCTTAAACTTTTAGTAATGAAAACTTTGCTATTTGATCATGTTGTCCAATAAAATGTAAACTAAATGTATTTATTTATTAATTACAAACCAAATTTACAACCATGTCTTGATAATATAATTATCTACAATTTCTTTGAGGCTCAACCTAAGTTATGATCTCCGATGAAATGTAAATTCGAAAGTTGAGGATTAAAGTTCAATTGTTCAAAATATCTATTCAAAAGGTGTGATACAGATAATTTTTAAACCTCGTACTAGGCAGATATCAGATTGCATGGTTACTTTAAGGATCTTTTCACCAGCTTTAGTAATAACACCTTCAATATATAAATATTCAAGACAACAATTCTGAAGTTTCAGAGTGTCTGAGAGTAATGATAAATGTTTATCTGTGATTCCATTGTCGCTTACATACAACTTAGTGAGCTTACATCGTTCATCTCCGAGAGCCTGGCTCAAGCTCGGCATGCATTCGTCTGTTAACGAACAAAAGGAAACGTTCAATCTGGTGAGAGGAAATGTCCCTTGTTCAAGAACACTGCACAAGATCCGCATACCTTCATCTCCTATCTTATTATTGCTAAGTGTCAAGTCCTTTAGTTCACATTTTACAAGGCAGGGTATGATTTCATTGGTTAAAGAACATCCGGATAGATTCAGCTTCTCAAATTTCAACCGCCTTTCTCGAATTACGTTACAAAGAATACGAACGCCTTCATCACGTATATGAGGATTGCCGCCAAGATCAAGTTTAGTAAGCTGGTTACAAACTTCGCTGCTGAGACATTCCACAAGTGTAAAAATTCCACACGAAGTAATGCCATTTAACGACAGATCTAACTCCACCAAACCGACTTTATGCTTATTTTTGAGAAACTCATTTAGATACGCCACTCCAGCATCACTAATATTGTTTTTTGGCCAACAGAGCTTGGTAAGCTTAGAATGACTGTGCTTCAGCTGACATTCAGATTGCAATAGCGCCGGACAACGCTTCCAATCCATCTCGCCAAGATGACAATCGTTCATGGACAGTGATTTTATGCATCTTTCATTTAGCAATTTAAGAGCTTCCATTGAACAATCACTAGGTGCACCATTAATGTATAAATGATTTAAAACGTTCAAGTGTTTGCAAACGAACACCATTGCTGCCACATCGCTTGGGGAGAGAAGTGGTACATCAGCAGTATAACAAAATATCTCCGTCGCATCTTTCAAACCAGAGTTTGCAGCAATTTCTTTATTAACATCTTCATCCTGCGCTTCTCTCAAACATTTCATCACCAAAATATGATTTGGTCGAATTTCGCACTTAGTGCCTTGAATTGCAAGATATTTCTTGAACGACAACACACAGCTTCTGTATTCATGAGAGACATCAGACGTCCTCATTTTCACTCCCAATAATCCAGCTAGAAATTGAAGCACCAGATGCCATCTGCCACGCTTGAAATGCGAAGATATAAATTCTTTTACTTCTTCAGGTGTTTTTGTTTCCACTATATGCTTCGCTGCGAGAAATTCTTGTATAGTTAAATGAATAAAGCAAACCTGTATTTGAATTTGAAAAATTGGATTAGGTAAAAAGTTTAGTAATCCTGACTCTTTCATTTTCTCATCGACTAGCTCTCCATTGAAAATCAGTTCATCGTTTTTCATACCATTGAAAGCCAACTGTTGAAGTTGCTTTAAAACTTCTTTGCTTTGATTCCGGTCATGATGCTTATTGAAATAGACTAGAGCTGACTCGTACAGTTCAGTCAAAGTAGTTGGTAGAGCACCAATATCACCCTCTGAGTCAATGAGACATTCGAACAGAGAAACACAAACAATAAAACAATTCACTGGAATGTAGCATAAATTCATCAGTTCAGATGATGATTTGATATGACTCATCAGCGTTGCTTCTAGATAGCACCTGTTATGATTAGCACAAAACTGTTTAACATACTGTTCAATTTTATCCGATGTGAATCCAACTATCTCAACAGTTCTGTCAAATTTCATTTTGCTTAAAACATGACTTACAGTCGGCCTGCTGGTCACCAAGACTGTTGCCCCTGGTAGCATGTTGCCAGACAAGATTTTGACAAACAGAATCATTGCAGACATGGAACAAGAAGCATCGTCATTGGGAAACATTCTTGACTGATCTAGAACTTTCTGAAAACCTTCATGGTTTGCACCAAATTCATCGAAACCATCAACAACGAAAGTAGCATTTTGCGGGTTTTCCCAAATTTCTTCAAAAATGCTTTTAGATTCATCTTCATTCAGCAGTTCTGTTCCTAACTGAAGAAATTTCTTAAGTGTTACATGTTGCATTTGGGCCAGATTGAACCATCTGAATTTGAAGTAAAATGCGATTGTATCGTGATAAATTTCATCATCTCCTTTTGCCCAATCTCGCATGATTTTTCTGGTGAGAACAGTTTTTCCAATTCCGGGACGGCCGATCACCAAAATGGTGGAAGGGATTTCGTTTTTAGTATCCTTGTTTGGATAAAATAATTCCTTAATCTCTTTCAGGGGTATTGAATTTTCGGGAACTTTCATATAAACATCATAGATCTCGTGCCTGTCCATTCCTTTTGAAAACTTGTGTGGGGCTTGTTCAGTATGGATAACGAGGTCTATATACATGTCGTCCAAAGGTGTATGCTTTGAACCATAATTTATGTCTGGTGTGAGACCTAGCTGTAAAACCTTTCGCTTGTAAATGTCGCGACTGTTTGGGGTACAATTGTTAAATGTGTTCATGTCGATCAAGTCAACTTCATCAGATACGTTTTGCTGTCGAAGGAAATACTCAATAATAAATTGCAAATCACATGACCAGGCTGGAGGAATGGAACGGGAAAATCGCTTCACTAGTAGATAAATAAATTCCGCCAGGGCAATTATACCAAAAATGCCATTACAGACACACAAAGTTATCAACAAAGACTCTTTATCCCGGGCAGCTGAGTTCGTGCATTTTACATTAGATAGCTTGTCGCCGCTTGTATTCTTTGCTTTAGTCATGTTTGAGTGCGTTGAACTCAATTTGGGGTAATTACAACTGAATTGTGAATCAAAACTACTCGGATACAATACAGTATGCTGTAGGATTGTGAATAATATACAGAGCATTGAACGAGCCACAAGGTGGAACAAATAGAAATTGAAAACATAAAAGGTTTTTCTACCTTGTTCATTGTTCCTTTTCTTGGCGACTGTTCGAGGTTCATCACTTCCGTTTGAGAGTCTTTCTGCTTCTTTGATACGATTGCCAACAGCAAGCGAATAAACGACACTCACAACAACAACAGAACCAAAATTGAACAGAACGAAAGCAAATAATTTCACGGGAGAGTTGTACTCGTCGTCGTAGATTGAAAAACACGTTTTTTCGGCATAACTTTTGTGAGTTGCATGTTTTGTGTCAACAGCACAACTGAACTTTTCCATCTCGCTCAGTCTAAATTCCCTGGCAATTGCTGTAAAGATTAATCCACAGGAAAAATGGATGATCACACATGCGTAGGATAAGACGCTAAATCTCTTGGGTATTAGGTATTCTTTAATACTGTCCATCATCTTGAAAGAGATAGGAATATTTACTTTACGATATATATTTTAGCCCACACTGTCGCGTTTGATCAAAACATTACCCAACCTCGTGCCTGAGCAATATCGTCTTTCACAATACACAAAAATAAGTAATTCTTTAAATTCCTGTTCTGCAGTTACACAAAGAAAATATCAGTGCCAGAAATGAGTTCACATTACGAAAGGAAGGATAATTTACAGCACATCCAGAAATAACCTAACAAAAACCGCGGTTAACCTATACCCGAGGTCGAACCGCGTCTAACTCGGTCTGAACGACGGTCTAAATCGGTCTGACAGACAGTTTTATTACGTGACAAGTTATTCAGCAATTTGTGAACATAGTGGTATATTACAACGCGACAAATTTATCGGCAATTTGTGACCTAGTGTTATTACAACGCGACAAATTTTTGTGCAATTTGTCAACTTAGTGTTATTACAACGCGACAAATTTATCGGCAATTTGTCGATTTAGTGGTATTACAACGCGACAAATTTATCGGCAATTTGTCGACTTAGTGTTATTACAATGCAATACAATGCAATATCGAGTTCGAATTAACACGTAAATTTAGGCTGCCTGCCTTTGTTTTGAATTGTGATCGGTTAAAACCTCAACAACATCCGCCACGAAAGATATCACGACTTTCGTAGTGAACTTCACTGAAATTCACAAGCAGTCAAGCACACAAATACAAAATATCAGACCGAACAGTTCTCCTTGAGATTTCTCTCATTTCCCACTCAAATATACACGGGATCAATCCAAACTCTTTTGGGATTCCTGTATTTAGGTTTTCCTGACATGGAATTATTGCCTAATTTTGGGTACTCGCATAAGACTAAGTATGAAAATGGCTAATTTTTCTACGCTAGATGTTTGCAATTAATTTTACTACGTTTAATTTGCATTATCTGAGAATATTGAGTCATAGTTTGTATTTCACGTCAATTTTACCCTTTGACATCGTTGTCGGGGATGGTTTAGACGCATGCCCGGAAGACGAAACTGCGACACGAGAGGAGATTTCCTTTTAATTTTACACATATAATTCTGAAAAAATCACAAATTTACAAAGATTATGTGTTGCACTTTCCGATCATATTTTACAATTGTATAGATTATTGACCCCTCCATTATTATTCCAAAATAAATCGTTCAAATCACACTAAATAAAGCTAACTAAACCAATTAAACTAACAAATCGTTTTGCGCAATCAAACAAATATTATTACGGTACCTGAAGGGTGGATCTCCTCCGTACGAGCTATCTAAACGTTTTTCTGTCTCTGTATAGCAACTCAAATGCTGTCTGGATACTAACTGCGTTTTTCAGTGATTCTTAGGTTTTAAATTACACTTGCGCTTTGAATAAATTATCAAGTGACGTCAGAAGACAGGACATGAACCATAAGGTCTAGGTTATGAGGTACGCAGTGGATAGTGGATGGGAGGGGTTTGAGATCACATAATTGGGTACACCAGTGGCTATTTTTCTGCATCTGACTCAATAGGAAGTTGGATAGTGGAAAAATATATGAACTGCTTATTCCCAATTTCTGCTTGCTTTGAAAAAAGTTTATCGAATATTGGTTTAAATATTTAAAAGTTCGTTCCAAAGTTCAAAAGCTTGTTCTGAAGTAAGTTTCCGATTGCTCACGGAAATGTCCGAAGATTATGTATTACGCTGTTTGATTTTCAAGCTAATCATTTCGCTATCAATCCATTCACAACGTTTAAAACAGCACAGTGGCGGATCTAGGGGTGTGTAGAATAAATTACTACAGCTTAAAATCGGAATCGCAATGGCAGATTTTAATTTTAATGTAAAAATCTATCACCAATAGCGTTGTTATTAAAGGGTTCTCAACAAGGAGGAATTTCGTTTTAAAGTAATCGCCATATTTGTTTACATTTTTCAGGCTAAGCCAATCAGCTTAAATTTTTAATGCTTCATGTAAGATGGTATATACTGTACTTTTTATCAAAATTTATGCATTCTGATTGGGTTACTGAAAAGGTAAACAAACTTGCTGATTGGTCTAAAACGAAATTCCCCCTTGTTGGTGTTTTCCGGTTACTGAAACAGCAAACCTAATTTTTATTAAAACAAATTAACTGAAACGAATATTCCAAATAGTTTTTTGAAAGCAAGCTGAAGTCAAGAGTAAAAACTGAATGGAAACGAGTGAAACTCTATCTTCCTAGCAGAGAGTTGGGCATTTTTTGGCCGAAGAAACTTTTGAATCCTCAAACGAATATTCGAAATACTTTTTAAAAAGCGAGCTGAAATTGAGGGTGAGCCCTGAATAGAAACAGCTGAAATTCTATCTTTCTTCCAGAGAGTTGCATTCTTTCGCCACGCATTCTTATCAAACATTCGTCTCTTTCGACTTTACAGCGAGTCATATGAAACCGAAACAGCCGCCGTGATTCAGATTCTGGTGATTCTGAACTTAATGATGATGATGCTGTGACATGCGCAGTAGAACCAAAAGGTACGTCACCGAACGATATTGCCTTCACCGAGACTGCACACAATAACTCTGAAGAACCTCGTGCAAGTCAGCAAAATCTGATGAATTCAGAATACATAGATTGTTTGTAACCTATATATGTGGATAGCGCTATCCATCGAATAGTGATTTTTTCAACCTTTCTAAAAATGCTTGAAAAGCAATAAAATTTCAGCTTTGTAAGCAAAAATTTTTAAAGAGGATCTTCAATTAAGGAATACTAAGATTTAATCAAATTAAATAAAAAAATTCCAGTCAACAACGGGCGATTTTAAAGCGATTGAAAAAAAACCTTTATGGTTGAGAGCGCTATATATCCGGTTTTCATACAACCGGCCCCTGGTGATTAAATGTATTTGTTTAATATGATAAACCGTCACGTTTTTTTACCTGCTGAAACTTGTTGACTGAAAGTGTGAAAATCATCTCATTCTGCATCCGCCAGCCCTTACACACGAGATTATAGAATAAAAATCAGGGGCGGGTTGTTCGAAAGGCGTTTAGCTTAAACGGCGGATAAGTCATAAATAGAAAATCAAATTATCTATTTATTGAACAACTGAGCTGAAATATTTTGATGTAAATAGTTTAATTGTCAATGGAAGTACATATTAAATGCATAAGATGCAGCTTCAGTCATTCACAAGATGTATGAGAGTATTTTTAAAATGTATTTATTATTAAATAATAAAGGAAGTTAATGTTATACGGGTCTTCGTATCGTAGTGTCGCGGGTCCTAGGACGCTTGTCCGGTCGGCTACTTGCCCCCTCCGGTGAGTACAAATATGAGCCCAGTTTGCCTGATCGAGTTGTTAGTTGCTTGCGTGAATCGATGCCGTCACAACCTTGTCCAACAAAATTATTTCGCTATATTGGCTCAGGAAAATATGTCTCTTCAAGGAGTTGCTTTGAGTTTAACGCCAACTAGCTCACCAGTCGTGTCTGCTGTTACAACTTCAACAGTGGCATCGCAGTTGATCGCTACGGCTCCCCTTGCCGTTCGCTCGTCGCCATCTCGGCAATTTCAGCCAAGTTTACACCAGCATATTGCTTCACCGTTATTCCCAACTCGTGTTCCATCGCCGGCTATTGCAAATCAACAAATCGTCAGTGTTGCTTCTACTTGGCCATCGAGTCATCCAAGTTTGACACCATTTTTCGCTCAGCAGCCACCACAACCCGTGTTACTTCAATCAGCGACGCCTACGGTTACCCAACAACAAGATCGTGCCGTAGCTGGACATTGGCAACCGCCTCAACAGACGCTGCAGCAGCCGTTGTATCGGATTCAAAATCCTGTCCCTTCAGGTACGCCATATTTGTTTTCTTCGTCTACGTCCCCGGGCCCCGGGATGGGGTTTGTTTCGCCGGGTGTTTTTTAGCCTCTGGTGGTATTGCCTCGCCCCTCGCTTCTCTACGCTTACCGTATCGGCTTTTTCTCCCTTCGTGGTCGGGCCTGGTTTCCTCCGGTATCCCCAAAGCTTATGGCATCAATTTTCAACGGCAAGTTGGTCGAGTTGGCCTCTCTTATCGAAGAAACTTCAGTTCATGACGCTCCTTCGTTTACCATCGGGGATAACGAACTAGTTTTGCGACCGTCAAAGCGCCCTAAGGAAATTACAGATATTATGACTTGGCTCCCAGCCTTTTCTGTTTATATCCTCGTGATGACGAATTTTTGGCCGTCTCGCTCCCCGGATTTGCTTCGCTACCAGCTACTTATTTTGCGTTCCGCTCAGAAGCATCTTGGCTCGGCGTGGATCGCGTACGATCGCGCTTTTCGTCGCCATGCAGCTGCTCTCCGCCTCACCGATTGGTTACAACTCCACCCGGAGCTGTATAATTTTCATATATTCGGCGCCGGGAGTTTTCTTCTACTCCTGCTTCGCGGGTATCTACTTCGTTTTCCTCGTCCTCCAGCTCCCTTGAAGCGTCCGGTACCCCGTCGTCGTCCATTATTTGTCACTCTTGGAACGCTGGTCGGTGCTCATCGCAATTCCTCCGGTGTCGGTTCCGTCATGCCTGTGATTTTCCGGGTTGTCCTGCAATCCATCGTCGTAGCGTGGCCCACCAGTCTACACGTTGTCCTCGTTCACCATCTCGCTCGCAACCCGCGAAGTAGCGTCTATCATCAGACACCTCGCGTCGTTAGTTAATACGTAGTGGTCGGTTCGTTTGTTCCCGTTGTTCCGGACGTTAACATTGTTCTGTGCGCTATTTTAGTTTTTTTTTGTAATTCGTGTTCGGTTATGAATTTGCTGATTAAAATAGTTATCTAGCTTCACTTGTGATTTAGTTGCGCACTGTTCGTACCGTTCGCACCGATCGCACTGGTCGCACCGTTCGTACCGTTCGCACTGGTCGCTCCGTTCGTACCGTTCGCACCGATCGCACTGGTCGCACCGTTCGTACCGATCGCACTGGTCGCACCGTCGCACCGTTCGTACCGGTCGCGACCGGTTCGCACCGTTCGCACTGGTCGCTCCGTTCGTACCGTTCGCACCGATCGCACTGGTCGCACCGTTCGTACCGATCGCATTGGTCGCACCGTTCGTACCGTTCGCACTGGTCGCTCCGTTCGTACCGTTCGCACCGATCGCACTGGTCGCACCGTTCGTACCGATCGCACTGGTCGCACCGTTCGTACCGTTCGCACCGGTCGCTCCGTTCGTTTCCGCTCGCTGTTCTTGCTATTTTTCTGCTCCGTTGTAGGTGCTTTCGTTCGTGCTGTAGATCCACCGTTGCCGGAGTCCCGCATCCTGTTTCCGTTGGTCTCCCGCGTTTCGCCGCTTCAATACGTCGAGTTTCATCGGGAATTAATCAACCATCCCAATCAAGCTATGGTTCGCTACGTGTTGGATGGTATAGCTCACGGCTTTCCGTCGGGTTTTGATCCTTCACTAGTCTCTTTACCGACCATCGCACCGAAACATGAAATCGGCCTTGCAACATCCGATGTTATCGACAAATATTTGGCAAATGAAATTTCGCATGGTCGTGTCGTGGGTCCTTTTGCCTCGCCACCGTTTCCTAATCTACAGTGCAGCCCGTTTTGGGTCATTCCAAAGAAAGGCCAGCCTGGTAAACGGCGTCTCATTCAGGATTTGTCGTCACCCGAAGGCCATAGCGTTAATGACGGCATCCCCAAGGATCCTTTCTCGTTGACTTACATCTCCGTCGATCATGCCATTGCTCGTTTGTACAGCTTGGTCCGGGTGCTCTTATGGCCAAATTTGACGTAGAATGTGCGTACCGTAACATCGCTCTCAGTCCTGACGAACGTTTCTTATTTGGCATGTGGTGGCCTGAGTCATATTTCGTCGATTTGGCTCTTCCGTTTGGTCTGCGTTCCGCCTCATTTATCTTCAACTCCGTCGCCGAAATGGTGGAATGGATTCTTAAAGCTAATTAATATCGCGTTCGTTTTCTCCTTCACTACCTCGACGATTTCCTGACCCTTGGCCCCGGCAACTCCACCGAGTGCGCTAGTAATGTAGCCATCGCCAGGTGCTTATTCCTCCGTTTGGGTTTGCCTCTCCATCCGTCAAAGTGCGAGGGTCCTACTACTACGTTAGTCTTTTTAGGTGTGGAACTAAATTCTCTCACCCAGTCTGCTCGGTTGCCATCCGCTAAAATTTGTGGCCATCGTAGAGCTTCTTAAAAAATGGAATCGTAAGTCTTGGTGCACTCGTCGAGAGTTAGAATCCGTTATCGGCTCGCTTCACCACGTTACGAAAGTTGTTCCGCCCGGTCGCACGTTCCTCCGGCGTATGATTAATTTGCTAAGCGCTTTTCGTTCACCTACCCACCCTATTCGGCTCCATACGGAGTTTTTTCCTTTAATGTTTACCTAGCTGCTTCCGTTCCTATCATATTGACCTTGGCTTCCCGGATCCCACGAAAGAGAAACCACGGTTTCGTCGTCTGCTTCAGGGCATCCGTCGTTATCGGTCTGGCGTTTCCTCGTTACGCTGCCCCATAACCCGCGATCTATTGGATGTTATTCATTCGTCGACGGTTGGTGATCTTGGCGTCTACGATGCAGTTATGTTTTGGTCTGCGTGCTTTCTGGCTTTCTAAGACTGATCCTCTTGGCGTCGGACAGGTCCTGTACATCGGGTCTTCAAGCAATCGTCTCTGCTCTGTCTTAGCGCTTCAGGCGTACCTCGATATGCGTGGCAGCGGCCCTGGTCCTTTATTCCTGTGGTCGGATGGCTTTCCCTTAACTGCTCAACAAGTCAATTTTTTCCTTCGCAAAATCTTGAGGCGAGCCGTTGTAATTGGGGAACTACTCATCTCACAGCTTTCGCATTGGGGCTGCTACTTCCGCCGCTGCGGCTGGGATTCCGGATCATCTAATTCAAGCTCTTGGACGTTGGACTAGCCAAGCTTACCTTCGCTACGTTCGCACATCGCTGCAGTCATTTTTCAACGTTGCCCCGCTGCTGTAGGGTTGGAGACTGGTGGAGAAGGTTAACGGTAACCTAACTCCAACCCCTCATCTGGCTTGGAGACATACTTGGAGGAGGTACCGTTAAAATAGCATGGTTCGTTGAGTTATTATCTGCGCCGAAAACAGCAAACTCAAAAGAAACACCGTTTCACCCCTAGCCCGACCGTTTCGCTCGGATACCGTCTCCATCCCTACCGATCGGCAGCGGGCAAAAATATAGTGTAAGAGCTGGTGTGCTATCGTACAGATGTGAGCCTTAGGATCCGTTAGAACGTTAAATGTATTTATTATTAAATAATAAAGGAAGTTAATGTTATACGGGTCTTCGTATCGTAGTGTCGCGGGTCCTAGGACGCTTGTCCGGTCGGCTACTTGCCCCCTCCGGTGAGTACAAATATGAGCCCAGTTTGCCTGATCGAGTTGTTAGTTGCTTGCGTGACCCATCCCGCCCCTTTCCCTAACGACTTCACGCGATGTTGTGAACTCTACGGGAGAAGCGTCTTATTAATCTCGCTGGGGTTTGTTTGTTTTTTTTGTTAGTTTGTTTTGCAGGATTAAGCACAGTTCTTTTCACACCCGTTTTGGTCGTGGAATGGGTGTTTGGGGTAAAGGTAAATTCATTAATGATCGCCACATTTACAGGTTTTTTTTTTTTTTGTTTTGTGTGTGTGTGTACTTTGATGTTCGTATCGTTTATTCCACGGTTTCACTTCAGTGACTCACGTGTGACAGTTGATCACGGGATGGAGGAGGTACCGTTAAAATAGCATGGTTCGTTGAGTTATTATCTGCGCCGAAAACAGCAAACTCAAAAGAAACACCGTTTCACCCCTAGCCCGACCGTTTCGCTCGGATACCGTCTCCATCCCTACCGATCGGCAGCGGGCAAAAATATAGTGTAAGAGCTGGTGTGCTATCGTACAGATGTGAGCCTTAGGATCCGTTAGAACGTTAACTTTGGCTTATCCACCGTTTAAGCTAAACGCCTTTCGAACAACTGGGCCCAGGGCGCTTATATACTATATAAGCGCCCTGATAAAAATGCAATTAAAGCGCTAATTGTTTGTGTTCTAATTAAATTCAGAACGTCATAACCCGCAATTATGACGTCATACACTCAAGTGTGAAGATCAACTCAACTCCAGTCAAATCGTGTTTCCAAGCCAGTCACATACGAATCCATGCAGTCGTTTTTATGAATCAACATGGACGCCATGAAGAGTTAGAAAATGTTTTTGTTTCTTATTCTGCAGCTGTTTTCTACGTCCAGAGGAATCTTTGCAAAGGAAGGTAAGATTTTAAAGTTTCCTTTTGATATTTCAGTTTTGAAGAGTTTAGAAGAGTAGTCGTGGTTTTATTCTCCCGAGTTCCGGGGTAAGAAACTGCCGGGGTTTATCACACTGCTCTGGAAATTGAAATGAAAAGACAATTCAGCCACGAACTGCGTTCTCGGTTTTACCAACTGAAGCGCTTCCATAATAAACTATCCCGAATCGCGCCTTCTGCCTGGCGGAAGATTAATGATAGCCTATTGTAGTGGATTGACTAAATATCATACTCCAAAAGAAGGATATTGTGACCAGAATCAAGTCAGTCCACTCTCGGAATATGCCTATTGATGCATGTAAGTCTTTGCGACATGAACAATTGGCACGAAAAGTTTTCTTAAAATTGCGAATTTTGTTTTTATTGCGAAAACTTGAAGTCGCGGGGTTTCTTTGTATTCCGTTATTTTTTAATAAAACAATTAGACAACTCGTTATATTTGAACGAATGGTTAACTGGGCTTCGTTGTCTAATTGTTGGTCAGTTGCCTAATGACACAGCGCTGACAGTCCGAATCAAATTTGGTTGGGCAACTGCCTAAAATGTTCTGGAAAACTTTCCTGTGACCAGCAACAGACCTCTTCCTGTTTAGAATGTGTCAACACGGTTCGTTAAAGAAAGAAATAAGAAATCAAATTTATTAGCTATCAAAGCTGAATTCTGTAAACTATACTGATGCAGGGTGAAATTGTGGCAAAGCCAAACATATGACGATATGTTTGTCAGTTCGTACGGACATAAACCTAACTCCGAGATTAAAAAACCATTTGCATTTTTAACAACCGTTTAAACTTTTAGTAATGAAAACCTTGTTAATTCATCATGTTGTCCAATAATATCTAAATTAATTACAAATTATTCCTACAAATTTCCAACCTTATCTGATAAAATGTATAATTATATGTGACTTCTTTGAGGCTCAACGGCCTCAACCAAAGTTATGATCTCCGCGATTATACAATTACTTAATGGTTTCCGTGTTTGGATGGCCTGATCCAAACACGGGCTTCAACCAATCAGAACACGCGTTATATACATGTTATTTTATAAGAAACGTTACTACATCTTAATATGTGTTATAAACAGTGTCACAATTGTTTTTAATACATAATGTATAAACCTCGTTCTCTACAGTTTGATTGTATGGTTTCATTAAGGATCTTCTTACCCACTTTAGTAGTAACACATACAATATATAAACATTCATGCAAGACAACAATTCTGAAGTTTCAGAGTTTCTGAGAGTAATGATAAATGTTTATCTGTGATTCCATTGTTGTTTACATCCAACTTAGTGAGTTTACATCGCTTGTCTCCGAGAGCCTGGCACAAGCTCGGCATGCATTCGTCTGTTAACGAACAATGGGAAACGTTCAAACTGATGAGAGGGCATTCTTCTTGTTCAAGAACACTGCACAAGATCCGCATACCTTCATCTCCTATCTTATTATTGCTAAGTGTCAAGTCCTTTAGTCCACATTTTCCTTCATTGACAGCATCACCCAAGGCAACCATGCTTTTTTCTGTTAAAGAACATGAGCTAAGATTCAACGTAGTAACCTTACACGTCTGTTGTCCGAAAACTTCACACAACATTGCCATTCCTTTATTACTTAAATTATTATCACTGATGTTTAAGTCAGTTATTTGACAGTGTTCGTCACTGAGAAGCTCTACCAGCCAGAATATGCTTTCATTGGGGAGAGAATGTTTAGATAGATTTAACTTCTCAAGTTTCAGCCGCCTTTCTCGAATTCCGCTACAAAGAAAATGAACGCCCTCATCACCTATATCATTCCCACCAAGATTAAGTTCTGTAAGCTGGTTACAAACTTCGACGCTGAGAAATTCTAAAAGTGTAGGAATTCCGCATGAAGTAATGTGATTAATCGACAGGTCTAAATCCTCCAAACAGACTTTATGGCTATTTTGGGGAAACTCGTTCAGATACGCCACTCCGGCATCACTAATACTGTTGTGAGACAAACATAACTTGGTAAGTTTCGAATGACTGTGATTCAGCTGACATTCAGATGTCAACGCAGTAGCACAACGCCTCACACCCATGTCGTGAAGATTACAATCCCGCACACTCAGTGACTTTAAGCATCTTCCATGCAGCAATTTAAAAGCTTCCATCACACAAGCACGGGATACGCCTGCAATGCTTAAACAATTTAAAAAGTTCAAGTGTTTGCAAATGAACGTCATTGCTGCCACATCGCTTGGGGAGAGACGTCTTATAACACAACCAGAACACCATATCTCAGTCACATCTTTCAAAGCAGAGTTTGCAGCAATTTCTTTAGCAACATCTTCATCCTGCGCTTCTCTCAAGCATTTCATCACCAAAATATTTGCTTCAATGTTGTACGTAGTGCCTTCAATTGCAAGATATTTCTTGAACGACAACACACAGCTTCTGTACAGACGAAAGTCATCGGACTCCTTATTCACTCCCAATACTCCAGCTAGAAATTGAAGCACCAGATGCCATCTGCCATGCTTGAAATGGGAAGTTATAAATTCTTTTAATTCTTCAGGTGTTTTTGTTTCCACTATATGCTTCGCTGCGAGAAATTCTTGTATAGTTAAATGAATGAAGCAAGCTTGTGTTTGAATTTGAAAAATTGGATTAGGTAAAGAATTTAATAATCCAGACGCTTTCATTTTCTCATCAACTAGCTCTCCATTGAAAATCAGTTCATCATTTTTCATACCATTGTAAGCCAACTGTTGAAGTTGCTTTAAAACTTCTTTGCTTTGATTTCGGTCATGATGCTTATTGAAGTAGACTAAGGCCAGCTCGTACAGTTCAGTCAAAGTAGTTGGTAGAGCACCAATATCACCCTCTGAGTCAATGAGACATTCGAAAAGAGAAACACAAACAATAAAACAATTCACTGGAATGTAGCATAAATTCATCAGTTCAGATGATGATTTCATGTGACCCAATATCGTTGCTTCTAGATCACACCTGTTATGATTAGCACAAAACTGTTTAACATACTGTTCAATTTTATCTGATGTGAACCCAATAATCTCAGCAGTTCTGTCAAATTTCATTTTGCACAAAACATCATTCACAGTTGGCCTGCTGGTCACCAAGACTGTTGCCCCTGGTAACATGTCGCCAGACAAGATTTTGACAAACAGAATCATTGCAGACATGGAACAAGAAACATCGTCATTGGGAAACATTCTTGACTGATCTAGAATTTTCTGAAAACCTTCATGGTTTGCACCAAATTCATCGAAACCGTCAAAAATGAAAGTAGCATTTTGTGGGTTTTCCCAAATTTCTTTAAAAATACTTTCAAATTCATTTTCATTCTGCAGCTCTGTTCCAAACTGAAGAAATTTCTTAAGTGTTACATGTTCTATTTCGGATAGATTGAACCATCTGAATTTGAAGTAAAATGCGATTTTATCATGATAAATTTCATCATCTCCTTTTGCCCAATCTCGCATGATTTTTCTGGTCAGAACAGTTTTTCCAATTCCGGGACGTCCGATCAACAAAATGGTAGAAGGGATTTTGTTTTTAGTATCCTGCTTTGGACAAAATAATTCCTTAATCTCTTTCAGGAGTATTGAAAATTCTGGAACTTTCGTATAAACATCATAGATCTCATGCCTATCCATTCCCTTTGAAAACTTGTGTGGGGCTTGTTCAGTATGGATAACAAGGTCTATGAACATGTCGTCCAAAGGTGTATGCTTTGAACCATAATTTATGTCCTGTGTGAGGCCTAGCTGTAAAACCTTTTCCTTGTAAACGTCACAGCAATTTTTTATGCAAATTAAGGCAACTTTATCAGATAAGTTTTGCAGTCGAAGAAAATACTCAATGATAAATTGCAAATCACTTGACCAGGCTGGAGGAATGGAACGGGAAAATCGCTTCACTAGTAGATAAATAACTTCTGCCAGGGCAATTATACAAAAAATACCATTACATACAGACAAAGTTATCAACAAAGATTCTTTATCGCGGGCAGCTGAATTGGTACATCTTACACTAGATAGCTTGTCGCCGCTTGTATTCTTTGTTGTAGTCGTGTTTGAGTGCGTTGAACTCAATTTAGGGTATTTACAACTGAATTGTGTATCAAATCCACTCGGATACAATACAGTATGCTGTAGGATTGTGAATAATGTACAGAGAATTGAACGAGCCACAAGGTGGAACAAATAGAAATTGAAAACATAAAAGGTTTTTCTACCTTGTTCATTGTTCCCTCTCGCGACTGTTTGAGGTTCATCACTTCCGCTTGAGAGTCTTTCTGCTTGTTTGATACGATTGCCAACAGCAAGCGAATAAACGACACTCACAACAACAACAGAACCAAAATTGGACAAAACAAAAGCAAATAATTTCACGGGAGAGTTGTACTTGTCGTCGTAGAATGAGAAACACGTTTTCTCGGCATAAATTTTGTGCGTTGCATGTTTTGTGTCAACAGCACAACTGAACTTTTGCATCTCGCTGAGTCTAAATTCCCTGGCAATTGCTGTAAAGATCAATCCACAGAAAAAATGAATGATCACACATATGTAGGATAAGATGCTAAATCTCTTCGGTATTAGGTGTTCTTTAATACCATCCATCATCTTGAAAGAAATAAGAATATTTACTTCACGATATAAATCTTAGCCCACACTGTCGCGTCTCTCTCGACGTAAAGTGTTTTTTTAAAATAAATCACTGAGCAAAACAATACCCAACCTCGTGCCTAAACAATATCGTCTCTCGCAATATGCAAAAAGAAGTAATTCTTTAAATTCCTGTTCCGCAATTACACAAAGAAAATATCAGTTCCAGAAATGAGTTGTTAATTCACATTTCGCGCGGGGGTTCTTGGATTGGCCACCGATGAACTCCATATATACGTGGAGTGGGATCTTGATTGCTGAAAGTGAAACCAAAGATGGCAGAAATTAAAGGCCCCATTGGTCATTTTCAATCATCCTAGGTGCGCGGCCAATTATTTTTCTCATTGTTCCGACCGGCAGTAATGATCCACTAGTGAATCTCGTTAGTTTTATTACGTGACGAATTTTTCGCCAACATAGTATTATTACAATGCGACAAATTTTTCGCCAACATAGTTATTATTACAATGCAACAAATTGTTCGGTAATTTGTCAAAATAGTGTTATTACAATGTCGAGTTCGAATTACATAAATTTAGGCTGCCTATGTTGTGATTCTTTAAAACATCAACAATCCGCCACTTTGTTTTTTTCGAAAGATATCCAGCTGATCTGGGTATAAAAATCAACCAATCAGAAGCCAGATCTTGGACAAAACTGAATTATCATTTCCTTCATTGCATATGACTTCGACACTCGAAAATATCAAGTAATTTTATGATATTTATGTGAAAACACGTTTATTTTTTCCCAACTGTAAATTAGAATTAAAATTTTTCACCCTTTGTACTATTAGTTGGAAGAATAGAAGCAAGTAACACCAGGAACATGACAGTTTTGTCGAGACGCTTTATGACCTCTGTTATGATCTCAGATCAGCTGAATCACGTCTTTCGTAGTGAACTTCACTGAAATTTCAACGCACCCAAATACAAAATATCAGATCGAACAGTTTTCCTCGAGATTTCTCTCATTTTCCACTCAAATATACAGGCCGATATCAAAAAATCTCCTGAACATGAAATTATTGCCTAACTTTGGGTATTCGCACAATACAAAGTATTAAAAAGGCTGATATTTCTACGCTAGATGTTTCCAATCCAGCTAAATTTTACTAATTTTAGTGTGTTTTATCCATTGAACTGTAAACAAACTGGAACGATAACTCGGGGGAAATTGAAGCCAGTGCTTTTTACTTTTTCTGAGTTATGAGCTGAAATACTTGACGCAAAATGTTGAGCCGTACATGAAATTAACGTTCTAACGGATCCTAAGGCTCACATCAGTACGATAGCACACCAGCTCTTACACTATATTTTTGCCCGCTGCCGATCGGTAGGGATGGAGACGGTATCCGAGCGAAACGGTCGAGCTAGGGGTGAAACGGTGTTTCTTTTGAGTTTGCTGTTTTCGGTGCAGATAATAACTCAACGAACCATGCTATTTTAACGGTACCTCCTCCATCCCGTGATCAACTGTCACACGTGAGTCACTGAAGTGAAACCGTGGAATAAACGATACGAACATCAAAGTACACACACACACAAAACAAAAAAAAATACCTGTAAATGTGGCGATCATTAATGAATTTACCTTTACCCCAAACACCCATTCCACGACCAAAACGGGTGTGAAAAGAACTGTGCTTAATCCTGCAAAACAAACTAACAAAAAAAAAAACAAACCCCAGCGAGATTAATAAGACGCTTCTCCCGTAGAGTTCACAACATCGCGTGAAGTCGTTAGGGAAAGGGGCGGGATGGGTCACGCAAGCAACTAACAACTCGATCAGGCAAACTGGGCTCATATTTGTACTCACCGGAGGGGGCAAGTAGCCGACCGGACAAGCGTCCTAGGACCCGCGACACTACGATACGAAGACCCGTATAACATTAACTTCCTTTATTATTTAATAATAAATACATTTAAAGCTATTAAAAAGTTATATTTCGTGTAGAAATTTCGAGATTTAGGTCTTGAAAATTCCACACCAAATGTAACTTTTCAATAGTTTTAATTTGACACAAAGCCCAACATCTGGTGTCAAGTATTCGTCTCAAAACTCAGAAAAACTATTTTGGCTTCAAGCTAAATAGGGATGTCAGGAGTTATCGTTCCAGTTGACTAGTTTTATCTGGGAATATTGAGCCCATGCAAATGACGTCATGCTATGGCGTCATACTATGACGTCATTTGAATTTGCTCAATATTTCCAATATTTTCAAATAAAAAAAAACTCAAATTAACGTCAAATACAAACGGTTTGTATTTGACATCAATTTGACGTTAATTTGAGTTTTTCTTTTGTTTGGGACTAGAAGACTGAAGCTTGCATTACAAAGAGCAAAAAAACGACGAGAGAGAAACGAAATTATGTTGTTATTGTAAACAACTTGACATAGTTGGGAGTAGTGACAAAGAGAAGTTGGGGACAGGAAACAGTGTGCATCAGACTGGAGTAGGAAATAGGCGGCGGAAGACAGGAGACAGAATGAGGTGTAGGTGATGAGGATGAGAGGATGATAGGATTGATAGTGGATGAGAGGGGTTTGAGATAGGATAATTGGGTACAGCTTTGGCTCTTTTTCTGCATCTCGTTCAATAGCAAGTTAGATGGTAGAAAAATATAAGAACTGCTTACTCTCGCCACGCATTCTTATCAAACATTCATCTCCTTCGACTTTACAGCGAGTCGTCTGAAACTGAAACAGCCGCCGTGATTCAGGCAGATTCTGGTGATTCTGAACTCAATGATGACGATGCCGTGACATGCGGAGTAGAACCAAAAGGTACGTCACCGACCGAAACTGTCTTCACCGATGTCGTACACAATAATTCTGAAGAACCTCGTGCACACAAAATGAGATCGCCTTTCTTGTAAGAACAACTTAGTATTAGGAATCATCTAAAAATGACCTCCCAAATTTGAAGAAAAATTTTAAAATGGCTCCCTTGGCAGTTCTTTAGTATCGGTACCTCTCACGAAACAAAAGCTGGGACACGTTGCAGTAGTGTTAAAGGCATGCCTTAGAATTAAGTACTATCTAACTAGAAATACATTGCATGCAAAGTCCCCTCGCCTGAAGCAATAAACTTATATTTCCATCACTGAAATTCTATAATACTCGTTTCTGCTGAATGATCGAAGTCGTATAAGTAAAATGCTATATCTGGGTACAATTATAAAGTCGACTCTCGAGCTATCACATTGATTCAACTATAATCGTAATTCATTAATTGTACCACGAATAGTTTTAAATACTACAATTTTTAGCGAAATTTCAATTCCTTTTTAAACAGATTGACCTTTAAAAATAAATGCTTCTCCAATCAAAATCATTTTAACGAAATTGACGAATAAATTCAAAGAGGTGTCGTACGTTTGTTGATTAATCTACAAGTTAAATTTACGAAATACTTGTATGCTTTAAAATACAAAATCTAGCTATTTACCTGTTCAAAAACACTCCAAGAATGCTTTAAAATCGTAGATTTTTCACCATCTATTTGAATCAAAGTTTTTCTGTCCGAAAGCATCATCTACTTTACATTTTAATCATTTTTACGAGTGAATTTTTCCGTATATTTTCAAAACCATCCAAATGAAAAATATTTTTTAAAAAGTTTTATAATTCAAAATATCAGTTATGCTGACGCGAACCAAGATTTTAATTTCGCCAATCGCACGCTTGCAAATGTTTGCTGGTTACCAGTTTTAACTCGTCTTAAACTCACGCATGCGCATAACTTACAAAAACCCCAACGTCCATGACATAATGGCGGACAACTTTCATTTCGCATTTGCATTCCCGGGCGTAATCAAAATCTCCGGGCGGAATTAGTACCCCCGCCCGGTGCTTCGCACCGGCTCGGGATAATGATCTCCCAAGTCAGGGTCGTCGGAAGCTGTTTAGGGCAGCGTGGGATAGAACTTGAGAAAAGAGCATATTCCTTTTACCTTAGCAACAGTGTGGAGCAGAACTTTCAACTGCCATACCCCCTTCCCTCCTTATGCCCCAGTTCTTCCGGTGCTCCTGTCCCTAATGTAAAAACTCTTTAAAATGGACAATGTCCTGGTAAAAAGAACTCCCTAATACGACGCAGTTTTACTATGGACAACTCCCTAATATGAAGGACTCGAATACTGATACTTAAATATGAAGAGGTATCGCTATAGTAACAACACTTTTCTAACACAGTCAGCTCTTTAATACTGATGCGCCTTCATTATAAACTGCTTCTAATATCAACACCTATCCAAAACCAGAACCTCGTACAAAAAGCCGGGACACTTTGCCGTATAGTGTTAATGCATGTCTAATAAAAACCATCTGAAAAAGAGATGATTTTTAGCGAGAATTGCCAAATTTGTCTCGACCGTATTTATCATCAATATCACTGTATTCCGTCCGAAATTTGCCGGGGGGAGGTCAGATATTTCTGCTAAAAATCCTCGTTTATATGTGGGCCCTGTTGTACGAAGGTTGGATAGCGCTATCCATCGAATAGTGATTTTTTCAACCTTTCTAAAAATGCTTGAAAAGCAATCAAATTTCAGCTTTGGAAGCAACAATTATTAAAGAGGATCCCTCCTCAATTTAGGAAAACTAAGATTTAATCAAAATTTAGCCAACAACGGACGATTTTAAAGCGATTGAAAAAACACTATGCTATCTGGCTTTCATACAACCTGCCCCTGGTGATTAAATGTATTTGTTTAGTATGATAAACCGTCAGGTTTTTTAACCTGCTGAACCATTGTTGACTGAGAGTGAGAGAATCATTTCTTTCTGCAACCGTCAGACCTCACATACGAAATTATGGAATAAAAATATAATTTAAGTGCTAATTGTTTGTGTTCCAATTAATTCAGAACGTCATAACCCGCGATTATGACGTCATAGGCTCAAGTGTGAAGATCAACTCAACTCCAGTCAAATCGTGTTTCCAAGCCAGTCACATACGAATCCAGCTGTTTTTATGAATCAACATCGACGCCATGAAGGGTTAGAAAATGTTTTTGTTTCTTATTCTGCAGCTGTTTTCTACGTCGAGAGGAATCTTTGCTGACGAAGGTAAGATTTTAAAGTTTCCTTTTGATTTTCCAGTTTTGAAGAGTTTAAAAGAGTAGACGGGGTTTATTATCCCGGGTTCCGGCGTAAAAAACTGCCGGGGATTATCACACTGCTCAGGAAACAAATCATTGAAATGAAAAGACAATTCAGCCACGAACTACGTACTCGGTTTTACCAACTGAAGCGCTTCCATAATAAACTATCCCGAATCGCGCCTTCCGCCTGGCTACGCTACTAGTAGGCGATGAATGATAGCCTATTGTAGTGGATTGACTAAATATCATACTCCAAAAGAAGGATTTTGTGACCAGAATCCAGTCAGTCCAATCTCGGAATATGCCTATTGATGCATGTAAGTCTTTGCAACATCAACAATTGGCACGAAAAGTTTTCCTAAAATTTCGAAATTTGTTTTTATTGCGAAAACTTGAAGTCGCGGGGTTTCTTTGTTATTCCGTTAGTTTTACTAAATAATTCTGTAAACTATACATGCAGGGTGAAATTGTGGCAAAGCCAAATATATGACGATATATTTGTCAGTTCGTACGAACATAAACCGAACTCCGGGATTAAAAAACCATTTGCATTTTTAACAACCGTTTAAACTTTTAGTAATGAAAACCTTGTTAATTCATCATGTTGTCCAATAATATCTAAATTAATTACAAATGATTCCTACAAATTTCCAACCTTATCTGATAAAATATATAATTATCTCCGACTTCTTTGAGGCTCAACCAAAGTCATGATCTCCGATGAAACGTTACTTCATCTTAATATGTGTTATAAACAGTCTCACAATTGTCTTTAATAACAAATGCATAAACCTCGTTCTCTACAAATATCAGATTGTATGGTTTCATTAAGGATCTTCTTACCCACTTTAGTAATAACACATGCAATATATAAATATTCAAGACAACAATTCTGAAGTTTCAGAGTGTCTGAGAGTAATGATAAATGTTTGTCTGTGATTCCATTGTCACTTACATCCAACTTAGTGAGCTTACATCGTTCATCTCCGAGAGCCTGGCACAAGCTCGGCATGCATTCGTCTGTTAACGAACAACTGGAAACGTGCAAACTGGTGAGAGGAAATGTTCCTTGTTCAAGAACACTGCACAAGATCCGCATACCTTCATCTCCTATCTTATTATTGCTAAGTTTCAATATCTTTAGTCCACATTTTCCTTCATTTACAGCATCACCCAAGGCAACCATGCTTTTTTCTGTTATATAATACGAGCTAACATTCAACGTAGTAATCTTACATGTTTCTTGTCTGAAAACTTCACACAACATCTCCATTCCTTTATCACCGATTAAATTACTAGCGATGATTAAATCAGTTATTTGAAAGTGTTCATCACTGAGAAGCTCTACCAGCCAGGGTATGCTTTTATTGGTTAGAGAACATCCGGATAGATCTAACTTCTCAAGTTTCAACCGCCTTTCTCGAATTCCGCTACAAAGAAAACGAACGCCCTCATCACCTATATGATTCCCACGAAGATTAAGTTGTGTAAGCTGGTTACAAACTTCGCTGCTGAGAAATTCTAAAAGTGTAGGAATTCCGCATGAAGTAATGTCATTATGCGACAGGTCTAAATTCTCCAAGGAGACTTTATGGCTATTTTGGAGAAAATCGTTCAGATACGCCACTCCGGCATCACTAATACTGTTGTCAGACAAACGTAACTTGGTAAGCTTAGAATGACTGTGATTCAGCTGACATTCAGATGTCAACGCAGTAGCACAACGCTTTACACCCATGTCGCCAAAATGACATTCTCCCGTATCCAGTGATTCCATGCATCTTCCATGTAGCAATTTAAAAGCTTCCATCGAACAAGCGCTTGATACGCCTGCAATGCATAAGCGATTTAAAAAGTCCAAGTGTTTGCAAACGAACACAACAGCTGACACATCGCTTGGGGAGAGAAGTGCATTAACACAAAATATCTCAGTCACATCTTTCAAAGCAGACTTTGCAGCACTTTCTTTAGCAACATCTTCATCCTGCGCTTCTCTCAAACATTTCATCACCAAAATATGATTGGATCGAATTTCGCACCTAGTGCCTTGAATTTCAAGATATTTCTTGAACGACAACACACAGCTTCTGTATTCATGAGAGTCATCAGACGTCCTCATTTTCACTCCCAATAACCCAGCTAGAAATTGAAGCACCAGGTGCCATCTGTCATGCTTGAAATGCGAAGATATAAATTCTTTTACTTCTTCAGGTGTTTTTGTTTCCACAATATGCTTCGCCGCGAGAAATTCTTGTATAGTTAAATGAATAAAGCAAACCTGTATTTGAATTTGAAAAATTGGATTAGGTAAAGAGTTTAGTAATCCTGACTCTTTCATTTTCTCATCGACTAGCTTTCCATTGAAAATCAGTTCATCATTTTTCATACCATTGAAAGCCAACTGTTGAAGTCGCTTTAAAACTTCTTCTTTGCTTTGATTTCGGTCATGATGCTCATTGAAGTAGACTAATGCCAACTCGTACAGTTCAGTCAAAGTAGTTGGTAGAGCACCAATATCACCCTCTGAGTCAATGAGACATTCGAACAGACAAACACAAACAATAAAACAATTCACTGGAATGTAGCATAAATTCATCAGTTCGGATGATGATTTAATATGACCCAATAGCGTTGCTTCTAGATCGCACCTGTTATGATTAGCACAAAATTGTTTAACATACTGTTCAATTTTATCTGATGTGAACCCAACTATCTCAACAGTTCTGTCAAATTTCATTTTGCACAAAACATCATTCACAGTCGGCCTGCTGGTCACCAAGACTGTTGCCCCTGGTAACATGTCGCCAGACAAGATTTTCACAAACCAAATCATTGCAGACATGGAACAAGAAACATCATCATTGGGGAACATTCTTGACTGATCTAGAACTTTCTGAAAACTTCCATGGCTTGCATGAAATTCATCTAAACCGTCAAAAACGAAGATAGCCATTCGTGGATTTTTTTAAATTTCTTCAAAAATACTTTCGATTTCATCTTCATTCAGTTCTGTTCCAAACTGAAGAAATTTCACGAGTGTTACATTTTTTATTGTGGCAAAGTTGAACCATCTGAATTTTAAGTAAAAAGCGATCTTATTGTGATAAATTTCATCATCTCCTTTTGCCCAATCACGCATGATTTTTCTGGTCAGAACAGTTTTTCCAATTCCAGGACGTCCGATCACCAAAATGGTGGAAGGGATTTTGCTTTTAGTATCCTTGTTGGGATAAAATAATTCCTTAATCTCTTTCAGGTGTATTGAATCTTTGGGAACTTTCATATAAACATCATAGATCTCATGCCTTTCCATTCCTTTGGAAAACTTGTGTGGGGCTTGTTCAGTTTGGATAACAAGTCCTATGAACATGTCTTCCAAAGGTGTATTATTTGAACCATAATTTATGTCTGGTGTGAGACCTAGCTGTAAAACCTTTCGCTTGTAAATGTTACGACTGTTCGGGATACAATTGCTTATACTGATCAACTCAACCTCATCAAATACGTGTTTCTCTCGAAGAAAATGCTCCATAATAAATTGTAAGTCACATGACCAAGCAACAGAAGATTGGGGGACGAAACATGGAAATCGCTTCACTAGTAGATAAATAACTTCCGCCAATGCAATTGTGGCGTTAAAACCATTACAAACAGACACAATTGTCAACCAAAACTGTTTATCTTTAGCAGCCGAGTTCGTACATTTTACACTGGATAAGTTGGCACTTCCATTATTTGCTGGAGTCATGTTGGGATCAACTGATCTCAATTCGGGATAAACACAACTGAATTGAGTATCAAAACCACTCGGATACAATACAGTATGCTGTAGAATTGTGAATAATATACAGAGCATTGAACGAGCCACAAGGTGTAACAAATAGAAATTGAAAACATAAAAGGTTTTTCTACCTTGTTCATTGTTTCCTTTCTTGGCGACTGTTTGAGGTTCATCACTTCCGCTTGAGAGTCTTTCTGCATCTTCGATACGATTGCCAACAGCAAGCGAATAAACGACACTCACAACAACAACAGAACCAAAATTGAACAGAACGAAGGCAGAGAATTTCACGGGAGAGTTGTACTCGTCATCGTAGATTGAAAAACACGTTTTCTCGACATAACTTTTGTGCGTTGCATGTTTTGTATCAACAGCACAACTGAACTTTTCCATCTCGCTGAGTCTCAGAGTCGTGGTAATTGCAGTAAATATCACTCCACAGTGAAAATGGATGACCACACATATGTAGGATAAGATGCTAAATCTCTTGGGCTTCATATATTCTTTTATCCCATCCATCCATCATTCTTGGTAAAGGAAGGATATTTGATTTGAAATAAATATTTTAGCAATTTAGCCGATTATGTCGCTTCTTGCACAGGGCGAATTTTTTACGCAAGAATTTGTAACTTGATATTGCTGATGGTCATGTGCCTTTGATGATGTTTTGATTGGTCTGTATTTTATACTTCGTCACATGAAAACCAAGCGGTCTTAAATTTACTTGCTCAGTTGCTCTGAGCCTTGAGAAAGGACATCCACAGAATAAAAATTCATCCCAAAGATTTAAAATGTAAAATTTTGAGTACTATAAGAGCGCGACAATTGCGAATTGTGATGTCCGGATTTTGTTACAAGACCTGTCATTTCCAGACGGATTACAGAAATACAAGCCAACTGAATAGGGTTAGGGGAAAACCATTGTGCAGTTAACCGCGAATTAGGCTTCCGATTTGTCCTTAGATTGGGCTGTTTGACTTCTTTTTTGGGTTGAAACTAGAGATAAAAGAAATTACGCTTGTGTGTGTATTGTTTGACTCTCGGCTGGACTCTATAATAAAATAAAGCAGTTGATTTTAATTTTATGGAGAAAATTCATCATTTAGCCTAGGTCACTGTTTTTGTTTGAACTTTGACATTAGTGACTCTTATATATAGGCGTAAACATGAACCGAATTGTTTTGGATTACGATTTCTCCACATGCACGAATCACGATCGCTTTGAAAATCGACCATGCATATTCTAAATAATTGTACGCAATAATACAGTACAGAGTGTCTCAAAAAAAAGTCCCCCCTATTGAAATGAAGCCTTTGTTGATTTGAATGCATGATCAACGCAGTAGTGTGTAAATAGCATAGTTATTAGGTTGAGGCATTCAAATAAAGCGTCTTGCTTTCAATTGGGTTTATCATAATATTAAGGCAATCAGATTCTAACAAAGGCTTGATTTCAATAGAGGGGACTTTTTTCTGACTCACCCTGTAGAGGGGACTTTTTTGGGACACTCTGAAGAGTTTACTTTATTAGTCTTTGCTCGCAAGGAATGATGTGGGTTATATATCATGATGGCCCGTCTCATTCTTTGAATGATTTTTCCAATAATAATCTACAGTGAATGTACTGATGAATACACTCGTTACATTCAAAAGCGTATAATGTTTATTTTTATTCAGTTAACCACCTTCTTTACTTATGTTAATCCTTTACCAGCGGATAAAAATGTTAAGATGAAATAACTCTCTTAGATAAACAGTCTCGCCAAATTAGCGATGCGTGTTTCATCTTAAATTTCTTGAAACTAGACATACAATTGTACCCGTTACTTAGTATAGAACGTACATAAAATAACCATCACATTGTATTTACACATATAAGCCATATAATAACATACAATGGCGGATCTATAGTTTTAGTCAAAATAAATTACCACAGTACAATTTTAAATTGAAGGTATACGTGAATAAGGATGATTAATTTTAAATTTCTGGACACTGTCCCTGCTAAAAAGCCCTTGTAAAATACCTAACTACTAAACCAGCTGGGTAGGAGGCAGCTGTTTTCGTCTAATAATGGAATTATTTTAAATCTATCGATTGAATTATTTAAGTTTTTTAAATGCTCCCACTGCGATCTTGCAAAATCAAAATTCGAGTTTTAAGACACAAGACACAAAATTCTGGTGCCGCGGTAGTTTTGCAAGATCATCGTGAATTTTCTGAATTTGTATTTGAAGTTCAGTTCAAGGTCGTTGATAATACTCACTGCTCTGTACAGGGTGAGTAAAAAAAACTGACACCTTTCAAATTCAAATTAGATAATTACTGCATGTAATGTGACAGAAGTTGCCTAAAATATCTCATGGGTATACGAAGCATATCAAGTAAGTGAATCATTAATTAACCTAAAACATAAAGTTTGTTCCCTTTGCGAGTTAAAATGCATTCTAAGCTCTGTAAACAGTTTTATCAAATCATTTTTCTGGCACACGCGCCACGTTGAATTATCTCAATTGGTTTAAACACTTTCGCATTAATTAACCACGTCCTGTTGATTGTACGCATGGGAATTGTCAAATTCCACCCATAAGTTCGCAGCTAATTTGACTTTCAAAGGTGTCAGACTCAGTTTTTTTTACTCACCCTGTAGATTATATACCAGATTCATATTCTGGGTCGTGTGAAACAAGTAGCATGACATATCAGTTCAAAATTGGTTCAAACTCGATATTTTCAGCCGGTAGATTTAACATTTCCCAGAGGTTCATTACAAACAACAGAAGAATTCCAAGAAAACAACACGATACCACGACGAAATTCATGGAAATGATCAACCATACAAGCGAGGATTCCGGTTTCGTGGAAAATCGCAAAGAAGCCAAACTAACGAAGGAGAGAAGCAGGATGATTGAGACCACGATGTCGGCTAAAGTTTCAAATTCGTATTTCTCGGAATATCGTTTATACGGCCGGCAAACCAAAATTATGAGAATGTAAATGACTAGAAGGAGGGTTATGCTTAAAATTTGATAAGTGGAGGTGTTTGGGACAATGGTCAAGAACACGGCAAGCAGAAGACGACGTGTTAAAACAATCAATCGAAAATACCGTCGGAACGGTGGCTTGAATTCATCATACAACGGATTCAACCAAGTGTCGATTTCCTGGGAAACAGCCTGGCCTTCTTTGTTCAAGTATTTGAACAGCAACGGAGCGAAAATCAAAAAGGGAATACCGATGACAAAAAGTGCCAAGGAAACATAGCCCAAGATTTGCAACCACTCGTAAGACGTGCCGTTGCAATCAAGCCACGGCGTGTTCTTCAAATAAGACAACCCATCACGATGTTCGCAGGAAAAAAGCGCATGGAAAGTTCTTGTGGTGATAGGAAAATACGCGAACATGAGTATTTGAAGACTCCACCGTTTGCATTGGTGAGTGGAAATATTCCTATCGTAGAATATAACCCCAAAGAAACATAGCAGCCATATAAATATTATAGACGCGATAGGCAGAGATAAAATGACGGCAAAGCTCAACTCGGGACGTTTTGAAGACGAAAAGCTACAAGTCAGTTCCGATAATTCAAAATTGAACGCGTTCGTAATCTGATATTTCAAGAGAACTATTTTGGTTGGCCAAACGTTCGCCTCGGACAGCATAGCGTCTATGGACTGGAAGAAGAACACAGCGATGCTCCAGAAGCACTTGAGGTTGCTGCCTGCGTCGGAAAGTCCCAAGACCCATGTTGCAAAAATAGGCAGGAAAAACCAGCCGGGAATTATAGACTTCGCATGCAAAACTACGAGTGTTACTGCCAACAGGAACATTAAAACAATGATCACTCGCTTTTTGCGTCTTTTGAGACAAGCCAGCAGCAAAACGGATATGATGAAACACGCGAAGAAGGCGATTGTCAAGATGATTGGAAAATTATGATTAAATTTTGGACACCGGAAACAGGCCGAACCCTTGTGGTAGTAACCGTCCACACATTGAGAGCAGAATCTTCCCTTGTTTCCATGGCGACAAACGCATGACGAGTTGCATACCGTTCTCAGATGGCCATCCACCAATTGCAGTTGGCATCTACAGTTTCCGGACGGATTGCAAACGTCACCGTCAAATATCTCTTGTTCACTGCATTTCACCAGTTTTGTGACGTTTTTAAAATCACCACAACACGGCCAGTAACCTTTGTTAATGTTCATCTTGATGTGATTTTCATAGGTTGACGACAACGTTTGCTCCCTCGAAATCGGTGTTACATGCGCTTTGCACGTGCCACCTTCCATACAAAGTTTACAGAATCTCCGGTAACCATAGTAACCATTGTTACAAAAACACAGACTGTAGTCGTGGTACATTGGGTCCATATCAACCTGCCCGCCCGTATTTGTCAGGCGCACTGTCGGGCAAGAGAAGGTGTTCCTCTGTAACTTCACCTCATATGTTACTTTCATATAAGCGTTCGGAAAAGAGTCTCTATTCTTCAGGAACCGGTTTCTTCTGACATCGAGGTACCTCAAAGATCTCAACGGGGAAAAAAAACTCAACGGTAACTCACCCGTAAAATTATTTGACCTGAGAGAGAGTGAGAAGAGATACTCCATGTTATATACAGTATTGACGGGAATCCGACCAGTCAATGTGTTGTTACCTAAATCAATATACATAATTTGTCCGAAACTCCACAATGAATTCGATATTTTGCCTCTAAGTCCGCAGTTATTTGCAACGAGCATTCGCAGGCTGTTTGTGCTCGGGCTCAGGGCTTCTAAAAGTTGATTACCATGAATTTTCAGGTATTCGTTTCGATCAAGATATAAGACCTGTAACTGGGAGTTGAAAGATAGATTTGCAGCAAAACCAGTGAAGTTGTTGTTTGATAAGTCAAGCACATGTAGGGTACTGAGTTGATTAAACGTTGTTGGAATTACTCCATGTAGCCTATTCGAACCTAGGACAAGTTTCTTGATCTTCTTAAAACCGTCAAAACATTCCGATATTACACCTTCAAGTTTGTTGTTATTAAGCCGAAGATCCATCATGTTTGGGTTAGTTTTCCCAAAATCAGCTGGAATTGTTCCTTCCAGCTCACAATTCGTCAGATGTAAAGATATTAAGTTGGTCATGTTTGAAAAATACCACAATCTACCCGAATTCAGCCTCAGGTATTCCAAGTCCAAAAACCACAGTTTTGTCAGATTTCTGATGCTCAAAGGCAAGTCCCCTTCGATGTTGTTTTCGCCAAGGCTCAACACTCGCAGTTTCCGCAGACGATCTATGTCGGACGGGATGGTGCCGTATAACATGGTTTGATTCATACAACAAAGCTGTAGTTTTTCAAGGTTGTACAATTGCAACAGCAAGTTCCATGGTATTTCGCCATATATTCCCGAAAAGGAGATACAGAGCTGACGAAGTCGAGTCATATTACTGGAAACCACATCGGATATCCTTCCCGTCATTCCCTTGTTACCAGGCAAACATATTCCCTGTAGATTTCGAAATTTCCACAAATTTGGCAAGGGTCCTGTGAGGCCATTTCTGGAAAGATCGATCCATTTGACATAGTTGCTGCTGTTATAGCAACGAATACCATACCATTCGCAATGATGCAAACTGCTGTTTTTTCCCCAGCCTGTTTTCTTATGCCAGTGGAAAGGACCGCCCGTTGAATCGTACAGCTCAAGAAGAAACAAACGCTCTTCCGAAGTTGTAAACTTGTGGTCACTCGCATTGTTGTCGATGGTTAAATTGAGTAAACAATCTGGGTCAGTTTCTTCACCTCTTTGAAATGATCGAAAATTCGAGGCATCTGTAAAATTTTGAAAAAGTATTCAGCGATATTAACTGTGGTAAAAATACCTCTCAAAATGCCTCATTATATATAGGTGTCTGATAAATATTCTATCAATGAAATGGTATTGAACCAAAGCGTAGCCAGCCTGACGAGTTGTCCCGCTGATTTAATATTTTGGTGTTCATTGATTGAGAAAACAAAAAAATTTTAAAGACATGAATAATTATAACAACTCGAAATTGAAATAGCGGGACAAAATCGTCAGGCTGGCTATACGCCACTGATTAGAGAATGTCACCTCAATCTTCATCTTTTGTTTTCACCATCGTGCAGTAATCAGTATTGCACACTTTCGTGCAGTATTCATGGTCAAGCGCAGCCTAGTCCCAGGCCTTGTAAGCGCGCGCTGTATAATTATATGCAGGGGCAGCCCACGCTGAGAGGCCTAGCACAAAATGTTGAGATTTCAAAAATCGTCCCTGATTTTGTCCCTGCAAGCAGCCTAGTCATTTGGCCTTTTATGCGTTCCTTAGTACACGCGGCGAGACGGGAATTGAGAGGCCAAGAAGAAAATGTTTCATTTTAGTTAAAGTGGGGACTTTTGTCCCCAATTTCTGTTTTGAGGTTAGTTTACGATCTAAACGCGGTTAGCTGACCTTTTTCGACGTCGCTAGTCAAATATTTTGCTTGAAATAAGCTACGGGAAATTAATTATGCTGCGAGGACTTTGAAATCTTCATACAAACGTTGCAATGTCATTCGCTGTCAATGCTATCGACTATCGAGTGAACTTGAGTCCGTACGTACATGTTTATGATTATAATAGTAGGAATTAAATGTAGTAATTAAATTCTTTAAGATACCACAGCGGCACAGCTAGATTAGGCAAACAAGTTTGCATAATGTTTATATCAATTTGATGAACTAACAACGTACCAATATTTTTCGGTCCAATCGCCCCAGCATAGCCATTTGTCAAAACGCAGACGAAACAAAACCAAGTTACACAACAATATTCGATCATGAAATAATTAAAACCAACGAAATTAACGTTAAGAAATCGTTTGTTTATCAGCATTCTGAGACATATGCTTCAATGCGATGAAACTAAACTGATAATTTTGATAGCTTCAAGTTTAATAAATGGCGAGCTATTTTCATTTTCCTTTTGCTCTTATTGTCATGTAAATAAGCGAATCAGTCGCCACTTTCATTATTGAAAGCAGGCATTACGAGACAGTTTCAGATCAACACACAATGCTTTTTCAGAGAATGAACTTCACGCTCAAAGGATTCTGGTCGCTGTTACGTATTGATAGGAAAGACATTTTGAGAGGAAAAACCTTTTATCCATATGAATATGGATCTGCTTGAACCGCTTCTTTGCCACTGCACAATGCTTTGATTGATTAAAATTCATGATCGTGGCGACCGGAGAAAATAGTTTCAGTTGCCCTTTAGGATTTCAAAAGAAAATACTTTGCAAGCGAACTTCCCGCAAGGGTAAATCATGAAATGAAACTGAAAGGACTGTATTTTTAGTAAAAATTTACCCCAAAGGTAACAAGATCGGTGGGCTACCATTTTTGAGCACGGTTGAGGGGACGCCTATCCTCCTCAACTATGAGCTGAAAGAGGGGGGTCCCTTCCCCCAAGTACGCCCCATTCACGTCACGTCATTTAATGTCTATGAGGATAATTCTCCTTAAATTTTTTCCAAATTAACCCATGAATGTAAGTAATTGATTAATTCCATTCCCCTTTGTTAATTACTTTTTACTTCCAGGAACCATTGCCCCGGTATCAGCAATCAACACTGTAGATCTGACTTCATCATCGTTCGCAATAAGATGGTCACACCCTCCTGGAATTTCCAATAAGAATAGACTCTCACTAAAGTACATTGTTTGTGTGAGAGAATCTGATGCTGTTGGCCAAGTTCATAACGGAAGCACCACGAATAATATCATGAACGGTGTTGACAGTAAGGTCAATAACAAGATGGTGAATGGCATTTTGATCGTGAAGAACAATAGTATCGTTAATGGTACTGAAGTGATGCTCACATGCGAAAAGATTATTGGTGATGGAATTATGGTCAACTGTAAACTTGTAAATGGGAGTATGGTTGTCAAAAATAGTAGTCTGGTTAATGGTACTGAAGTGATGATCGCGTGTAATTTGGGTAATGGTAGCCTGGTTATGCTGAATGGTATAAAGCATACTGGTGTTATGGTCAATTGTAAGCTGGTTGGTTGGCGTTTGATGGCAGAAAACAGTAGCCTGGTTGATTATACTGAAGCTACGATCATGTGCAGTCAGGCTAATGGTAGCCTAATAACAGTCAACATGACTAGTGGTACCGACGTTAACTGCAAATTGATTAATGGTAGTCTGGTAATGATTAACAGTAGCATGGAAACTAGTGTTTTGGGCGATAATTGTACAAATGTTGGTGAGGCTACTTTGTACTCTAAGACTGGCCTGAAGCCCAGCACAGAATACATCGTGAGTGTTAAAACACAGTCCCATGCTGGGTTTGGTCCTAAAACTGAGAAATATGTCACTACGATGGAACAAGGTGAACATCTCCTATTGATCACTTGATTTGGTTCGTTGGGTTTCCCACAGCTAATCGCAAAAGTCGTAAACTCGTTTTGAAAACTTGCGTCTCGTTGAAATAGGATTAGTTAAATAAAAAAGCGCACCAAGCCTGTAGAATGTTCTTTGTGATGAGTTAAAACGGCTTTATTCTTCAAAAATCTCTAGTATTTTATTACTCGACTGTTCTATGATGTATCTTGAAATCACTAGCTTACCAATACGTAAGTATATATGCAAATCTTCACTTAAGTATTTAACATTTTCGTAGGTGGACACATAATCTATGTCGAACTGGTCTCGCGTATCCAGGAGGATGTCATGTACCGCCACGATGCTCAATCTCATTCCAGCATCACAGTTGGAGAACAGCGGCATACCTTTGATCTACATGGAATGCATTTTATTGTGCTTGACCCGAAAACAGGTATACCCCCAATATATAGATATGATATCTTTATGATGGAACACACATGTACCCTATGTTTATATTACAGTCATTTTCCCTTACGTCCCCACAATTTGTTTTGTTAGGAGATGCATGATCTCTAACGTGTGTTCCCAATATATTTCTCTAATTATGACAAGATGCTTAGAGTTCTGTTTGACGCCTTGCTTAAGATTGAGGGATGGGTTTAGTGCGATAACCCTAGGAAAGATTCAATCTGGTTGAACCAGAGGTCTGGCAAGATTCTTACACATGACCTTTTTATAGGTTCTCAAACTATGCAGGGTTCATTCAACACCCACGACCATTCTTCCGCAAGCACACAAATGGCAGGATTCTTATCAACCATTCCCAAACCCTCGATCATTTTAATGGTGGTTTATTTCCAAGCTCACGACTATTACACGGCTGCTCCTCTCTTATCTCTCTGTCCGAACGCGCTTTTGAATTACACCAGTCGACAATCCTGGAGCATGATTTGTCTCAATGGCTTCGGTACCTTGCCTTGGGTGACGTCACTCACGTCCAATTCTGAGACGGGGCCAGCGGTAATAGAAACTCATATACTATTACCTAAAGGTGAGTGCTATGAGTGTTTTTAAAATCTGAATCCAGTCAACTATAGATCCACTAAAATCGACTTTGTATTTCAGAACTCAAAAATGCACCAAATTTAACCAACGTGGTAGTAACAAGTGCTCGCTCCTTTGAACTAAACTGGATTGCTCCAGCCACTGATAACTACACTGGCGGGATTTCCTACTACGAAATTTGCTACCAAAAATCAAATGTTCCTGTAAACGGAAGCTGCTCCCTGGTATCTGCGGGCAGTGATGTTTTGCAGGCCACTGTTAATCGCCTGCATCCTTATCAGCAATACAGAATAAGGATACGGGGGGTTGTGGCGCTTGGATATGGACCTTACTCAAACACAATTATGGCAAAGACCCATGAAGCAGGTAACGGGGGGGTGAGTGAGATATATATATATAAAACATATTAACAATACGGTCGACACTGAAACGGACCCACAGCTGTCATGCGCAAACAACGGTTTGGGTATAATTTCAGCAGTAAATAATGGTTTTGAACCCTTTCGATTTTTTTACTGGCAATTGAATCTGAGCCACCAATATGTACTACCGGACTAATAAGTAATGGTACAGTTGAAGTTATTTCTTCAAAATGCCTCCCAAAGTCGTTTTTCCGTAACGTCTTGTTGTATTGTTCTAGCCTTATAGCCATCAGTCGTCGTTCCAGTGTACATAGAGTTCATTGGTCTAATGGAACAAACTAATTATCCTCATAAATTGTAACAAATCTCTTAATTGCAGTACCAGCTAAAGGTCCATCAAGGATATACGTATCTAAAGCAAACACCTCCTCCATCCTAATTCGTTGGACTCTGCCGTTGGAGAAACACAGAAATGGCATAATAAGAAAGTTCAGTATTTGTTACGAGCCATACCGACGCAGGAGCCGCTGTTATAAGTACATCAACAAAAACCTCACCGACCGCTCGTACTTTGTTGATGGTCTAAGACCGCATTCCCTGAATACATTCAAAATCAAAGCTGCCACAGCCGTTGGGTTTGGCCGGCCAAGCGTTGCTTATCTGAGATCAAGTCAAGCCGGTGTGTAAAACCCATGGTGTATGTTAAAAAATTAACTGCTTCGAAATTAAAATTTGCTGCAGTAAAATATATTGACTAATTTTGAAACTCGGGGTGGGTCCAACACTAGTGCATTAATTTGCCTTACATAAGAAAACAGCTAAAAATAATCACTTCGTTTTGTAATGCAAGTTAGTGCACTGGCGCTGGATCCACCCCTGGTTGAACCCGTTGCAGGAATAAAGTTGCCCCAAAGCTAATACAGGGCAGCGAAACGTAAATTGTTTCAAATTTATTCAACTCTCCAAATTTTCTCCACACGCCTAGCTCCTGATGGCCCACCAACTGACGCACGTGCGACGCAGGTGGAAGCCAAGAGCATTTCGTTGTCATGGTTGCTTCCAGCCGTCGAGTTGCGCAATGGATGGCTCGTCAAATCCAGCGTTTGTGTCCGCGTCTACAATACCTCACCCGGCCATTGTCAGCAACACATCGAGCTGGAGAAATATGCTGTTAGGCACACGGTCACTGGTCTGAAACCTTACACTAAGTATGCTTTTGAGATATCCGTTGCCACTAAAGTTGGGAATAGTCCCACGGCGTTGGTTGTTAGCGAAACACTGCAGGCAGGTAAAGGACGGATGAACTGGATAAAGCATAATTTCGGTCTGACGAAAACTCTTCAAGGACACTCTGCGGCCGGTTTTACGAAAGCTGGATAGCGCTATTCACCGGATGGTTTTTTTAATGCCTCCAAAACTGTCCTTGTTCGGTCTAACCTGGCCAAATTCTTAGCATTGCCTAATTCAGGACTCTTCTTAATATTTTTAGCTATAAATTTGTAATTTTTATTGCTTTTCAAGCATTTTTACAAAGGTTGAAAAAATCGGTTGTATAAAACTGTTTAAATACATTTTGCATAACTTAGCATCAAATGTGGTATAGCAACTGCCTAAATTAGACAAAACACTTCTCGACGTTTCGACCTGAGGGCCTTCGTCAGGAGAGTTAGTAACTCTCCACATTTGGTGCTAAGTTGTTTGAAGACGCTGCCACGCTGCTCCCTGGTTATATTGGAACTTATCTACATTTTGCATAGTTAATCCTAGTTTACTCATGACTTTGATTGGCCAATTCTGACCTTAACTACAGTTAAAAGTTAACTCATAAAATTGATCTTTTACAACTGGTCCCAGGTAGAAAGCGCTAGCGATCCAGCCTTTGTACGACCAGCCCCAGGTTGAAAAATACATAAAACTAACAGGGTCGTGTTGTTCATTTCAGCTCCTTCAGGCCCACCGGCAGATATACAAATCACCAATTACACTCATAACCGCATCAACGTTACGTGGTCGCCCCCAGACCATACGGAAAGAAACGGTGTGATCACCAAGTATTGGCTCTGCATTAAAAACCAAACGTATAAATACTGTTTAGAAAGTGGCGTTGTACCACCCAACCAGACATCGTACGTCTTCAACGGGCTGAGGCCGTATCGAGTTTACCAGCTCTTGCTTAGAGCGGCCACCAAAATTGCTTTTGGTCTACTAGGGAAAATAATCCGAAGAACAGCCCCGTCAGGTTTGTTTTGAAAACTCTTTACCAATTCACATCTCTCAAAAGTATGACTGCATTGAAAGTAGAAAGAAAAGTTGCATCGTGTAACACAGCCTTTGCATGATTGACGATCCGTTTCAGAACCCAGTGGACCGCCGACAGAAGCAAAGATTAAATATGTGGACGAATCAACGATAGGGTTTTTCTGGTCCCCGCCCCACCCGGAATTACGGAACGGTATTATCATCCACTACCGTGTGTGCATACGGGAATATGGCCCCAACTTTGCCTGCATCAGAACAGCAAAAGTATTGGAAGGCAGAGGAAGGCGGAGTTACGCCTATGGGGGCCTGAATCCGAATAAAGAGTATGTTGTGGTGATCAGGGCTGCGACCATTGTGGGCCCGGGTCCTCCTGCTTTCGTACAGAAAACTAAAGGTGTGTCTGTTTTTAATTCACAACCGATTGTCCATCGTCTTTGCGATTGCTCTTTTTTGTAACACAAACAGCTGAGCCAAAGAAATCATATCACCTCAATGGTTGAGTACAAATTTTCTTTTCAAAAAATACCTAAATTATTAGTCAGGGCTTTGACTAGTAAGCAATTAAACAGATTTACCATTTAATCTTATTTAAGATGGCTTAAGGTAAAATTTCCATTCCTAGAAGGGTATTTTGCCCTCATCTTTGAAGGCAATTTGGACCCAAAATGAGGATCTTGTTTCGAATTTATTTCCCATAGGAGAGTGCGATCTTCCTTTATTGCACAGCGGTGACTATGTGAGCGAAGACAGTTTTAGCGCCAGTGGTTTTCTCGGTCGGGGATATGCGCCTCACCATGCGCGTATCGATGGCTACCGGCCTTGGTGTGATAGCGGCCTGAAAAACAACACCTTTGTGCAGGTTGACTTTGGCGGACCTTTACGAGTCACTGGCGTGGCCACACGACGCCACGATGAGCATTGGAAGAGTTGGGTTTCGTCCTATGAAGTTTCGCATAGTCTGAACAACGTGAACTGGCAGTATGTTAATGTCAGCGGCAAAACGGTACTTTTGTTAGCACTTTATGTTAGCACAATAGAATAGTATTTTGTGGTTAATAGATATAGTTCGCTTTCAAACTGTAAGTATCGTCCCAGTGATCCTTTGCGCACCCGTGTTTACCAGCCATTTTGATAGACGCAGAGTTTCAAAGGATTATTGGTATAACTCTCATTTCAACTCTTGCATGTGATCCAAAGCCTCTTCAAGTCTATCTCTTGTTCAGGTAGTTTATGGAAACAACAAAACGATTGAGGGAAGACTGGTGACGTATTTCATCGATGAACCGATTTTTGCTCGCTTTGTTCGGTTCCGTGTTCTCGCTTTCGTCGGGCTCCACCCGTGTATGGGAGTTCAGATCTTTGGCTGCGCACCTGGTAGGTAGACTATCGTATTCCATCAAGATATATCAAGAGACAGAGGTTTAAGGCTTAAAAGCAGTTGTACAAATACCATTTTTTGGGAGGGAAAGAGGAAGCGTTTTCTCCAGTACCAGGCCCAAAAAGGTGAATGTATAATGTGTTACAATATGATGAATGTACGATACTCGATAGTTATGAAAAAATCTCTTCAATGTCCTTTATCTTTTGATCAACTGTTCGTGTAAATTCAGTGTTATGTTGAAGACATTGTTACTGAGTGCAATCCAAGATGTCTGAAATGTACACTTCACTAGAATGCATGCAATCGGAAGTTGTTAATAAAGGTGAATAGGGGGTTACGACATTTGTTGTCTTCACGCTATTCGATCATTTTCTTGTCGTATTAAATTCTTACATGATCAATTACACCATTCGTATTCCATAGCAATTAGACCAACAGCTGCAGTTCTTCACAAGACAGCCTGGTCCATCCAGGTCTCGTGGCAACCATTGCCTTCAGTGGTAGACAACGGAATGATCTTTGGCTACAAGATTTGTCATAAACTGAGCTCGTCAGATGAACGTCGCTGTGCTTATGTTGACCATAATGCTACCACGTATAATGTAACAGAGCTGATTCCACACACCAATTACGACATCGAGATCTCAGCGGGAACTGTAGCTGGATATGGGCCACCTGTGCTGCTTAGGGACCAGACAAATCAATCGGGTAGGTTGTTAAAAATGACTAGGCCCAGTCCTCTGGTCGATTGAAAAATTGCCGAATAATCATAAAACAGGTTTTTTTATGTATTTCGTCCTTCCCATAGTACCAAGCGGTCCTCCGCGAGATCTTCGAGCTCAAACTATCACAGGAACCAGCATAGAACTGTCATGGTCAATTCCACACAGAAGCCTTGCCAATGGAATTATTATATTTTACGGTATATGTTATCAAGAAGCGAGCTTGGAAACAGACTGCGCAAATATTATATTACTTCCGGGCACGCGCCCGCGTCACAAGATAAACGAAGGACTGCGGCCGTACACAGAGTACATGTTGGTTGTCATGGCAGCAACTAAAATCCCCGGGTGGAGCCCCAAGGCAGTGCTTTATAGCACAACTCTTCCAGCAGGTACATTGAAAAATGTGAAAGATGACTATTACTAAAATTTTCCTAACCTTACAAGGGCTCTATTTCATTTATGTTACAAGTGACAGATTTAAGTATTCAAGTTTTAGGCTAATTGTAGGGTGGTTTTTTCGGTAATGTTTTTCGCCAAAAAAATGCCTATTGTCCAGATTGTCTATTTCAACAACTGTGCACATCTAATGCTTCATATATAATCCTTTTGTGACAGCTCCGTCTGGGCCACCAACGTCGATGTACGCAGTTCGGGTCGCGGCGCGAATCCTGCACATTTTCTGGAGACCTCCCGAAGCGAAGAAACAAAATGGCGTCATCATTGGTTACCGCCTGTGCATCAAGGAAAAACGCTCGAGGGTCCCGTGTAGGAATTACGTCACCTTGCCTGAGAAGGCGATGAACATGTACAGCGTCGACGAACTGAAGCCTTACACTTTGTATAATATACACGTCGAAGCCAAGACCGCAATAGGTTACGGTCCAGCACGATATTTAGACCAACGCACTGGAGAAGCAGGTGTAGAAAAAATGCTTACAATTTACGGAGTTTCTGTTGTTCTATGGTTTTGTAGATAGAGTTATATGTGGTCTTACAGCAATCCCCTTTACGAATAAGTTGTATTAGTTAGGGCTGTTTTTTGTGCGTTGTAATTTGTTCTGTTTAGCTATATTTTATCTATATTTTGACTCTGACCTTTTTTACCTTAAGCTCCTTCAGAACCACCAAGGGTGGCAATTAAGTCCGTAACCACGAGTTCCATCGAGATCACGTGGTCTCCTCCCGAAAAAGAGAAACGAAATGGCGTCATTGCCCTGTACGAAGTGGAAGTCTTCGAGGAAATGGCGGGCTCGAAAGTTGAGAAAATTGCAAGATCCCTGGCGCGTGATAACAACACGTCGTGGAGGATCTCGAATCTGAGTCCGCGCACTGATTATATATTTCACATTAAAGCTGGAACCGCTGGAGGATTCGGGCCAGCGGTTATCATTCACAAACGCAGTGAAGGTATGCTGTTACCATGCAATAGGGCCTTAGTCAATCCCTTGACTGTAACCAGCCAGTCTTAGGATAAAGTTGGATGAAGATGAATAATTCAATCACAATAAAGTTTGGACCGTCAAGCAAATATTCAAGAAAATATTCTTTCAAAGTTCCTTTTTTGTGTCGGTGATGAAATGATTTGTGTTTTGTAGGTCATGTCGCACGAACAGACAAATCCAATGACGATAGCAACAGGGGTAATTTGTTTTAATTTTTATGCTTGGTATGTCGCCAACAACTAGTTCGCTTTATTCTTACACAGATCTAACAATAAAGATTGCAAAATTGCCAGCTTTTGCGTTCAGGGCAGAAAATGAATTCGATAATTAGGGGGGCGGATGCATATTCGTATATTCTGTTCTGCCCGATGTATTTCTCTTGAAAACGCCCATGCGTGATGCGTTTCAAATCCATTGAAGGTCTGCATTAAAGGCGTTCTGTAACAGGCCTATTCGTCAGCTTGCCTTAAGGGCTAGTTTCGCTTTGCGCCATATTTACACCCAAGGGCGTAGGAAGCATCCAGAGGTTGAGGGGGCACCAGCTTCTAGGGGCACTTTTGGTTAATAAAAATGACGGTTAAAATGGTTAATAAAAAAATATATATATAGGGACGGTTTGATTCAGGGACCGCCGACCGCATAGCATTTTTCGTATTTTTTGGGCTTCGGACGGCTAGGGGGGTCCGGGGGCATGGTCCCCCGAGAAAATCTTGAGATATATGCCTCTGAAATGGCCGCAAATCCCTCTCAATTTAAGGATTATTGGGAAATAGTAGATACTTTTTTCTTTCTTTTCGCTTTCCAAAAAGGCTTTTTTTTCACAAAAAGGGCACTTTTGGTCCCTTGAAAAATCTTGGGGGGGCACGTGCCCCCAGTGCCACCCCTTCCTACGCCACTGTTTACACCAGACATTCTTGCGACTGTTTGATTGTGTTGTTCTTCATTAGGTAAACCATCCAGTGAAATTACAACTGGTGTATCTATCTTGTTAATAATAATGGTTGCTGGTTTTGTTCTCAGTATTATGTGGAATAAAGGAATGCTTCCAAACACCAGGTAGTTGTACTCTTTGGTTATAGCCTGCGAGTTGCAATTTTACATCTAACTTTATAATGTGTCATTGCGATCTTGATTGCACAGGCTGACCCTAGTTTATTGACTAGCCGCGTAGTTCCTAGTTAAAATTGCGTCGTTGTTCACGTAAGTGGCCTAAGTACTTTTGGTTTTCGCGGGAAGTATTTGTCCAATTTCTAGTCGTGTTTTTCCTCCTCTTCAGGGCGAGAAGGCTGAAGATTGAGTCAAGAAGACGGAGAAGACGTGCGCGATGCCGTAAACGAAAAAGAAAGGAAATAAGGTTCCATTACTGAAAACTGACATACACCAATATGAATTTAACACCAAGATACTCCTATGACATTATCACATCACTGAGATTGTTAGGATTACAACTATATAAACACTTTCCACATTCCCAATCTTTGCTGGTCAAACCACTCAGTGTAGGATTGTGACAATTCCCTTATTTTTTTGGGGGGAAAGCGGTGTGGTTACAACCTTATTACATTTTTCCAAGGGCGTCTGGTGTTTCTTGATATATTTGTAACTTTCACTTTCTCAATATTTCATAGCGAGTCGGATGGACTGGGTTCTGCGTACTCTGAGCTCGACGACTATCAGGATGCACCAGTGAGAAAACAAAAAGGTATGTCAATGAAAATTTTGCTTAGGAAATTATGAATGCAATTGTTGAAATTCGAGCGACTTTCCTAACACTACCTTACGTTACTCGTAGTGCTGCAGGAACATATTTCAGCTGATGATTTGTACGGAATGACCAGAGGGGACAACTATACTGTTCGAAATCAAGATATTTATGGAAACGCACTGCAGGATTCCTCCAGTCATGATATTTATGTTACCGCAACCCGACAGACTGATGTTTACAAATCCTCTGATATCGGGTCAATCGGTGTTGATGCGCGACCTAAAGGCGTGAATACCGTCATACCACCTGTTGTGCCAAAAAATACAATAATACCACCTGTTATTCCATTGGAAGCAACGCTTTCATCTGTATTCATCAAACTACCTTTCGATCCCAATTCAAGTACAAACAAATCATCTACTGTCTCTTCGAATCCCAAGCCTTCCACTGCACCACGTAAGAAGGATAAACGCAAGCAAAAATTTCCAAATCCAAAGTTACCCTCCATTGTCCCTCAGCTATCAAAATTCACTTCAATAATCGCAAAACAAAAGATATTGCCTACAGTAAATATGAACACTGCTGGTGCCGTTTCCAGAAATGATATTGCACGTTCAGATTTCACGCAAGGTCCTGCAGTTTTGACGCAAGTTGACCACAGTTATGGTACGAAAAGCTACGATCAGCCATCCGACACTCAGACTCTGATCGAGTCGTTCTATGAACCGAAGTATGCCGCTGGATCAGGAACGGATATCAGCGGTGATATGCACGTGTCTCCAGTACCGATACTTCGCACGCATACACAACAAATACGCAGTTACCCAGCATCGCTCCCACCTATGACATCGAGTCCAATATCGAGTATTCCTATGAGCGAATCAGATCGCAGAAGGAGCACACACCATCATCCAAATATGCCGCGCTATTCCGTCGATTTCGGTGGGTTACGTAACCTGGTTAATCCACCTCAACTGCAACGTATACCTTCCTTTTCTGAACTTTTTTGAACTATTCCACCTCCACAAGGAAATTAAGAATGGACGTTAGCATGCTAGACGGGCGCGCAAATTGAAATGTGCGAGACTTTGCATATACGCGTATTTATACTGATTTTTTGGTTTCGCGAAAGTTCCACAAAAGCGGGTTCATGAAAATATTAAACATCTCAGATTAAAATTTGGCCAAGATGTACAAAATAAAAGAGAGAAATGGTGACGACACTCGTGGTTTTTTGGCATCGGAGTTTTGTTTATGCAATCTTTGCTGCACCGATATCTTACACATTCATTCACATCTATCAAGTGGAAAATTGTTGTTTTCACATCACAAAAAATGGTGGATTTAAGCCCGTTATCCACTAGACGAATTTCATAGTATTCGCGCGACGCGAAGTGATATCTGAAATCCAGTGATTGATTGTAGAATGTAATTAGCATAATTTGCTCACTGTGAGTAGCTGTGTGACCGCCCCGCTTTCTTCTACGCGGAATTTGATTGGCTCTTTAAATTTTAGCCGAGCATTCGAATTTTTAGGCATTTAGCGGAGAAAAATATTATATACTAGATTTTTATTTCTTTTAAATTTGTCTACAAAATTCTCACGAAATACAATGGCTAAGCTGTCCAAACGTCAGAGGAATAAACAGAAACAAAAACAGTTAAAATCCAAGCGAAATTGGTCGCTACAACGTACGTCGAAACGGAGAAAGGCGAACGTTTTATACAACAACAAATCTTCATCAAGCGATAAAAATGGCCACGGCAGGATAGAATCTGAACAAGAACCAGACAAAACGGTTTCATCTAGAAGTGCTAAAAGGCTTGCCAGTTGTTTGATAAAATCTTTGAGCAATACGGCTTCGAAACCAGTTCATTTTCTTTGTACATGCATGGTACTTTGTAATCATAAGATTCATGCAAGTTTAGATGTTGTAAATCGAGGAAAACAGAACGTTCATAGCGCTATTTCATATTCAATGGCCAATGGATACTCGAAGATTAAAACGGTAATGTTCATAAATTTTCAAAATATTTTTTTACTAGGCTATCCTCAGTACATGAACTTAAGTATAGTGTCTATTGTGTATGCCTCATGAAACTCAATGCTATCATTTATATGGACATCCATATAAATATTAATGGTTATTTAATACCCAATTGTAAATAAGGTATGGCCTATAATAATAAGCTGCATAAGTCTTAAAAGACTTGTGTAAGTAGTTAAGTTGCAATAGCCTAATTTAGGCTTAACTTTCATGAACATTTCATGAACATATATTTCAGTCGCTTGGGAGCAATTTTGCTGTTTACAGCTAACTAGCTGGATAATGCAGGTTGACCTTGAAATAGCTGGAATGTAGATGCCAAGTATACACCAAAGATAAAATGAGGAGTAGTTAGTCAGTAGTCTGAAATCTTTGAAACAAAGCTACCGTCATGTCTACAGTTTATGTCAACATATTAATTATTGCTTTTGATAAATAATTACTCAGATCTTCTTGTGCTTAGCTATTACTTTTTAGCTTGTTGAAGGACACCCTTATGCAATTAGCTGTATAGACATCATTCATTTGATAATTTAGCTGCAGTTTTACTCACATGTATAAATTATAGCCCCCATAATGTGTTTGGTATATGCTTATATATAGATGGTGGGTTATGTTGGTGATACAGTGTTCCCTATGAGGCCGTACAAACGCAAGTTAGATGAAATATCCAGCAGGCTGGAAGAAGTTGAACGAGAATTAAAAAGACTAAAAAGGGATGTGACAGATGTATGTATATATATTCATGAAGAAATTATAGGCCAGACAGAAATCTAGACTTAAAGTTGCTATAGTTCAGGTATGGGGCAGTTAATATATAATTGTAGATATTTAATAAGTTATTGACTTATTTACAGAATTCAAGTCACCATCCATCAAGCACAATGACTTTACCCAGTGTGTCCTCAGGTGTTCCTGCACCCCCCTCATTACCACCACCTCCTCCCCCACCCCCTCCCCCTCCAGTGTGCAAACCACCACCAGTTATTACATTCAAGAAAAAAAAGGTGGGCTAATAATAACATGTTTCATAAGACATAACTAAACTTCCATGCAACAAACCCACCAAAGGCCACCGGCCATCACTGTTGCCTATAGCCCCTCTCCAAATGTTAACCAAAATATTACTTTCAAAAGATTTAACTAAAAAATGCGTCGAATGAGGGAAGTGAGAGAACTTACCTCAGAATGCGATATGCAGTTTTCTGTAATATAAAGCCGTTTCGCAAACTCAGTTGCAGTCCATATCATCGTAATATATCTTGGCATTGGTGAAGTTCAATCGAACTTAATCTTTTCCTAATTCGCCTTGACAAGCCGTCCTTTTTTGTGGAAAGATAGCGACATGTCGATAATCGACCAACATTCTCTTTTATAATAGCAAGAAGAAAATAAGATGGCGCCATCTAGATCTGAAAAACCTTTTTGGCAAGCCGCACTATTTTTGTCAACAAAGCCGCCCCAAAGGCAAAGGCATAATTCCCGAATGAAAGCGACATACGCCGATATCAACAAGCCAGCTCTTTCGCATGACGAAGATATATTCATATTTTTTGCTGAAAGCTTTTAAATACCTATTATTTTTTTGCTGTCACAAAAGTTTGTCAAAAAGTGGATATTCCTCCCCAATATTATTAATCAATCTATATATTTATCGCATGCAAAAAAAGTATTATATTTTCGATCGACATGGCGCCATCTTTATTTTATCAAAACGAATTTTCAATCGCTTGATTCTCTTCCGAGCTCAATACAAACCTTTTCACATCATATTTTTTTTAAAAAAATGTACTTTTCCTTCAGGCAAGCAAGCAAGACGAAAAATCCAGCGACCCTGCAACAAATGTTTGTATATCTCTTGAACAACTGACGAGCGTTAAATTACGAAAAATAACACGCGTAGAAAAGCAGGAAAAAGAAAACATACCGGCCTCCCCCGTGAAGTTTGGTCTAAGGAAACGTTCCAACGGGAAATTTGTGTCACCCAGCCGGGGGGTTGACGCGAATAATCATCCATTTATAACGTTGAAAGATATTCGAAAAGTATCTTTACGAAAAACACAAACCAATGGAAATAGCGCTAAAAAAAGGTTTGTTGACTTTAGTTCGGTTAATTCTCTACAAATTGAAATGTATTTATTGGTAAAATAATGCAAACAATTCATAACTTTCTGAAAAATTCGAATTCCGACGGCTCAAAGAGTCGACAAAAGAAGAAATTTGGAAAAAGCATTCAGGTTTCAAATTAATTAAGCCATATTGGGATTCGAAATTCTAATTATAATAACAATTTGTAAATGTAATTTCTCAACCTTGCTTCAAAGTCCCTTTCTGTTTACTGCTACTGGTAGCTAATTGTCTCCAAGTGGTTATAATTTTAATGAAACGAAAGTCATGCATTGGTCGATTCGAAATGTTTTAAAACGAATTTTGCGAGAAAAAAATTAGTTGACGCAATATTCTATAGCAATGACCTGAAAAGGCAGAATTCGAGGCAGAATTTTTAATTCCAGAATCTTAGACTTGACAATTGAAACCCGTACGCGATCACACAAAAGACCAATAGACTAACCGAGACTTTGTCCTTTACCCAACGACAGAAGCCCATCTCGCTCTCAAATCGCATTCCTACGACACAACTTACGAAAGGTTGAAAACAAGCGAAGTCCTGGTGGAACACCCGCGAATAACAAGCCACAACAGTGTTTTGGTGATGGGTTGACGCCCATTATGACCAGAGCGTTACAAAAGAAGTTTAAGGTACCAGGCATAGCAATTTTTGTGAAGTTATTTAAGAACCGTACAGAACTGTTCCACATATAGCACGTTGCTCAATGCCAATGACCTACTTCGCCTGCCTTGATCTCGTAATTATCCCGGGGCCGGGTCTTCCTTTAACTTTTCCAATCGCAATGGCGTTCTCACGAAAAAACAACATGAATGTAGTTTAGTTTCCAATTTTAAATTTAAATTTAATAATTGTTGTAGTTCGCCAATCCACCCTCTCCTTTGGACTCGTTTAATGAAACCAAGAGTTTTATGGAAAAGGTAAGTTAAAATTGAAACTCTATGTTGGTGGTTAAGAACGTTCTCTTAGTCGCTGCTAAAGCTCCCTAATGTGGCAGAGAATGCGACTCATGGGTCCTTTAGTGCTAAGCTCACAATGTAAACATTTTGTTCACATTTCAAAATTAACTGCTATATTCATGCACAACCTCGTTCTATATTCATTCAAAATGATGTATTTTGAAAATCAGACAACATTACTGCCATGTTATATAAATATGAACTAATTGGTTTTCATGTTTAAAAATTCGAAATTCAGGATGTTTGGAAAAATTTCGCCAGGCTACCAGCAGGCTCTTTATATTTTGCCGGATATGATAAAAACCGGTGCGCATGCAGACTTTTCCTCAAATTTGATTTTCGAATATTTTTCGTTGCAGAGTTTCACCCAAACCAGTCCATGTTCGCCACTGACACGACTGCAAGCTATGAGGTAAAGCGTTCAAAATGAGGTTTCCAATAATTCCTTGGTATTGCAAGGTAGTCAATTTTTAAAATTGTAAATTTACAATGGCGATTCCAAATGACAAATTTTTCTTTTTGGATGGACCGAATTTTACGTTTGCAGCCAAATGCTCGGGCTATAATATTTTAGGCGGGGGTGCAGGGAAGGGTATAGGTTATAGCCACGCCGGGCCAGCCAGCCGTGCAGGGCTGACCACTTTGCTGGGCTGCATATAACATGATGATGATATATGTGGCGGGTGACGGGGAAATCTTACGCGGACTTATCTGTCTCATATATCTATGAAACTTAGACACTTCTAAGAAGGAGTTAGGTCTCTGGCTGGCTGGAGATGGCTTGAAATGTACCGCGAAATCAGGAAAACATAAATGCACTGAGATAAAATTAGACTGGATTTCTTTGTCGCATTCGAAGTCGGAATGTTAATAAGCCGCCATTTTAGGAGTTTCAAATTGCTGTATAGAATGAGTAATCATTGTATTGCTCAATAGATAATCCAAGCCCTTGTTTGTGTTTTATGAAAGTAACTGTTGCACTTTTCAAATTGATGTTCAATGTAACTGGTTTCAGTTCACTGAGCGTTATACGGACGGATTCATCGCTAATGATCCATCGACACTAGAATAATTTAATTTATAACGTAGCTACTAGTGTAATCAATAAAACTGATATATTGAATTTAAATTGATTAGATTTGCGTATCACAGAATCATTGTCAGTGACACATGTCACATTTTGCGCAGCATAACATTTGGCCGGTATTCCAAAGGGCATTTTTTCATAAAGCAATACCGTCAATCGAGGTCAGTTTGAGTGATTTCGCCATGTTCAGGAGCGATTTAGTTTTTTCTCAAAAACAAAATCGCTTCTAAGAAGAGCGATATCGCAACTCAAAGTCGCTTAATAATCAACTACCGTCATGCATTGCGCGCTTGAAAGCTAAAAGAGGAAAGGTCTATTCCTCTTGAAATTAAGATAGCGGAAAGAAAGTCGAATCTAAACCCACTGGCAACCGCGCTCTTGCTATTTCTACAAGAAACAGACATATCAAAACTTCATTTCATTTATTTATGTCAACTACCAATTAAAAAAGTCTTGGAATAATTCATTCTAACTTCAAGGTTAACGTTAAAAATCTACTAATTCACCAGCGTCAGTCAATACACAAGAAGGCAGTCAATATATTCACTGCATTTATAAAACCTGTGGTTTAAACTACACTATACAAGTCTCACTCGCCTCAGCCCTCTTCCTCGGGTTTCGCTTCAAAATCATCGGCAGAGGCCAGTCCTAGAACCAGGTCGTCCATATTCTCGATTTCTTTATCGACTTGCGCGCGTTTGTCGTGCAAAGATTGAAGGTCGCTTCTTATACTGGCCACGATATTTTCATTTCTGACTACATCACGTTCTGCGTCCTCTGCTCTCGCCACTGCCTCTTTGAGTTGCTCCTCTAAAAACCTAAGATGAATAATAGGTGCAATTATAGTACCTCTATGCTCCCCCCCTCCCCTTCTGGTGTATGTGATGTTGTGGCAATGACGATGATAGAGGGCTCCTGCGGTGAGCTAGATATGTTGCTGGAGTGACAAGTTCGCATACTTTTCGCTCTGGCTTCAAAAAGGATAGGTCCTAATGCTAATTCCTAGCTAATCTCGCAGAAACAAACCTCAGTTTCTCTTCAGCCTCGATTTCGCGTTCCGCCGCTTCATTGTCGCGGTCTTCGAGCGACCTCAGTTCTTCGCCATTCCTCTCGATCAAGCTTAGGAGGCCCTGTTCTTTCGCATCGGCTGCATCCGCCTTTTGGCACGCCTTATCGAACTCCCCTTCAATGACTTGCAGTTTTCGCTGTGTCTCCATCAAAATGTGGGCATGTTCGTGAGCTTGTTGCTTGGCAGTCAACGCTTCTTCTTCGATCGAGATGAGCTGATCGTCTCGTTCCATCTCGGTTTCTTCGTACTCCCTGCGTTTCTCATCGTCGTCCAAGGAACGACCTGAAACCAATGAATTATACGGTTGTTCGAAAGGTGGATAAAGTAATCCACTGCGTAGTGACTTTTTCAACCGTCGTAAAAAAGCTTTGAAAAACGATAAAGCTAGTTAGATTGATTTTATACTCGTTAAAAGTATTTTGACTTCAAAATTGTGAAGTTCAATCTTGGCCATGCCAAGTGGTGTAAATTTTTTTTAATGTTTGAGATAATCACTATCCAGTAGATAGTGATTTTTGTGAGAACTTTTTCCACCTTTCGAACAAATGGCCTCTGGAATGCTAACAAGTGATAAACAACATGACTCGATTATCAAGCAACTTTGAGTTGCGATATCGCTCGGCTGGTCTGTAACTACATCCCTGTTAATAGCAATAAGCAATGTGAAAAAAAAACATTCTCCCCACCTTCGTGATGAGCCAGTCGTTCTTGTTTCTCGACTAAATTCTTCTTGGCTTTCTCCAAGTCAAACTCCAAAAGTTTATAACGACGTCGATAACTTTCCGCCTCTTCTTCGGCCTTCTCGAGTCTAAACAAGTTTATTATGTGTAAAGAGATTTATGCACAGCAGAATGATGAAATAAAAATCGTATTTCACTGTGGGAACTAATTTCATACAATTTGATTTTGACGTACGATGTTTTTCACGTGTGAAAAATTGCCATACACGGCTTTTGATTGGACGTACGATGCTCTTCACACGTGAAACATGTCGTTTGGGCGGCAATTTGTTTACATTTTTTTTCAAGATGGCGTCGAAATACACGAATGAGATTCAATTCTCATATTCAAGACATTTTCACATTCAGCACATTATAAAATCTTCCGAAAAGAATATCTAACTTCTATTGAACAAAATTACAAAGAAACTGAACGGTAATAAACAAGTTTTGATGCATAAAATTTCGATTTTTGTTCCTCGTTGTGTTTTTTTTATTAAAAGCATGTCGTTGTCAAACTCATCTCTATACACATTTAATAAACAAATTACTTCATGGTTGGCTCGTTTGTATGATTTTTATAATGTAATCGTTGTGAAGAATCGCAAATCACTCGTTCGTTTTGCGATCCTTAACAACTCGTGCATAAAAATCGTACGCACTCGCCAACCATGTAAGTAATGTCTATTTATCACACTGTAACCACCGGTTATTTAGGGGGAGGGTGCTTGGAATCTCATAGATACTATAACATGATCGAAAAATGAAGTAACCAGATAAAGATCACTATTGACGGTGACCAGTGACCGACCAAATTTGAAGGCTACAATATGTACCAGAAACGCACCAGCCGCCTGGACAAACTTGCCCTCTCTAAATTACCCCCATTACGACATTTCATATCACGTCATTGTACTGATTTAACCTATAAGACTAAGATATTTTGCAAGTATCAACTTGCAATTTGCCATAAATTATATGATTCTGGCAAGCATTATAGTCTTATTATGCTTTAATATTATCATGAAAGGTCATATTGGGAAAGGTCCATTAATTGACCACAAACATCTACGCAATATAAATCATTTCTCAAACCTCTTAAACCGCTGCAATTCCTATTTATATCAACGTGTTTCCTCGTTTGGGTACTGACGCCATATGTTCTCTATGTTCTCTGAGCTACACTAAGGTTAAGACGGCTGAACTAGAGGCGGCGTGTCGACTGTCTTCAGAAACCTCCCCAGGAGGTTATTCTGACACATTATCCGTTAAATGGGATGGTAGGGTCACGTGACCAACTGTTTCGAATCCTACCAACTGTTTTAGTCATACCATTAAAAAAGCCCTCTTTTTTAGTTGTCATTTCAAAACACGAAGGTTTTTTGACAAATTCAGCTCCTCTAAAAGCTAGTTCGAAGCAAGCAGTGTGAAACAAATCCAAATTGTGTTCTACAACTATTCCTTTTTAAAAAGTGTAAACAGAATTCCAAAGAATAGATTCGAATTTCTGTTGACATGTTAATGTCGCAACTCGATATAGAAAATATTTTAGGATTTTTGAGAATACCGTCTGGAATAAAAAAGCAAATGTTTACCTCGAGTCTGCCTCAACACGAGCTGTTTTCGCTTCGTGATATCTGTCTTCAGCTGTATCGATATTTTCCTTCAATTTTACCAAAGTATCACGAACCTTGTCTAAACTCTGTTGTTTTGACATCTTGGACGAAATATACAAGCAGTTATTCTTCGAACAGAGGAGAATTCGAACCAGATGCACTCAAGGCCGGGACTCGATAGCGTGTGTGTATTGCCTAGCTGCGGTAGCTAGCTAAAAAATGTCCCCTTTTTGTGCAGAACCAGCAGGAAGCTGTTTATACAAAGCGCTGAAGTACAATGCCTTTTACATAATATTTATCAATTTAGCCTAGCACACGACAAATGTCTGCTGTTTCAAAATATTAGGACGAAAGAAAATATCTGCGATGTTTTCAGACATTTGGGTGGTATGGCTTTCTAGAAAACTTGCGACAAATTTTTTTTTCAATAAATATTTTAACAGACAGAAAAAAGGTTCGTATCGCATGCATTACGGTGCAATGTAAATTTACTGATGATCATTGACTATGGTATAGATTTTGTGTCGATTTTAGTCGAATTTTAACTGAAAACGCGCTAAAAAATTCTAAATTATGCCGCAAATTATCATCCATTTTATTTCTCATCAAGTCTTAAAACTTTCAGTCTTAAACATGACGTCTTTGAAACGTTATTTATTATTCAAAATTATCCCCAAATCCCTACGAACAAAACCTCGGCATGCATGGGTGTAATTGACATTACGGACGGGAAAACATGGTCGCTAAAAATTGATCTTTGACGTGGAAATATGTTTTGAACTGACTGGCGTGTTTAAATGGTCCATAATCCAGTAGAATTTGTGTGGAAATGCTTGCTTTTGGATAAAATTTTGCTTGGAACTTGGTCACAGATGATTTTGATATTTTCAGATGCTGATTAGGTTTCCTGGTGTTTTTAGCGTAATCAGCGTGATTCATTCACCGCTGTTCCATTCATATAAACTCATTATGTAATAGTAATTGAGTATAACGACTTTTATCAGTTTCTGCATTTAGCCCGCATTTTAACGGAACGTGCACTAGAAGATATCTTGGCCAATTTCCGTTGGAATTTTCGGTAACATTTGCTCAATTTCTAACGCGAATCCTGACCTAACTTAACTTTAACACTATTACCGTAACCTTAATACTATTAGTCTATTATTTCACCCATTAGATAGTGTTATTTTTGCTACATTGTACCATATTGCAATTTGTTTCTTTGATTGTAAGCTACCGCGCCCGCGGAACCCTGTGGCTTGAGAAACGTCGTGTAAAATTATTTTTACTAAACATTCGTTCACTTAACACGTTGCACTTTTCAATTTCTCCCTACCAGTCCCAAATTCCCAACAAACCCAGCTCAGGCTTCTCAAATCGCGCGAAGCAAAATCTGAAATCCGTTTTTTGTTCTGCGAAATTATTCATCATGGAAAACGGGCTTTTGTGTGTAAGTATGAAAGTATATGAAGTTCTCAGAAACTCTCCTGACTTCGAAGGCCTTTAGCTTACGAAATATACGAAATTCAATACGAAGTTGTTAGTTACCAGTTGAAGACTCCCTGGTTATACAAGTTTTAAACACGAGTTCTTTTCAAGAGAAAAAATCTTTATTACTCATGTCCTTGTCCATAGTTATTTACATATACGTCAAAACAAATATATCATGCAATATGCATTCATTCAAGCCTCGATTTCATTACGAGCCCCAGTCTTCCTGATTCATCCGGTTGACCTCATCGTGAAGCATCTTGGTCTTTTCGCGCCAATAGTTGACTTGATCCAAGATAAACTCCCGTTTTAACTCCAGTTTCGAGATGCTTCTTAACGCATCCTCCGTGCGGTCATCAATGGCCTCGATCTGATTCACCATCGCCTCGATTTGCTGCTCTTTTTCCAACTTTCTTTCAGCGGTCTTCCCGCCTCGTTTCTCCGCATGCGCCATCTGTTGCGCGCTTTCTTTGTGAATCTCCTCGTGCTCCTGAATGTCCTCGAGTGCCACGTGTATGCGCTTAGTTACCGCCTCCAGATCGAACTCTCTCATCGCCAACGATCGAGTGGCTTCGCTAAATTTTCGGTTGGTCTCGAAAAGTAATTCTTTGGCATCTTTGCATTTGTCTTCAAGCTCTTCAAGCTCTTGGACTCTGGCCGACTCGCGTTCTTTGAATTCTGCTCTCCAACCCTAGAGTAGTAGATGAAGTTGTCAATTCCACAGCAATGCTTAGAAATTACACATGGTGTAGCCCCCCCCCCCCCTCCTCAAAAGGTGTAGCTTGTGATTATATTGACCAACCAGCAACTCAAAACATATGGGCTAACAGCAAGAACAATTTTTGTAAAATCCTTTCTGCATTTGACAGGAGACATATTTGCAATATCAGGGGCTAAATTTGTTTCACATGTTTGTATGGGTGAGAAAACAAGTTAAACTTGAGGGAATATTGCAAAATGCAATGTTTTCACAACATTTTTTCTTAAGACATACTACTTGATTAGGTCTAGGCTAGGCCCAGACTGAGGGCCTTGTAACACTACCATAAAGCTAACCTTGTACACAGGGTCTTTTTACCTCTGTTCCACAGTCCACACTGTGGCAAAGATTTTGCGGCGGTGGTCTCTCCCCCCTCTAACACAGCAAAATTACCCTGGGTACAAGGTTGCCATAAAGCCTGTCTGTCAGGCCTAGTTTAGACCACCTATTGTACTGGGTCAGAAATGTGCATTGTACTACAAGTCAAAACTAGGCTTTGGTCTGTAGTGTACGGGAAGGTTAAACACAGCTGCCCTAGCCCAGAGCATAAGTCTGAGGTTCTACGGAACTTTATGTCTGAGGTTCCACAACCTGGCCAGCCACTGAGCTATATTTACTCTTGTAAATTCTATTATATTTTTTTTATACTTGTGAATTGTATCATGGAACAACACTAGGATTTTAAAAGAGCTTGAAATAAGGTTCTTACACAGGGTTTGTGCTAAGGTTAGGATAGACGTAAAGCAACAAAACTGACTTCGTGAATAGGATTTTATAGTAACTAGACTTGTCAAAGTCCTGCTGACTCAGCTTTCATATCACACTTCGCTATGATGTGGGAACACTCCCATAAAACCTTTCAATAATTGATTAACAACCTTATTTTCTTGTATCTCCTCGTTCGCTTCGCCTAAATCTTCCTTAACCTCGCTCAACGCTTCCTTTTTTACTCTAATGCTCTCCTTTGTCTTCGCGATTCTCGCTTTCAACAGTTCGGCCTCGTGCATTGCTATGACAGTCTTGGCTTTAGGCTCGTTCAGACCATCAACAGCCTTCGTGTGCCGCTCTTCGGCATCAGAAATCGCCTCTTTCACGGCGAAGTATTTCGCTTTCAATATACCCACAACATCTCCTTGCTCGATGAGAAGCTTGGCGTCCACCGTTTCGCTCATCTTACGCACAAAAATGCAAAATATTGTGGAAAACTTATCTTTGTTTATTTGGAAACTGTAACAACAGTTTTTACTGCAAAGAAATTTGCCACCCGAATCCAAATCCAGTGCACGTGATCGCTTGACCTGTGTTCAGTGCTTCCACTTTCAAATTTAAAATTTACATCAAGCAAAGCTGGAATTCCCATAAATTGAACAAAAATTCCACAAACAACATGTTTAAATTTCCATAAAATTTCCACGAAAGGTATCAAGAAAAGGCAGTATTTTTTAAGGCATTAAAGTTGCTTTCTTTTATTTTCTAATATCAAATTAACAATAGTGTCCCATAATAATGCCAACAATTACTAAGTTATAATATTCTTGTAAGTTTGCATGGAGACATCACATAAATAAGTAAATTAGCTTGTAGGCACTGTAAAGCTTTTTTGAAAAGACCAGAAAACAGGGGGGGTTTTTGGTGTAGTAAACAGAGGTTGCTAAGGGCCTTGCTATGCGTGAATTTCATGGTGACCATGCTAAAAGTGCGGGTTTTTTCCCTTTTTCGTGCGACTATGAAGGAAAAAAACTTGGAATAGGATGGGGGAAAGAGCAAAGATGATATTTTCAGTATTTTTCAAATTGGGCAAAATTTACGATTTTATACCAAAATTTTGTGTAAGACCACCTTAAAACCGGTAAAGAATAACTTACAAATTTCATAACTTCAACCTTTAATAAAAACAAAACTGCCAAAAATTAAACATCAATGAAAAAGCTTTAACTAGGAATATGATTGATTATATATTTCAATCTTTATCAACTGCATGTTAACAGAATGTCAATATCAATGGTGAAGAACGGCTAGTTACGTAATACAACATTTTAAAGAATATAACATCATTTAGTGAAGGTAGTTCATCTAGCTTTTTTAAAATCTTTTATGAACATCTTAAAGGATCAGGCTAGATATTTTCAAGGAAATTAAGAGCTTTCTAAAGATGACCTTTATTTTGTGTCTCTCAAATCCCCATTTGAACCTAAATATATAGTCTGTTGAATGGCACTTCACCATCCTTTTTGCCACAACTTAAATATTTTTAACACAACTTAAATATTTTTAACACAACTTAAATATTTTTAACACAACTTAGATATTTTTAACACAACTTAAATATTTTTAACACAACTTAAATATTTTTAACACAACTTAAATATTTTTACATCTTATCACAACTTAAATATTTTTACACTAGTGTACCAGGCTCAATCTCTTAACATAGTTGAAGGAATTTCCGCCGTTTTTGAACAGCTTCAACTCCGCGTTTGGCAATGATTTCTCTCATACCTTTTACATTGTTTTCGATCAAAACTTTATCCTCTTTCATTCTCCAAACATGCGTAGTATCTTTATGATTCAGAAATGCTATGGCGTGATTCACATTTGCATTGGTCCTGAACAAACTGAAAAAGATCTGTGGCAAAGTGGCCTGTGTTCTACACCGTATCATGAGGACTCTTTTCATTACTATAAATTGGGAAGTGGGACATTTAGATCCTTTGAGCTCTACTTGAACATCATTGCTATTATTTCCCTCCATCTTCTTCTTGAGGTGGGTATCATTAGGTGTTAAAGCACTTGCACCTTCTTCCTCCATTAACCTCTCAGTGTTGTTGCTTTTCACTGTCTTTTCATTATCAAATGCAGCACTGGTATTTTCAACTTGCACAGAATCAACATTATTGTTTAATTCTGTTTCAGCTTGTTTAATTTCTTTATCATTTCCAAGAACATCAAACACTTCAGACATTTCATCATCTGACCTGTCATCAAGATCTTGAGATGTCACTGATGAAAGATAAGCTAGATCATTACCATCAAGCTTGTCGTTTGCCTTTCTGTGTTGTTTTGATGGGGTGCATGTTTCCTTTCCCTTGAAACTGCTATCCTCTTCTAAATCAGGATCAACTATAGGTTCTTGTAGTTTCACTGTTTTTAAGCATTTTTGTTTCTTGTCCAAGTTATCACTTTTTGAATTAGATTCTACATCAGTTGATTCTAGTTTTGATTCTTTTGATCTTCTTGAATCAATGTTTCTCCCCCTTACAACAGAGTCCTCTCCAGCACCAAGGTTAATTGTTGTCATGTTTGAAGACCTGGATCGTAATGAGTATTTGCCCTTCCTGTGGATCGTCATGAGTATTTGCCCTTTTGATGGGGTACATGTTTCCTTTCCCTTGAAACTGTTACCCTCTTCTAAATCAGGATCAATTATAGGTTCTTGTAGCTTCACTGTATTTGAGCATTTTTGTTCATTGTCCAAGTTATCACTTTCTGAATTAGATTCAACATCAGTTGTTTTAGTAGCTGTCATATTTGAAGACCTGGATCGTAATGGGTATTTGCGCTTCCTGTTGGAACTATGATCCTTTTTCAACTTTTTTTTATATATAGTAAAATCGTCTGAATCGTTGTCTTCAAGGTTGGGTCTTTGATCATGGATGATTATTTTTTCTCCCTTCACGACGGATGAAGCCATATGGCATTAATTCAGAAGATGACCTGGCGAAATTACGAAGACGGGGCCAGTTAAAAAACACGCACGAAAAAATATAATAACAATTGCAGAGAATCTTCTTCTGGTAGTTGCAGTGATGCAGCCAAGCATGAGACTATGATGAGACCATTGGATGAGACCAAGTCAGGTGATATGACAGCCTAGTCGCAGGCTTGTAAGCGCGCGCTGTTAATTATGCAGGGCAGCCCCAGTGAGCTCTATCTATATAATTTCTCTCTATATATATATAGAGCTCACACATAGAAGCCTAACACAAAATGTTGAGATTTGGAAGAGAAGGCTCAGGAGTTTTCTTATGGAAGAGAAGGCTCAGGAGTTTTAATTTGAAAGCCTGCAATTTTATATTATTTCATCTTGCGAACGGGCTTCTTTAGCCATAATTTACCTCTCATGAATCTCATCTTAAAAAAAACAAGATTTGCTATTTGGTTGTTGAAATATAAAAAAGAATTTTAGTAATGTAACTTTGTAGTGGAAACATTGCTTCCAAAAGTATCACTTCTATAAATACCATCTTTCAAAAGCACACAAAATAAACAAAATCGCCTTCGGACCATCATCGGAGAATCTGCCCGTGTTCATTTCGCTGGACCTCCCCTATTTCTCTCTCTTTTCGAACCAACATGGCTCCTAAAAAGGAACAAGGTATCTTTACAAAATACGAAGAATTATTCTATATAAAAGCATTTACAGTGGTTTCACGTATCGGTTTGCAAACTTAACGTTTTCCCGCGTTGTACCAACGCATATGAGACGTGGAAACGTTATGGATTGCAAATAAATCGCGATATTATCAGAGTCAAATTTGTGTGTGACTGTATACGAGTATACACGTGTTTGCTTACGAATTTTACTTTATTTTATTGAGAAATCCAAAAAACCCTAAAAAACACTAAAATTGAATGCAATTGAACAGAGTTGTGTAAACTTTGGGGGTTGAATTATTAAGAAATTGTTTATAAAAATTCCTATAAATTCCCTAATAGGCCAGTTCATAAAAGAACCCTGAAAAATAATGTTCCTAAATAAGAAAGCTCCTCCTGAAATGTCAGCTTTATTGTTTATCAATACACCTTCAATAGGATAGAACTTAGCGACAAAACATATTATGAACAATCAATACTTTTTCATGGATATAATTAGATTTTTTCTGTATTACAAGTATTTATTTCTGTTGGTAGTAAATTGTAGGAGAAATATGAAAATCAAACATCACTCACAAAATATTTTAACCATAAACTACCTACTAGGAGAAATTTGTAAAAATTAAACTGTTTGCACAGTTGGTACTGACTCAGAGTAACACCATCACAATATTAGTTCATACACCTGAGTCATATGCACTATTACTATTTTAAGCATAAATTTTGGGATGCTTGCTTGCATTTAGCTCAAAAAGGCAAGGGTGGTGCCAAAGCTGCTGAGAAAAACACAGCAAACAAAGCCAAAAAGCATGTTCTCAAAGGTGTGAAGTCAACAGCAAAAAGGAAGATTCGAACAACAGTTCAGTTTCATCTTCCCAAAACCTTGAAGTTGCCAAGACAACCAAAGTACCCGAGAGTGTCCATACCTCGGACAAACAAGCTTGACCAGTTTGCCATCATTAAACACCCTCTGACAACTGAGTCTGCAATGAAGAAGATTGAAGATAATAACACCCTTGTATTTATTGTTGACATCCGGGCAAACAAACCGAAGATCAAGGGTGCCGTGAAGAAATTGTATGATGTTGATGTTGCTAAAGTCAACACTTTAATCAGGTATTCAATTTGTAAACATTTATTTGACATGTAACTCTTGTGGGAAGAAAGTAATAACTACTCTTTTTCCACATTACCAACCCGGAATTGATATTTACAACATCACATTTTTGGCAAATAAATTTGGAAACAAGTTTCCTTGTTGATTGTCAAAAATCCTTTAATTCCAAATACACTGTTATAATTATTAGTTTAAGGGTTCATGAAGTTTTTTAATACAAAACTTTATGTCGGACAACAGGGGAGCAGTGCAACTAAATTTTGTTGTTGCAAGTTTCATTTTGGAAAACTGATTCAGTAGTTAAACAACAATTGGTTCACTTTCATAGTTAATTAACTGTAAGGTTTTTTTTTCATTTTTATTAACAATTTCTTGAATTGTGAATTTTCTCTTTAGACCTGATGGCAATAAAAAGGCTTATGTTCGACTAGCCCCAGATTATGATGCTTTGGATATTGCAAACAAGGTATATAGCTTTCCAAAATAGTTGGTTTATGTATGTTTATGTTTAGTATTTTAACGTTTAATGTTAAATATTTTTTGTTTTCTTCAGATTGGTATAATCTAAAAAGCAGACTATTGGAAGTATTGTACTTGTTGGTTGGATGAATATGAAATAAATTTTGAGTTAAAATTGTGGGTTTTTGCGTGTGTTTTTTCAAAGGTCTTACTACCTTAATTCAACGTTCTGCATAACAACACCTTTTACATGAAGTTCCTGTTTTTATTTATTGAACTTTAAGTAAGCTTGAAGGAGAAATGAAGCTATTTTTTTCCTTTTACTTCGCTACATTTACGTTCGCAGAAAATTCGGAGAAGACACGTTGTGCTTGGCGAGAGCTGGGGGCGAATCGCGAATGCGACGTCACGAACCAATTAATGACGTATTCAATGCTAATTAGCAAAACGCATTGCGATTTGCGCACGTGCAAAATGGAGCTCTCTTACATTTTGTGCGTACTCGTTTTAAACGTTTACTTTCTTGGTTTTTTTACATTCGCCTCCGTGGCGGAGGCCTCGTGTTCGATACGGGCCGTTCGTGTTTCTGCTCCCGAAGACGAAAGAGGATACAAATGTGTGTGCTTGCGAAACTATTACGGCCCAAGTTGCCGTTTCAAAGGTAAGAATCTCCGACTTTTAAATTATGGTAAATCATAATATAAACAATGCTTAACTTAAAAAATTTATATAGTAAATTATTTTTTTTGAAGAGGTACATGTCGATTCTTAATCAGATGAATTAGTACATGTAACCCGGGTGCCCTTAATTCATGTATATTTGTTTGAAGATGATTCAGTTTTCATCAATTTGAATTAGATTTATTTGTTTCAATTTTTTTTTCCATTTTCCTTGACAATTTTTCCTTGCCAAGTTTTATTTGCTCGTGTGTACGCGAAAAAATTGACAAATTTTCCTTGAAAAGGAGCCTTGTTCTAAAGCTAGTCATGCCATAATATATAGTCTGCGTTGCAGGCTAGTGATGCCAGCTTTTCAACAAGAAATTGTCGTAAAATATACTCGTTGTTTGTCAAATTTTTTGCGGACATGAGTAAATAAAACTTGTCAAGGAAAACCTGCTGTTAGGGAGGACGTCTGCATGGCTATAGCGGTATATGGCATAGTATGTTGGTTTTTGTTGTACCACCACGTATACTGATTCTTGATAGTGTATTTCCTCCCTGCATTCTTTTATTTTGTTTTGTTTCACCGGTCAATCTTTTGTCACCATCTCTCTGAATATGCATAAATATTATATTTGTCTATTTAAGCGCATGATCACAGTATTAATGCTGATGTTGAGTGGCTTTCTCAGAAAACCAGAGCCAGGCTAACGTGGGATGGGCAATACGGAGAAGCCTTCCACGTTTCTGTGCGAAAGATCCTTTATCAAAATGGAACCATGATTGCTTCGAAATGGTCTCCAGCGAAAATTGCATCAGCCAAAGTGGAGATACATTCCAATACTCTGGCGTTTCCAGTAATCAATTCTGGGACAGCAGCCAATTTCTCGGTGGAATTTCGGTTTCCACACGCGGCAAGTTATGAAATATACTTGTCAAAAGTGAATTCGACAAGTGGAGATGTCAATGGAAATGTCTCGATATTTCTAGACACTTGGAACACAAATGTTCATGGTACGTGTTACTAGTTTATGTTTGTTTCATTGTTTATTTTCCAATTGGTTGTTTGTTTTGCCAGTGGTTCTTGTTTGTTTTGCCAGTGGTTGTTGTTTGTTTTGCCAGTGGTTGGTTGTTTGTTTTGCCAGTTGGTTGTTTGTTTGTTTTGCCAGTGGTTGTTGTTTGTTTTGCCAGTGGTTGGTTGTCTGTTTTGCCAGTGGTTGGTCGTTTGTTTCGCCAGTGGCTGGTTTGTTTTGCCAGTTGGTTGTTTGTTTATTTTTCCTGTTCCATGATTGTTTGTTTTGCCAACTGGTTGCTCGTTTTTTTGGCCGGTTGGTTTTTTCTTTGACCAGATGGAATTTGTCAGTATCGCCATTTGGGTTAGTTGTTTGTTTGTGTTGTCGGCTGCTTCTTGTTTATTTGTTTTTTTGTTCTTACAACTGCTTGATTTTTCTTCGTATATAGATGAAATGAATATCAGCAGGAATCAAAACAACGACACCGTCACGAAATGTTCCTGGCTGAAATGCCCAGGCCAATTTTTCCACGTTACCAACATAATGGAAGACTTTGGCAAGCCACCTTTCATTCACGGAGCGATCTTTGCCGTTCCAGTGACAATATTTGGTTCAGTGCTCATCGGGATCTTTATTTGCGTTATCTTAAGGTATATGGCATGTCTCTTTCGGTGTGTATATCTTTCATTTTTTCTTTCGTCTTTCTTTCGTTTTTTTACTGCCATTTACGGAGTGTCTCAAGAAAAGGTATGTCTTGTATAACATGCCTTTTGTTTATACTATATTTATAATTTTTAACCAACAAGAAACAGCAAGTATTGCTTTTTTTCCACTCCGTAAAAGAGATTGTGTATAAATGCAAGCCAGTTCAGAATTTGACAAGGCTCTGTATATATCTAGAACAATATATCTATATTCTACAAACAAGCGAAGAGAGGTAGCACCTTGAAAGGAGCGTACAGTGGTTGTGCAGTATTTTTTATCTTCACTCACTATTCTTTCTCTCCTTGCTTCTGGTGCCAAATTTCAATTGCAGACAATGCAAAAGAATGAAAAAGCTTCACGCAAGTAAGTCCTCGGATGTGGAAAAAGTCTCGAGCAGCGAAAATATCGTGCAAAACGACTCAAATGAAGAAACTGTCAAGAGCATTATCATCGAAATGCCAGAATTAGACAGTGTCAACGGTGCGCCGCTCAACGAAGGCGCTACTTCTTCGGCCGAGGAGAGTTGCGGTCAGGAACAGGGAAACCAAGAGTCTTGTGTGGTGAACATTGAAGAAATCAAAGCGCCATCTGTTAATGAGACAGGCGATGAAAGCATATCCCAGTCGAGGGATTCCTCTCTGACGATCGTCACCGCCATGTCCATGAGCAACCTCAGCATCACGTGTCCAACCGAGGGAGAAGTTGCATTGCCGACTAATGTGGTTTAGGTGGAGCATTATTTTTTATATTTTCACTATTATAAATCACCCGTAATTATAAGGAAGAAAGTTTCATATTTTGAAACTAAGATCAAGATAGTATATAGAATGTAAATTATTGTTCCTTGTGTGTTTAATCTTTTAATAAAGCTGTATTTAACTGTGCTACTTTAATAACTCGGCTCATTCTTTTGCATAATCCGACTACTGATAAAACACCACAAAGTTAAAGCATTTACAAATTACAATCTATGCACTATAACGGAAAGAATGGAGGATGTACATTTATCAAAAGATCCAGTCTTTTAGTCTACGAATTCTCCCAAGTCGACTTGTTCTAATCGAAATTTTCCAATATCTCTAACAGATGAGAAATGATCTGCATATAGGGGAGTCTTAACGGCCTCTTCAAGCGAGTGTTTCCAAAATGTGCCTTCACCAATCTTCGACTATTCCACCCCCTGGTGAGAACAAAAACCTTCAGTGGACTTTATACATCTTTCTTCCCACTAAAGTGAGTAAACTGAATCACGTATGTCAAGAGGTATACCGGTTGACCACCGGAAATTGAAAGTGCTGAATTCATCCTATACATAGGGTATAGAAATAAAACTTCCCACTCATATTTATTAATTATCGTCTATCTTCGATATTTTTGTTCGACTGTTTCCTTGGTTTCTTCTTGCTTTCAGCCAACTCATTTCTTTTTTTAGAAAATGCACTTCATCACTTTGCTTCGAGACGCAATGTCAACGAGCATGAGAGAACTTTCAAATTCTGATTTGATAAGTTAATGGACACGATTTAGAGTTAGTTTATCTCAGTTTCGATCCCCACTTGAAAGATTTGTACACGGAGCGGAAAACTACTATAGTGAAATTGAAATATGTCAGTGGTGAGACATGCTGATCACGTCTGTTTCCATACAGCTTGAGTTTTGCATGCTAAGATAAATATTTGAAAATATTCGTCGGGAACACTAGTATCGTATTGTATTTAAATGTGCACCTACTCAAGTACTTAATAAGTTAATATCAAGAGCTTAATTGCTTTCACACATTCCAAAAACTGAGTGTGCACTTTCGTCCTTGCAAGCTAAGGACCATCTGTAAGACCGCTCAGTCCTATTCTTAGATGTCTTCTGTAGCTTTTAGCTCCAAAATTATATTTGCAAAAATATTATTCCAATAGACCAATTCTTTGTATGCCTATAATGAATATTACCTCATATAATTAACCTTGACAATTTTCTTGCGAAGTATCACTTGATAAAACTTGATATAAACTCGACTGCCAGTCTGGTGTTACATAATTCAAAATAAACTACACTTCGTATTGATAAAGGTTTTGGTTTAGTTAAGTTTAACGATATTACTTGGGTAGTGAGGGGAGTCAAAACTGAAATGAATACAGGTGAGGTGTATGCCCTATCGCGCACGTACGACTTTGATTAAAATGCTACATGCTGACATGCATTACATCATTTTAAAAGGGGTAACTTCTTTCGAAAATGTTATTGGAGCTACTTGATATTAGCGCATGAGATTTATCGACGTCGCAGACCGTCAGACTTTTTAGGCGGACCTTACATCAGCGCACTAACATTGAGGTGACGAGCCAATCAAATGTGATATGTCCATGAAATGAGCCAATCACAGGCACTGCAGATTAGCAAGAGGTAGTGGTGATAAAAAATTAACGCCACTTACAGAGTTCACGCATGCAGCATTTATTTTTTCGAGAGAAGAACTGACTGTTTGTAGTACTGCTCATTAAAAAATGTTTAGGTTGCAAAAGTCAATCCTATTGTCACAGTGGCATAAGGCAAGGTCATAACGTCATACGTGTGGGCAAACCGCACTTCAAAAATGAAAAGTAAAGCCAAATTTCATCATAATCTTTTGATCCTAAACATGTCGCAAAAATAGTTCGCGTGACCACGCACACTTCCGCGTGCTAACACGAAAGCTGCAACCACCCACAAGAAATCTTTAAAACCACTTTTGTTATTATAAAAGTACAAAAAACGGAAGTAAAAACCTTTGAATCCACGCGTCCTTGAGCGACCATTGTCTTGGAATATATAATTCATTTTTCATTAATCTGCTAGCCTCTTGAGAACAGCGCTAAAGTCATGAAAAACTGCTCTTAAAAACTCGTAATCTGCTGAAGATTAAAACTCTCGAAATCCCAGGCAGTTATCAATAAGTCTTCGGGAAAGCTGATGAGAACATTTGTTTCCAGCAAAAAAATCGCGGGTGGCCATCTCGCTCTTTTTGTAGATGATTAACTTTGAATATCACATCTGGGACTTGGAAAATCCCCGAAGCATTAAGCAGAAATCGATTTAAGAAATTCTTGAACGTTCTTAAGGGGGGTCACAGCCCTGTTGACCGGGCTTTAAAATTTCAGCCTTTGGTTGGAAATGCTCCAAGATATCCTCCGGTGTGAAGCTAAATATAGTATTGCTATCAATACTTTCAGCTTGCCTCCCGCATCGTAGTTATTGGCGAAAGTTACAAAACACAATCAGGGATTTTGAAGTAGCTAACTGCTGATTTAGCCGCCACTTCCCGGCCCAGTTTACCGGCATATTGAACTAAAATTGGTTTCCATTAGTCCAAAGATTACATTTGTGACAAAGATCTCATAAATCATTTTCCCAGTTAGTAGAATAAGCGGTAGGATATATTCAGTAATGAGGTCGGATTAGCGAATGTGTCAAATTTTGGAATTGAATGTGTTTCATTGTTGTCAAATGATATTTATGATATTGTGTACCGCGCGGACGGACTATAGTATAGATTAAATAAACACCGCATAACGCGAATTCTAAATTATTCAAAATTAGCCGTGTGTCCGGAAAAATAGTGAAGAAGTCGATATATGTTGTAAGTTATTAAATCCGAAAGAAATAACTTTCTGGCCCTCAAACTGGGCAGAATTCGTTATAGCTCTGACAATTTGTACTCAAAATTTATTTACATAGGGCAACTTCTCTGTGAAAACATACATCCACCAATTTTTTGGGCCTGTACGCCTATGCCGGCTTTTTGTCAAATTAACTAATCAAGAATAAAAGCTTTTCTTTAACTGCCCATGGTTGAACAACTCGGCCTAAGATTAGACTTAGGTCACAACTCCTTGACTGAAATCTTTATCGTCTGTCAGAAAAAAAAACTCTTCCGCAGACACAATAGTAAAGCGAGAACAATTTCTCACTGAAACCTTCACTGAAGTACTTATCGCGGACCAATGTCAAGTACTGATACTGGCAACGTCTTTCATACGTTTTCTAGTCTGCGCGAACCAAATTGAGATATTTTTCGTGCGACACGAATGAGTCGGAATGACGGAAAATTTCAAATTCGTGCCCAGACTAGGAATACGTGTAGGTTGAAATTGTCACGAGTGACGTGTGTACGTGCATTGGGCGCCAGACATAACAAGATATTTGGAGAAACCAATATTTGCGTCAAGCAAGTCACGATTGACACGATTTCAACTTTCTGACTCTTCCGAGAAAGATATTCTGCCTCGTGAAAGTTCATAGACTTGAGTCCAGCGTTGGAGTATATATATATAATCCATGTCTTAAAAAGTTGACTGAATTGCGACTGATTTTTGTTGATAAGCCAGATGATGCAACCACGCACATTCAACACCCACACAATGGCAAAGTTTTTGTATGGATTAAGATTAGGATTAAGATTTTTCCGCTTGTCGGAGCTACGTTGAGACAAAATGTAAAAGCTGGTTTTTCTGTGTCGTAATTGGTTACAATACTCATGTCGCAATTCGTTGTATATGTGCTATTTTGTGCAAATCGATACTTGATAACCGTACATCAGAGTCACAACGAATTGCAAGGTATTGCGACTTCTGAATTACAGTAAAATGCATGAAAATTTTGGGTTTTGCGGGTCACGCCCAGTGTTGGTCAAAGGGGATGCCGCAACCTCGTCCCTACTCCCCATAGTTTAGGAGAGATAGAAGATATGCAAGTTTCCATCTTATTAAAACCCAAACAATGAACTTTGCAGGGAATTTCCCCCCAATAAAAACACAGTATTTGACAATTGTCAATTGGGGGCCAAAATAAATATCAAGGACGTGGCACTAAAGGTGAAGGCGATGTACATGCTCCAATGCGTTGCTGCGAACTGACGTTCGAGGATCCATTGACGTTTGAAAAAGCGAACTTGACCCATTTCGTCGATCATTGGGACATAGCATATCATCATGTCATCGTCTTTGACGTGCTCAATCCGTCGAACCGTCGAGTGCGTGCTCGCATGTTCGTCCAGACAACGCTTAGAGATCAAATGTCCAATCAAATTGCACAACTGACAGAAATGCCCCTTTGGTATGTTATGGTCACGTGACATTTTCATTTCATGTCGGCAAACGACAATCGTATTCGGAACAAATTTTGTCCTTTTGAAGACATGATTCGCTACAAATCGTAGGGAAACTGCTCGAATACACCAATGGCGGGAAGCGTCGAGTCGGCTTGCGTCGTGCAAGTAAATAACATGAATCATTTACAGCGAATGATCGACATCAGTGCCACGAATTTGGACGGCCTTCGTACACAATGCACCACTTCAAGCGATCTGATTCAGCAAGAAATTCGCGATCAGGAGGTTTGTGACGCATATTTGTTTAAAATATACGGCGAGCTTAATTGGTCTTATAAAATAGAACGCGTTTCCTTCGGGCAATCCGTTCTAATTGCAACTTTTTCTGCAAAATATGTTGCAATTATTACAAATACAGGCGTACTATTTTATTTAGGTCGAGTCCAGGCTACGATATATTTGGCAAAATATTACAGCCAAATTCGGTTCAGCTTCCTTTCTGTCAAACCAATGCCGTTTTATTTGTACAGTAGATGAGACACTTTTCACCCTTTCCGTTTCGAAATAGTATATTTTGGAACTTTTGTACGCAGTTCTTGTTGAATTCGTACGTTTCTTTGCTTGGTTTGATCTTGAAGCATCCAAAATGCCGAGTTAATCCAGTTTATTATTGGTCACAATTTAGCTTTACAATGTGAAGAATTCCTTGCGGTATATATTTGAATTGTGCCCCTAGGTTTTCAAATTATATTATCCGAGTGTTTGTGATGTTTCATTCGTCTATTACAATCATAATTTTGTAGGTTTTAAGTGTGTTATTGAGTTGTAGTACGTCGCCTATTTGCCATTTGAAGACCCCAAAGCCCGCTAAATATAAATGCATGTATATTCGAGATGTTATCATAACAATACGTTTAGTTTACAGCGAGGTTTTAAGAGATATTCGAGGCTACTACTGTATCGTTTCTTGCCATTATTGGCTTCAATGCACCCTGTACACCAGTTCCCGTTTTCGATCGATTTTCTAAAATTACTAAATAACAATAAAAAAGTGGCACAAGATATCGTTTCGTGCTGGGTTATACGTCCAGCTGTCAGCAACCGGCGAAACAGCTGTGCGGGTAGAATGTAAAAGTTATCCAAGTTATTTTAGAATAGGACTGTTTCGGGCTTTTTTGACTAAGGTTTAGCGTTTAACTGGACTAATGGTCTCGTTTATTTATTGTCTCCACAACACAATTTTGTTGCTGGGCTCAAAGATCATTTATTCCCGAATTAAAAATTCTTGTCGGCGTCATTACATTTCAGTACATGTTCCTTGTTTATAATTTGTTAACCTCTGCAAAGTATTTTTGCCTAAAAGCTTATTGTCTTCTGGCCGGAATTTTAAGCTCCCACGAAAACGTAGGTGATGCATTTTGAAGGCACAATGAAGTCCTTTTATCACTGCAAATCCATGAGCATTCAACGAAGGAAATAATTAGCTCAAATTATAGATATTTAATAGCGTTAAAATTTGTCACAACTATATTGGGACAGTTCATGAAAAATGTGCTGAGTTTTTGTTTTGATTAAAAGTATATTTAGACTGTGATTTTTCTAAACGTGGGATTTTTATAATCGCACAAAGATACATTACCTAAATTCATTCTGTGTTGCTTTTCTGTTTCCCTGTGGAAAAATATGACAACTTTATGATATGTGTGATTGTGAATATGAGCAATATTATTATTTCCTAAAAGCATGACTAGGCAAAAGTGCTCTTTGATAGCCAGATCTAAAGACTTCTTCATGACACAAAGGATTAATATCTCCTGAAAATTCTCCATGTAATAATCAGAGAAAGTGCCTTTTAATTTTGAGCAATAACAGAAGTCTTAAACATTTATATGTGGGTGTTTTTCTTGACAATTTGAATAACAAAAATAGCTGGGTTGTCAAGCAGAATTAACAAAATAAAGCAAGATCTTAACCTATGTGCAGAGGAGGAATCTTCTGCTTTTGATAATATATCAGTAAAAGTGGACTTTTGGTTAGTTTGATGGAGTATTTTTTTCACACAAGGATATAAATGCATTGATGTCAGTCATTGCCATCTGCCAGTTTTTGGCTATTTTGGTTTCAATACCTTGTCCTTCAAACTTTAAATTACCTGAAAAATTATGTTGCCTTAGTAACATATGGGTGGATATTACATTATTTTTCTGCGTATCTAATAACCAAAATATTGTCCGAAAAACCATACAAAAACAGTTACAAAATGAAAGAATTATTTAAAATGGTAAAGTCTACTCAGTTTGTTATTGTATGTTAATTAAGATTATCACTCTGTCTGATCTCAGCAATATATATATATTGGACTTTTCTACTAAAAGATCTGCAAATTTCTGTATTCCTTATCCATGTAAGTGATGCAACAGTCTTGAAAAGAAATCTAGTTTCTTTCCTGGACTAAGCTAACATTCTAAAAACAAGTTTTGTGTCTATAGGGTGGGGGGTTAATAATTGGGTTGGTATTCCTAGTCTCCCACCTGTTCTTTCTAAATTACCGCATAGTAAAATTATACTGCAAATGCCCACAAGAATGTTTGCCTTGAGTACAAAATCGAAGGATAGTGTGTCCAGACATGTGACTCAAAGCGTGGCTATGAACCAATCAGAACTGCTTCTGAACCGACTTTTACCAGAGTACACACCTCTGAGACTTCTCCCCTTACTTTAGCAACTTTTTGTTTTGGGTTTAAAATTTTTAAAGCATTTGTTAGATATTTTGGTATTTATTTGGAAGTATCTGCTGTTTGGCTGATATCACAATACCACCTCTACCTGAAAAATTACTGTAAAACGTTCATGTTGTTGTGAAATGGACGATATTACACGGTCTGGCCACTAATATAAATTATTTAGCAACTGTTTTAAAATCTATATTTGTACTCTCTCTTTGGTCTATTCAGTTTAGTTACTTGGAAACTTGGAAACTTGAAGTTCAAACCTTACGACAAGACCTGACCACTTGATAAGCCTTACTTAACCTAACGGGCAATGGGTTTGTCTTCGTAGAAAGTCAGGTTTCACGAAACGTAGATATAACGAACCATTTAGTCACAAGGTCAAAACTTAACAAAATACTAAACTTAAATCTATTCATTATTGCCCAACATTTTCCATGGCAACCCACAAAATTGATATATTCCATTGGTAAAATCTATCCTGCGTAGAAAGAAAACATAGAAAGAAAACGTACGTAAAAGTTTGTGTTATTGAAATATACTCCACCAAAATGACCAAATTCCTCTCGAGAAGGCTCCCATCAGTTTTCGCAGCAAATTTTCGCGCCAAACAGGCGGTGTTTTGCATTTTGCTGATACTGGCGTTTTGGTGGTTTAGGATTTTCGGCGGGAATTTTTTCCCTCGATCTTACCTTATTTTGTCTTAGTTTTCATATTTTTTTCTTTTACATAGCGCGTATCGATAACACAAGGCGTTTAGATCGGTTCACTTCTAGGCCAAAACATGGATTGTTTTCTTTAGTCTCTAATTAACTAACTAACTCTCCTGACGAAGGCCCTCAGGTCGAAACGTCGAGAAGTGTTTTGTCTATTTTGGCAGTTGTTATACCAACATTTGATGCTAATATGTTGAGAATGGCCTAGATTTGACTTGGGTTTGAGTATAGTGACTTTGTGTAAGCATAAAGTAATACATGACAAATATATTTTTTGATCCTGTACAAAATCTCTTTATCACCGCACAAATCTTGTTTATCACTGTACAAACTTATTATCATTGTACCTTAGAGAGTAATCTCTGATTATAGCCGCCAAATTTATCATAAGTTTATGAGAAAATAGTCTAGATCTTTGCGAGAATCTGCCCACCTTTTTTTAAATCCTATGCGTAATACTACACCATCTGACGCCATCGTAGGCGAATCTGACGCCAAGACACGCCAACCTGACTGGTACCTTCTGCATCCTGGCTAGTACAACCGGCACTTTGTACCGTATTCAGAACTTCCGGAATATGTGTCTTTCTCGTGGTTGACGTCAGCAGGCTAATTTTTGGACAAAAACGTCAAAAGCGTCGACAGAATAACGCTTCTAATATTATATCTTCCGGCAAGTTATGTAAAGGCGACAAACCTAAGAATTATATATTTTTAAAAATGAAGCAAGACTAGTATTTATTTACAACAAGTTAGCAATCAATCACAACAATGTGAAATTTACAACTTTTGGAAGGAATATTTAGATCTGATTGATAGATGACGTCATGTTTAGAGTATATAAGGATCAAAGTTTCGACATGAAGACACAAGACCAGAGTGTTGGAAACCAGACGTACGATGATTTTGGTCTTTGATTTGTGTTTTTCGTCTACGATTATAAAAAGCCCATAAGCACAGATAATTTCGCTGACTGCTTAGCGTTTTGACCTCTATTTTATGAATCCATATTGCCGGTCTAAAATTGTATAGCGTGTTATAAATAGAACGCACTTGAACAAAACGAGAAACTTCAACTAATCGGATTTACTCGAAATACAGTTGCGGGACACGGGTTTTTGTTAACGTTTGTTCATCAGGCTCTGTTTACTTATTGAATTTATCCTCATTAGTGTGCTCATAAAATCGGTTTGACGACTTTCCGCGAACGTCTTTCACGTTCAACCGTCGACGACAATTCATTTCAATTTTCACGTCATTCCGGTCGCATTGACAACCGGAGGTTTTGATAAGTACTGAGTACAAAGTGGCTGTGAACTGCAGCCATAATGGCGGAAAATGACATGAAATCCGAACACCTGTGCGTAATATCATGAAGAATAAAACAACCCTCTGGCATATTCTAAAAGCAGCTATTAGATGACGTAGAATACCGTTTGACTGATCGCGCATGAGTTTCCAAAAAAATTGAATATATTTGCTAACGTCGTACTTTCCTTATTTTAAAATCACTGTTCTAAATTGTATCATCTTTCAAAACGATCTCGTCTTGTTTCGCCATAGCTTTCAAAAACGCCCTCCTCAATTCACAGCAAGAACGCAAAGAAATATGGCTTCCTAAATCACCGAATTTAGTTCTTTTATATGGCTCTGAAAATTGATAAATTCTCTCGAAAATAGTACAAAACTAACTTTACTGGGCTACAATTTCTTCATTTTACGCTACCTCGCCATCAAATACCCCGAGTTTACACGCAATCTTTAAAATAAATAAGTTTAAAGTGGAGGTCAAGTCCGTATGTAAACAAACTGTTTGACCAATCTGACATCCGTAGCTTTAAAAATTTGATATTTTATTTTGCAGGCAAAACTTGTGAGGTTGTTCTCGCGCATGCTCGAAGCTCGTCAGCAGATCGAAGCTCAGTGTACAAACTACTTTGATTATCATCAATATCCACGACTTGAGCAATGGCTCAACGTCGTCGGGATCGCTTCATGCGGAGTAAAGGTTGGTTTTTTGTTAACCCACACATGCTTTTTAGTCGGACGTGTCATTGAATGGCCCTCTCCGTCCTTAAAAACTGCCCTCCCGGAAAGCGAATTAGCATGCTGTGCGCCTGGAGACAATTAGGCGACTTGCACGAAAACGTCACATGATTACCTGTTCATTTTCATTCTGAATGGAAGACTGTTTTTATCAATTACTCTCCCAAGTAGCGAATTAAACGCATACTGTGCGCCTTGGGCCAATTGCAGACGCTAACCTTTGATCAATTAACTTTGAACCATTGATCTCATAGCACACTGGATAGTAACTAATATAAAAACGAAGCCAGAAATAATGAACTTCCGGAGCTCTAATTTAAAATATTTAATACAACACGCGAACCCCAGGAAGGATTCCTTTTGGGGAACGATGTATTTTAATGTTTGGGGTCTCAGTTTGCATCAGGTTCTGCATCAATCTCAAAGTCTTGCGACGATCGAAAAGTACACGAGTAAAACAAGCAGGTTGTTCCTGGTTGATGAAAACAGAACAATGTTGTGCTGCACCCCCACGAACATGGTTGTTATCGATTTGCAGCAGCTTTTCAGGCTTCAACAATTTGCTTCAACTTGATAACAGCCATACTCGTGGGGTGCAGCACAACATTGTTTACTCCTGTTTTGCACAACATTGTTTGCTCCTGTTTTGCACAACATTGTCTACTCTTCCAATCGGGAACAACCTGTGGGTTTTACCTGTATAGTATTTCCCTCCGTTCCTTTGTCATTATTCAGCGATATTCACCTCGCCTTCAGCGAATAATTGCTGAATAATTGACTTGAGCCTACCAATTCTATTCCTAAAATCAATGCTTTCCTGCACGGCCATTCAGTTCAAATCTCTAGAAAATGAACTACAATGATTTTTCTTCACAGGCTATATTGGAGAGATATGGAAGCTTCGGCAGCCTCCTGGCCGCTCCTGAAAATCAGTTACGAGATGTTCTTGTCAAATGTGACGCAAATAGTGACGATGCCTGGAAACTAATCTCAGCTCTGAGTCACTTACGAAAGCTAACAGGTACTGCAACTTACATGAATATATTTGCTTCTCTATGTTCATATTTCTCTTTCAAAGCATAACCGCATTCAGCTTCTTTCAATGGGTGACGTTTTATTTATATTTTTTATATTCCAACCACTGCCTTGCAAATAGTATTTAGTAACAGTGATTAGGAAATCTAAAATTGGAGAGGCGACAAGAATTGATATTCTTTTATAAACTAATCCACAATTCCTTCCCCCAATGGTTCGCTGGATCCAGAGCCGGTTGTACGAAAGCTGGATAGTGCTATCCACCGAATAGTGATTCTTTCAGCCGATATGAAAACGTTGGAAAAGCAGTGAAATGACAGCTTTTGAACTGACAATTATTAAAGAGGATCACCATGCAGCGATTATGAATACTAAGATTTAATCAAAGTTATACCAAACAGCGGGCAATTTTAGACCGATTTAAAAAACCACTATCCGGTGGATAGAGCTATCCAGTTTTCTTACAACCGGCCCCTTGTTTTGATTGATCCATACCTACATTCTACCAGATTCTGCCAATTTTTTTTGTTCAACTTCTTTTATCCTCCCTGTAGAGCAACGTAAAGAAGGTCGCAAGGAAGGAATGAAGGACGAAAAGACAAACTCGTATTCCTGGTCTTACGGCAAGGAAAATAGTGTCCAACATAACTCGACCAGTTCTTCGTCCCAGTCTTCGATTACAAACACGGACGACGCTCCTTTGACACCAGGCTCCGATCGCGGCGTGGAGCAAGCCATCAGTCCCAGGAAGTCGCCAAAACCCATGAAAAGAAGTAAATCCGAAGATCTAGGTACTTATTCTTTTGTTTCGTTTATTGTAGATTTGATGGTCCAGCTAACATCATGAGCACTAGCTAATCAACTCAATGATATGGTTGTTCAAATTTCAAGGAATATAGGTCTAATTTCTCATGTACATTTTCATGAAACTCGGGAAGTTTCAAAAAATATTCATCCTTGCGTTCAAAATTACGTCCTTAAAGATCTCGACAAAGGTCTTCAATAATTTTACGATTGAGTAAACAAATAACCATACGATTCTGCTCGTACGATTTGGGATTAATAGCACTTGTGATGTTGAAAATTTTGCCAAATTGGGTGAGCCGCCGTGGCTAGTTTTTAATCCCGAAAAACGTACTGTTAATCCCGAAATTTTCTCGCCGTCGGATGATTACCAAACGTAATTAAACGCTTCCGTCCGTAATACAAAAGTATACAAAATTTGCCAACTCTACATGGCCATATTTTCCCCTCTTTTCAACTTTTCGGCGCCAAACTCGGCCGTTTTACTAATGCAAGTATGCTCTTTCTTGGACTTTGCTTTAGATAAGTCTAAACTAAACCACAAGTCGTCCTTAGCCCCAGACTACCACCTACCTGTGTATAGGAAAAATCCAGTAATATTAATTTGAAGACCGAAGTCAAATATTATTCTTTTGCCATCAAACGAAATGTGTTTTACAGAATTTTTCAACTTCGTTTTTTATTTTCATTTTGTGGCGGCTAATAAAGTAAATATTAGCAAATTTTCATTTTCACAGCGGGGAAACCAAATATTGATCCACTTCCTCCTGGAGGAAGTCTGGGGAAGAATAGAGGCAAGAATCTGTGGATAACATTGCCACACAGTGGGAGCGTTGATCACCTGAGCGGCGAAAGAAACGACGACAATAATCATAGTAAGTAATAATATCGCTAACTTTACACGTCACCCTGGGAGGGCGTAGATTGTGAAGACGACGAATCCGTGCTTTGTTCCAGCAATTTTACTGTTTAAATAAGTCCACAGCAAGTCCATTTTCTTAACACGTGTAAAAGAAGAGGTGCTGTTGAAATGTAGATAATTTAGACTAACAAACAGAACAGTTTGAGCCGCCCTTGTTCGGATATAAGCTGTTGCGAAAAAAGGGGAACCTTCAACCTTCTCTCTGGAAGCATTAGACCTACCAACGCTTACCAGATTGGGTAGAAAAGCTAACTGACCACAACAGAGTCTATTTACCGAACATTAACTACGGTTTATTGACATATTTGTGACATGTTGACTTGAAGGTCGCTATCTGTTGATGTCTGACAGAGAGAATCTCTGCCATTCATATAATCATGAACCACATGGCATCTAGCGAAACTCACTATGGAGTTTTCTCCCAAACTGATGATATTTCCGCTTCATCTTCGATTGATCGTTTAAAAAGAAATCTTTACGCATATCTTTGAAAGATGCGTTTGCTCCTTAGTCGCCGGGTTTTATGAAAACTGTTTTGAATTGAAAATATAATTAGAATGGTACAATTAGCTTCATAAGACGGATCCATAAATGTTTAAATTTATTATTTTATCGAAAACAATGATTGAAAAAAGTATGATTTGTCTCTAATTCATGATTTGCTTTTAATTATGTCGTTTCGTCCTGATTCCTATCGTTTCGAACTTCCTGATCAAAAGTTCCATTTTATTCGATCTAGATAACAACTTATCCAGCTCTCCAAAGACACCAACGAGAATTAATCTTGGCGACATGCATAAGTAAGTAATGATCAACCATGCATCATGTAATTTTGAACATGACTTCATCTTATTTTAGGAGTAAAATCATCATCATCAATCTCGTTGTTTTAAGATTCTCACAGAAGCACATGATGCTTGGCCATTGTGATTTTTGCAAGAAACAAATATTCCGTGGAGTCAAGTGCAAAAAATGCGGGTAGGTGGGAAATAACTGAAGAATTTAGGGTCTGTAGACTGTTTGCCGCTTTACCAATTGAGTTATTCGGCTGATGTGCATTATTGTGGCAAGTGTGTTTCTTCCATCTTTCACCGTCATCGTGTTTTGCCAAATGCTATACTCTTTTCCAAGATATGACGTGTCTAATTTATAATTTTTTGACAGATTGAAATTTCACAGAAATTGTTGCAAGAACGGTTTACCAATGTACGGCTGTAGGTTCGTGCATATGGCGAGGAGTATGGAGAGAAGTAAGTCGTCACAATTCTCGCATCTTTGTCATCAATAACATCATATCTTACTAGTCCAAGTTTAAAACGTTTTAAAAGTAACATTACGAAATATTGGAAACTGTATTTCGCAAGATGCTTCAAAGCTTGATTTATAATGTGACTGACACGTTCATAAATTCAACTTCATTAAAGATTTCGATTTGATGAGATTTCAAAATCGTGCCAATCAATTCAATACTTTAGTGCGCCCATTCAGTCTTAAAAAAAGTAGTAAAAATCTATCGTTCTTCAATTTCAGACAACAAGTTCTATGGTTCGTTACCATCTCGCGTCCGGCCGAAACGAGCGAATTCCGAGCCTTCAAATATCAACAACTCCGTTGAAACCCCCCGGTTACCTATGAACACGAGTCACGGGGACCTCTTTCAAAACTCCGTTGTCCATCGAACGAGGGGGTACGGTGAACCCCCACCTAGTTTACCGTATTCGCCACATCTTTTTGACCCGGTCTTCTCCGGGGACAACGCATCGTCGTCGGCGTCCACACCCCAACCCTCCCCTCCCCCCTCGGGGTACATACCCGTACCAGCCTCCGCACCGCCACAAGGTGACTTCGAAACGTCCGACCGACAAACTATTACCAGCAGGTCATTCCGACGGCGGAAAGGCTTGGGTATTTTTGTTTTCGGTAAGTTGCGTCTGAGACAAATAAACAAATTTGATCCCCACTCGAAAAGTCATCTTGCCAGTCAAGTTGGTTTTTTTGTAAGCCTGACCCTCTATGCAGTCTTACAAACTTTGTTTACATATATCAGCCCACGAAATATGGTCTCTCGAGAGCCATCTTCAGGGGGCAGTTGTATCACAGTTAACTGTGGTTGTGCAAAAGACTAGTTAACTTTTAACTGTAGTAAAGGACAGAATTGGCCAATCAGTCATCAGAGTCGTGTATTTCTGAGTGAACTATAAAGATTTAACTTTTCAAAATCTAGTTAAAGAGTTCTATACAACCGGCACCAGAAATATATAATATGAAGTTCATTTTCTGCAGAAACTGCCAGGAACTCTCGAACTGGATTTTAAACCATATCTATCGGTTGTTTCCAGTTCAGTAGCACCATAATGTGCAGTGGAGCTCTTTCAAACTTTCAAAAGCTTTCTATATGCACTATGTTGAAGGTCCCTTCTCAGTTTAAACTAATGCAACGTTTTTTTTTCAGACAACGTTACTATTGATGTTGCAGACAGCGATAAGTAAGTGTTCAGATCTTTCTCTTTTTTATCTCTATGCCGTAAAGAAGAGCACGTCTAGATTACAGGCTCTGAGAGAGAGATCTATTCAGTGAAATCTATTCATTCTAATTAACCCAATGAAAACGTTTGCTGGCTAAATACTTACTGTGTGTTCATTTCTGCTATTTTGTAGTGAGCAAGCAGAGAGTCCGCTGGCTAGGTCAGACAGCATACAGTCAACGCAAAGCAATGCAACAATTACTGACTCGGTAAATGCATGTGAACGTTTACTGGAACTGAAACGTTTTTTTCAACTTTTTTGACTCGATATTTTAAACGTTTGTACCAGCTTTGTGTTTATATTATTTTCCAGGGGGGTTCAGACGACGATGCTCCAGGCGTTGACAGTATTGAAAGTCAGATATCGGATTATGATTCGGAAAAGAGTATTCTCAAATTTAAGACATGGGTAAGTGCGGGGTAAAGAAGACGATAAGGGATAGTAAATGAGGGTATAGTTGGGTAATGCTTTGAAGAGGTTGGTAGATGGGGTTCAGGTATGTGATTGTAATTGAGGAATGCAGCTGCAGGTTATTGAAGTTGATACGACAATGCATGGGTGGGTTGTTAATAGGTGGGAGTTGGTTGGAGGGGGGTGGAATTCCTAGGTGGGAATTGGCAGGAGTAGTTGGTTAGTAGCTTAGTATGAGACAGTTTGAAGAAGGGGTTGAGTGTGGTCGATTGATGTGAGTGGGTTTTTGTAGAACGCACGATGGAGGCCTCTTTGCCTCGACAAAACCGTTTGCAGTGAAACAGATAAAACCACTCGACGTAGACGTTAGTTCCTTGAATTAATGTTTTTTCTTAATTTAAATGTTTATAGAGTCATTTATCGGAATGGACGGTAAACTTCAACGACATAGAACTCGGAGACTGTATTGGCAAGGGAAGAATTGGTGAGGTTTACAGGTAAGAAAAAATCGTGCAAATACAATGCAATTAAGTTTCTCGTGTATATTACTTAGCTCTGTAATGCCCAATGCATTTAAAGATCGAATCGAGGTCGGTCGAACAGGCTGCGGTTTGCTTATTTTACTCTTTTATCGGTAACCTGTTTCGACAATAATCCATCTTCAGTGCGAATGAGATAATTATTTACATAGTAAAATTTATAAGGTCGAAATTTTTCTACCTTATATATTTCAATCATATTTCTACTTTATATATTTCACAATGTAAACAATTATCTCATTCGTACTGAAGGTGGCTTATAGTTAAATCGAAAGTTTGTAATAAAAAAGTGGTCGTTTATTTCAAATGCTTGATTACTCTTGTGCTGATCAGATCATATGGTTATTTCACTCTCTCCTTCGCGTACAATTGTTTGTGGATAATTTTATTCGTAGACGGAGTGTCGAAAAGATTTGAAAAGGTTTTAACATTAACGTTTAATAATTTTTCGTTTTCCTTTCAGAGGCAACTGGCATGGCCAGGTCGCTGTGAAAGTTATCGACATCAAGGAACCGACCGCAATACAACTGCAGGCATTTAAAATGCAGGTTCGTTTCTCTTGAGCATTTCAACGGAAAATTAACAGACAATAAACTCCACGATGTCGGTCCGTAAAATGCCAGTCTTGGTTTCAAATGCAACCTGTGTTAGTTAACATATACGATTACAAAGATATAGATATAAGAATTTTATGTTTTGAAGCTGTTTCGCAGACTTTATACGGTCAACAATATCTACGCTTATTATATGATTGTGGAGTTTTGTTTGGGGCTAAAACGGGAAGGAAGAAGTGAGAAAGTGTGGCTGCCTGGTATAGTTTTATGATTTTTTACTCAATGCTCTTATTTTCAGGTACAAACATTCCGGAAGACAAGACATGAGAATCTCGTGCTCTTTATGGGTGCATGTATGGAACCTCCGAAACTTGCGATTATTACGAGGTAAACATATAGACTAATAATCTCTTATTCCTTACATGGCCTGTTCATGTGGCGTCATACATGAAATTGAGGGTCAACTTGATTTGACAATAATTGCAGTTAGCCAGTTGTTATGTTTGATTATATTCGATCGGCTGACACTTTCATAATTATACATACAACATGATATAACATTCTTACGCCCACTTTGTCTTTATCTAACCAAGAACCGGTTGCATAAAACTCTTTGCTCACATTTCGAGTAGTTAAATTGTGGTTAACCGCTAAACACATTATTCTGATTCCCCTATTCCTATGTCCTCGACTACGGTTAAGATTTAAGTTCCTTTTTTTTTTACCCGACCCCGGAAAACTTGTTTCTCGAAACACTTCAAAAAACGTGTGCGAAATGTGGAGTCCATGCACTATCTATCATCCACAATGTTATATGCGCAATTTTAGTTTGTGCAAAGATCACCATCTGTACAAGAGAGTTCATCTGTTTAAAGAAACATTACCAGTCAATAAAGTTATGTTGATCTTGAAGCAAATTGCGCAGGTCAGTTTTTTTCTTATCGTCAGTGGCACGTGTATACACGAAATAAGAAGTAGTATGTGGATAGTTTTTAAATGAAATAACTTAGCTCAATAATTGGACCATTTTCCCCTTAACTAGGAACATTAGTTCTGAGATAAACAGCTGGAAAGAGCATCAAAAATTTAGTAAAATCGGAACGTTTGGTTGCAAAGTGTTGAAAAATACGAAGCAAAGTTTGTCTAAATTAGTGTTACGGATGAAATTCGATGACTGCCTATATAGCAAGTCAAATTTCATCCCAAACAGTTTTCAATTTTAGGTTTGATACGGGTATTGAGATTTGGACGAAACCTAAATAGATGGTCCAACACTACGTAAATAGGCTTCAAAATGAAGTTCCTATTTTCTTCTAGGCAATGAGTTACCTTCATTCTCGTGGAATAGTTCATGCGGATCTGAAGAGTAAAAACATTTTCTTCGAAAACGACAGTAAAATTGTCATAACAGACTTCGGACACTTCAGACTTGCCGCAGGACTCAGTGTGGAACAAACAAGGTACATGACTCATTACCCCCTTGTGACCACAATTAACCCCCCCCAACACATATTCGCAACCGTACAATACTCAATAGACGTTTCCTAAGTTTCACAACGTTATCAAACTACTAAGATCAGAATGCTTTGCAACTACTATACCTTACGGTCAGCCATATCTACATCTATCGAGTCATCTTAGTTGAAAATTACGTTAAAACTTCAAAATGGGTAAAAGCTGTTGTATGGAGTCTAATTCGAGCGAGTTCGTTCAAACGCGGAATTGCAATACGATGTGGAATAGACCAGTTAACTTTACAACAACTGGAGCGATAACTCCGGGAAAGGAAATTCTAGTGCCTTTTGGAGTTTTTTTGAGGTTTTTTAGAGTTTTGAACAAAAGTAGAGAACATTATGTGAATCAGAAAATGTATATGACATGCAGTACTGCATTGCAAACGCAAGCGAGAGGGTAGTTTTGTTAGCTATATTCAAAATGCTGTTGCGTGTCCTCAATAGGGTTTAAGGCCCGGTGGATGTTATAACGTAAGATAGGCTAAGCGTTATCTTGATTCTAGTTCTTGTTTTTAGATGACTGTGATCATATTTTCTGATTATCCATTTTTAGGCAAGGTACAGTTAAATTTCCTTACGGTTGGATCTACTATCTCGCTCCTGAAATCGTCAAATCGTTATCCCCGAGTCAGAAGCTGCATCGAAGGTTGTTCACGAAGCAGTCGGATGTCTTTGCTTTCGGGTAAGCTATTTTTCTCACACCATTTAGTTCTTAACGAGTTCATATAGCTTCTGATTGCTTCTGCAACTGTCAACAACGCGAACCCACATATGGCAGAATTCGTTGAAAAGAAATTACACGACAATAGCAGCATCTTTTATGCTCCTGGGGCCAGTTGAATAAAAGGCTAGTTAACTTTTAGCTGTAGTTAAGGACAGAATTGGCCAGTCAGAGTCGTGTATTTCTGAGGACGGAATTGGCTAATCAGAGTTGTCTATCTCTGAGTTAACTAGGATTTAACTATGCAAAAATAGTTAAAACATCTTATACAACCAGCCCCTGATCCCACCCGAAGATGGACAAAGAAACTGTGGGAAACGTTGCTATGACCATAAAAATAACCTTTAAAATCCTGGACCTGGAATTATATTAATTTAGCGTTGATCGCTTGTGTTTCGTTGCAAAGCGACATAGATTCCTGGGTTTCGTACCGCACGAAGTCATATTGTTTGTATATGTTTCAGTACCGTATGTTATGAGCTTTTGGCGTGTTCTTGGCCGTTCAATGAATATCCTCTGGAAGCAATTGTGTATCAAGTTGGTAAGGGCAGGAAACAATCTCTCAGTAAACTGGACGTCGCAAGAGAAATGAAGGTACTGTGATTATGTTTATATAAAGCCAGGCCAGACCCTTCGATGTGCTGACTTTTTCCTGTGCATTTTACGAAGCGCCTTATTTTATTTAGGATGGCGACGCGCGTGTTCTTATAACCCCTACGATCCCTTAGAATCCCTTTTGATTTGTAATTGTAACATTGATTTATCCAGTGTAATATCAGATCAGTGCTACCACGATGATTAATCACTGCTAGTGAGTGAGTGAACCGTATGTAAACTGGAACGATAGGTCATTCTGAACAGAGATAACTGGCTATGTCTGAATATTGCCTTAAACTATGCAGTCTGGCAAGGCTAACCTGCGGTTATTGTTTTTTTTCGCGTAATCCCTAGTTTTTCGCCGCGGGGGATGGCCGTTTACCACCGCGAGGTGTTAATTTGCATCCTTCCTTTTTGTAGGACTTAATAAACCATTTTTGGTCGTACTACCCTAACAAGAGATCCGATTTTAAATTGATCTCGAAAATCTTGGAGAAAATCCCAATGACAAAAGGCCGATTGTACCGCAGCCCTTCTCAGCCGGTCACGCACATGCTGAGGGCGGTTGAGGCCGACTTTTAGATCTTTCCTTGTCAATTTCCTGACGATAATTCGTATTTTAATCGGGATGGTGGGATGTGTAATGTATTTACTTCGTACATATGCAACTTGGGTTTCAGTCCCCTTCGCGGTTCGGCCAGCGAGCTGCGTATATACCTGGAGTGAGAACTTGTGTCTACATCGTTGGGCCAAAGTCAGTGAACTCAATTCGTACTGAACTAAAACTTCATCTGGCTTTTTTATAAGGTTTCTTACTCCACTTATATATATGGAGGTCAATGGTCTTGCGTCCTTTCACAATAATCCAAATTTTGAAATGAGGATTTTTAGTCGACAACAGGGGGGAGCACACACACTGTTTTTTCATCCGAAGTTTAGCATATAAACTATGAGATTATGTCACTTGAAAGTGTAAGAACTTCACATTTGGATGGCAAATCTAGCTTGGACTCTTAGACCCTTGTGTATATTAGAAATCGAAAAAGGCTTTTAGGCTTGTTTCTTTATATCAGACGCAAAGCTATCGCCTCTGTGATATCAGAAAAGATTTTGTGAATTTCGTCAATCGATTGTCTCTTGTTCTGCTTGAAGATTTCTCGTGCGTTTACAGCAACCTGATTCTCTATAAAAGCTTCGCAAATATACATCAAATATACATAAAGTTATATATCGGTGTTTCTTTCAAACCATGCGTTCAAATATTTCCAAATCCATTCGAGTAAAAGTGATGTTTAACTAGACTATTTCAAGTCACATAACACATCGTTGCATGATAAAACAAAATGACTGTGTGAGGGAGGCCTGGCCTCATTTTGACGAGTTTATTTCGCTGTATGCTGTCCTATTTTTTTCAACAAAGGCATATTTCTCAACTTAAGAAGGCATGTTGATAGCGAGACATAGATATGCATGCTGGGCATATCAAGCAAGTTCTTTCGAAAGATTTCAAAAAGAAAACTTGAACATTTTAACGTTGCCATTGCGACCGATTTAAACCCGCAAACCCCTTTACCAACATGCAACAACAACGGCAACAAAGCTTGGCTCGTAAACCCCATGGCGGTCTCTGCAATTTTCAAAAACATCTTCCAACCCATGTAAAGTCGCAGAACAGGAGACATTTGACTGCTGATATATGCGTGTATGGGTAAATTTAATTTAGGGCACGAATATTTTATAACCTACAATTGAGCACAATGTTTTTTATACCGTATGATATTTGGTGATTTTTTTTAGTTTTTCCTTATTTATTACAGTGTACATAGTCTAAATCAAACAATTTTTGTAATATTTGTCATCGGAAGGAAATTTCGAATGTCTTGTAATATCAAGCGGTTGCCCTCGCCAATTCGTCGTCATGTTTTTTTCATCATCGTTTTTCATAGGCTAATTTAGGAGACAAAACCCTGGCGCCGGTTGTTCAAAGGCCGGTTAGCTTAACCCTGGGTTAAAGCAAATCTTTACACCAATTTTTTTTTAATCGCTTCTTTACAAAGTTGATTTCACTCATCAATAATCACCGACGATAATAGTGAGCTTAAGCAAGCGACGTTTTTGACAACGCAAACAGCATGAGTAACGCCAAAAGACTGGGTCAAGGATTGTGATTGGTGAAAAATAAAAACTTTACTTCCGGTCAAAAACATCACTTGCTTAAGCTCACTAATACTTTGTCGACGTCGGCGTCATATGGTTACCAGGCTTAAACAGAAATGAGGTCAAAATTACCATTAATTGCGCCCTGACAAACCTATCGTGAGACCATATAGCCTTTCAGAAAAAAATCTCAGTAGAATTCCTCTTTAACACAAAACCCATGTTCTCAATTCTTTTAACAATTCTTTTTTCAAATTTTTGAAGTTTTTTACTAATACTTTTTCGGCGTCCAGCCAAGTGCTCTCTATATGTGTATACTTTCTTTGTAATTTAAACCTAGCTAAAAACTACTGCGAATAAATAATACCTAATAATCTAATTATCATTTACATCAAGTTCTTTATCAGTTCCTACCTATCTACATAGATACCTGCGTATGTACAAAGTTAAAACAACTAACAAAATCGACAAAACTACTTTATACAAAAGTTAAGATCAAGCTGAAACATATATTTTGTACGGAACTCGTCAAAAAACCTATCCCGTGTCTTGCTTAGCAATGTCAGTTACTTGGGAAGAAACAGTTTATTGTACAAAAAGGACTTTTAAAAAGGACTTTCGCGCAAGATTAGAATTTGGGTACAGTAGCCCCCATCCCCCCGGAAAGCATGAAATCGTTAGCTAAATCTGGTGTGGGCCGTAAAACAGTTAACAGAGAAAAGATTATCCTACAAATGTTGCACAAGGCCAAAGCCAGTATTTTACAATGTGCATGCTTGAAAATGCCTGTTTGCATTCGTTGTGAAATGTCCTACCTTGGCTAAACGTTTAAAAGTGCGTCAAAAACGTACATGACTAGATTACGACGCATGCTTACAATTTTGTCGCGGTATGTCAAGAAATTGCGCCTTCAGAGACTTGTCACCCGTGGTTCGTCCATCGTCTTTAAACCCTCATTTCTTTCGCCTTGTTCCATCAATACGTCGTCACTGACTCGCTGAGAACATGGTATTCTCTATCGGTTGTCTGATCACGGCTCCCGCTCATGTTGACATAATCCTCGGGTTCCTGTAAATTGGGAGGGCGTGCCCGTGAATTTGCGCTATTTCTCCTTTGCCAAACCAACCCGAGAATAAAGATAATTACCAAGAAAATGGACCCTGTGGCCAATCCTATACTGATGGGGACCGAAGAGTTGGCGTGATTACTCGATTTAACATTATCCATGGCCGTATCTTGTTCCAGTGAGGCGGTTAATGTTGCAGGTCTGCCAAACTCGCTGCAGCCTTCCCTATTGCAAAGGGCCGTTTGCACCACGTAACTCATATTTCGTTCCAACTTTGGAAGTGTCGTGAATCCTTGACTGACGTTCTGTTCGACAACGCCGTCATTTCTGGAGATATTGTCTGCGCGACGATAACTCATCGCCACGTTCGTCAAAATACCGTTCCAGGTCTTGCGCGCAGGTAGAGACCACGTGACTGTAACGTTACGGAAACGCTCGTCGTTGCTCGTCGCACAATCGGCATCACAGGTTATCCTCGGCGGCTCGCTCGGTCGTTCCTCGTGCAGTCTCGCTAAACGACAACTTGGCTCCGAGAAAACCTTAGAATCTTTTAGATGGAATTGGATGCAAAAGTGACAAATCGCGTACGGTTTGTAAACAGTGAAATCACTACTATGCATAATTAATTCGCCTTTCTCTTCCACTTCAGTCTCATTTTTAACCCCTAATTCTGGACAAGTATACTGGAGATAATAGCGTCTCCTCACACTCTTACGCTTTGAATTTGAATGATTCCACGTCATAGACACCTGTTGCTTAGCAACTTCGATTGCAAACAAACTAACCGTAGGAGGAATTAATACAATCAGATTCTCATCCAAACCAATATCGTAGCTTGTCAACTTGAATTTTCTTACTGGCCCTTCGGTTTCACATTTTCCTCTTTTCGTAATTATTTTAACCCTGTTTTCTACTAATTCGGAGTGTAGTCTTTTATTAATAGACACCCAGCATATTCGTCCTGTTGTGTTTGGTACTCGGTAAATATCGTGCTTTCGATAAGAACACTCAATTTTATCGTTGCCTATTGTTAGCATTCTATTTCTAATCTCCAAACTTCGTCATCGACTTCATATTGAACACTGTACGTATCGTCAAGATTCTCGCTTTGTTTCCAGTAAACTTCAACACTTTTATAAACGCTTTTGTCTATAAAACGGATGCCTTGAACTTGTGTTTGCGAAGGCTTTCTACCGTTTACTGTTAACGAGATATTCAGTTTTGGACGTAGTACATTTCCTTCTTTCAAACTTCCAAAACATGTGAATACTTTTTCATTCGGCCAGTTGACAGCAACGGTCAAATTGGAGATTAATTTAATTGACATTGTATTATTTCGAGCGAAGATCGAAGAATTTAGGTCAACATTTTGTCCTTGGATACGCCAAGTCAAATGCCACGTTCCGGATATACGAGTAATGTTTACATTTGTATATTGTAATGTACAACGAATGGTTATATCTTTATTGTTTTCAGCGCAAAGAAAACGGTCTCCAACGCTCAATACAGGTTTTGAATTGTCTGTAGTACTTGCTGCATTTGAAAGCGATGATGACAGACAACAAAACAATGCGATGAAAAGTAAATGAAAACAATGAAACTTCTCTGGCACGTTGCGTTTGTTTTCCATCTCAGTTGTTATATCTTTTGAGTGTTGACAAGGACAATTGTATCAGACGATCTCTGAACCAGAATTAAAGACAGGTAGTAGTATACATAATTCCCTGAAAAGTCCTTTAGTTATTAAATGCTTTCATCGTTTGTTCGTCGCCGGTCAACAGTCGTAAACTAAACTTTGAATAAATTAGAATTGTTCTGAAAACGTAATTATAAATTGGCGAAGTTAATTTTATTTGTTTTGGCATATCATGTATTTGTCTTTGGGTGAATTCTTGCTTTTAACAAATGAAACAACAAGGGGATTATTATGTGGTCACTTTGTTCGACCTTTGTTTTCACAACAGTATATTACAAAGCATTGTTTAAAACCCCTTTTTGTTACTGGCATTGAAAAGCTCAGCGGAATAAACCGAGGATAACTTCAGTGACGCTGATGCATTTATAATATTGTAATATGAGATTATGATAATCTAATCGGGAGTTTTGTAAAAGCATATTTTATTGTATCCAAAGAAGTTGGATTCACGATAAACGTTTAGACTTTATTTGTATAGTCTAGATATTTGACTGTTTCATAATATACCCTTAATGTATGCTCCCGAGGGAAATAGTGAGTTTTGTTTTCCCAAGAGTCTGAATGTTTCCCGAGACGAAATCGAGGGAAACATTGAGACTCGAGGGAAAACAAAACTCACTATTTCCCGAGGTGTAGCGAACATTAAGTGTTTTGTTATATAGGAACAAAAACATACATGTTAAACGACAATTTCATTTCAAAAAACTTTGTTATGACAGTATGCGGGCAACAATTTTTCGCTTGTTTCCCTGGCGGGAAACATCATAGGCGGCCCAAAATTGGCGGCGAAAACTTGACAAATTGCCAAAAAAGTTTTCGCCGCCAATTTTGGGCCGCCTATGGAAACATTGCATTTATTTGAAGTCATGTGACTACGAATGAACCAATCACATTTAAAATACACAGCACCTATATAACAACAGTTATTAGCATATTTGGGCAGCTGCATGTCGTTACACGCAATAAAGATCAATGTCAATGAATCATTATCAAAATACATCAAACTGCACTAATAATGTAATACATACATCTGATTTCGTCGTATTGATAATATTAATATTTTACATAATAATGATTCCGGGTTTTAGGAACTTCCTGTTTTCTCATTGTACAAGGAACTTCGCGTTGAGCGTGTAGTTCCGAGTCGGTTTAAAAGTTTTCGCGTCAAATATTTCTCGGTCAGATAAATCATAAATGTGCTTGCAGTAGGCATTCTTCGTTCCCTTTGCCGATAAAAGCCCCCCTCTGCCGCCGTTCCAAGGTCGTCACGTGTTCTAACACGTGCTCCAAAGAATGGATAATAAAACTCATTAGAATTTCAAGTATTCTACGAAATAGAATTGGCGTAAACCTTATCGCTGAATATTTTGAGGTCCACCGTGTTATTCTCCTTTTTAAGTTTCAATACACAACCATTTGTAAGTCTTCACAACGAATTAATGAAGAATTTGAGAAGAAAAAATTATCTTTTTACTGTATACTGTGGATCGAAGGGTAACAAATTCAAACGACGGATGATTATAAAACATTTTTACAAACACACTTTTTTCTTACTGGCATCGAAAAACTTGATGCAATTTAGCGGGGAATAACCTCAGTTATTTTTTATATGCTGTAAAGAAAGACGGTACATTTTATCACGTACGAAAACGAAAGTGTTTGTTTTTTCGAAATAAATACAATAATATTGTTTATAATTACACGTACTGCCTATCAGATTTAAGTTCAATCGTTCGCAACATGTATGAAAGCATGAAAGTCTTGTTGATTTCTGCCCGTTATCCACCTTTCAAAGTTAAACTAGCTTCAAACGAACGAGCGTCCAACAAACTTCGGCATTTCTCGGTTGGGTTTTTTACTATATTCACCCCCCACGATAGCGGCCAAATAACAGTCATGCAGTTATCGTTCCAGTCTTTATAAAGTTCACTGTGTTCTCGCCGTGTACCTCGTATCCAGACTCTTTTGAGGTTTTACGTGTCTGGCACACCCGAAGCTGCTTTTCATAAAAGATTTCACTTTGTTATATATTACACTTCTTTTTTCGTTTGATTTTTTAATACAAGCACAAACCCTCACAACTTTCTTTGTAATTTAAACCTAGCTAAAAACTACTTCGAATAAATAATACCTAATAATGTGATATAATTATCATAATTTACATGATCAAGTTCTTTATCAGTTCCTACCTATCTACATAAATATCTGCGTATGTACAAAGTCAGAACAACTAACAAAATCGACAAAAGTACTTTATACAAAAGTTAAGATCAAGTTAAAAACTTAGCATCAAATGTGGTATAACAACTGCCTAAAATAGACAAAACACTTCTTGATGTTTTACCTGAGGGCCTTCGTCAGGAGAGTTAGTATGAAAATAAATAGGGGAGAATACATGTTTTGTATGGGGTCAAAACATGTATGCTCCCCCATCCACCTTCATACCAAC